TGACATCGTGAGGAGAGCAGATGATGGCACTCTCACATTCCTCATCAGAGGCGTCAGGAAAAGGATCATATTTCCTGAGCTATGTACCATCTTCGGGTTCGATCCAAAGCGCACTGGCGTCTCTCTCCCGACGCCGTTTCCAGACCTGCATAGTTTCTGGTCCCATTTCGGGAATGGGGTTTATGACTCCAAGAGGTCTACTCAGACTGATGTGCGCCATCCGTTGCTGCGCTACCTTGTCCGCCTCTTCTCCACTACTCTCCTGTGCAAGTCTGAGCCCGGGAAGATGCGAGTTTCTGAGCTGACTCTCCTGTATTACGGCATTGAGGATGTGTTGACAGAGGAGTATCCGGTTGACAGCGATGTCAACATGGGAGCCATTTTTGCCCATCACTTGGCTTCTCTGAAGACCAAGGCATTCACTAGAGCTCGGGGCAAGCCCGAGATTATTGGCAGTCTCCTCACCCCCATCTTCCGCCACTGCCGCATTGACACTTCGACTTGCAGAGTTGTGTCTGAGCGCCACCTCATTGACCTGGATTACTTGAGGAGGACACACTGGATCGCAGGAGATGAGCCGCTATGGAGCTTCGTTAGTCACACTGGTCAGCGATGCCTTATTCCGCTACCACAGACTGTTCTCACAACACTGCAGACAGACTCCCTCAGCTCCCAGCCTGATGCTACACTGCTACGATCCGCGCCAGCTACTAGGCACAGAGGAGGATCTTCCCGAGCTGCTGCTTCTGCTGCTGAGGATGCGCCTGTTGAGGACCTTGCTGGAGGTTCCTCTCGTCGAGCCAGAGCATCACGCACCTACACACTGCCTGAGCCGATCGATCCACATGAGCTCCCACCGACTCCCGAGATTCCGATGGAGCAGGCCACTTTTCAGCGTTATATGGTCCAGAGTGTTCAGGCGCTATGGAACGCCATCTCGGTGTTGTCCAACTGCGGTTGTGTCTGCCCCCACTCACCTAATACTGCGGATGAGGATTAGTTCCTCTAGCTTCCCTGGTTACTTTTTCTTTTCCTTTTGTTATTTTTCATTTTCTGTTGAGTCAGTTTTTGTGTCTTTGTTTTGAGTCAGTTTGTCACCTTTGATTGTGTTTTGAAACTTGTTTGCACTGATGAGATTATGGATTACATTGTTGCTTTTAATTGTTTACTTGAGTGTTCCTAACAGTCTTGACTTGGGAGAACTTCAGCTAACAATCTAACTTGCAACAAGTATACATGTTTGGGTCATCCCATTCTGTTTTCGGACAGGGTGTCGTTCGACACCAACCATGTGGTGTCGATCGACTCCACGCGCAGTCACAGGTACCACTTTCTCATCTAAGTACAAACTGTTTCATTGCCTCTTTTTACCAACTCCTGACTTAATAACACTGGGGACAGTGTTGTTTAAGTCTGGGGGAGGTCATTGCTGACATTGTGTATATTGTTTTGTATTTATAAAGTCTCAAAGTTGAGTCAAAACCTGTTTTATTGAGTCAAAATTTTTGAAATTGTCAGTTTTTCTTGGAACAAACCACAAAAAATTGATGCTTATAAGAACCATTGCCAGAGGTGTTGATTACAAGTCTTAGTAATTTGAAAGTCATGGGTAGATCAATCTAGCAATGAAAGTTTAGGTTCTTAGAGAATCTGGAAAATTTGCTGTTAACTCTACTTAAATGAACTTAAACTTATTGTCTTGGTGCTTGATTCTCTTTGATCTTGATTCTCTCTTCTAGCATTGACAAGTATGTTAAGACATAGATTCTCTTTGATCTTCCCTGAATGAGCTTTAAAAGTTTAAGTCAAAAGAATGGTGCATTCATGACCCTGTCTCCTCACAAGGAACAACAGTAGTGAACACATTCAAGAACCTGTCTCCTCACAAGGAACACAAGTATTGAGTAGCACCATATCTTAGACCATAGAAGAATGAGAAAGAGCTTAAAATTAAAAAATATCAGAAAGAAAAGATCAAGGGAAGAGAAAATAGGAGAGCTGTGTTGAGATTGCTTTGTTCAGTTGTTTAGGAAGGGAAAAGAATCTATAAGTGATTGAGATGATAAAACCTTGATGAGACATCACTTAGATAGAAATAAGGAGTTTAGCAGTAGAGATTTCGGATTTCTTGAAGGAGCTTGAACTGGACTTGAAAGATTTGCTAAGCCTGTGATGATTAGACTGAAATTTGATCTTGTGTTGACTATGTGGTATGTGGATTCGAAAGTGTTAATCAATGTGGTGTTCCTGATGTCTGACTGACTTTTTCTGTGTTTTCAAACCTCTGCTCTAGGCTATGTCTGATGTTTGTTTGAGGGCAAGCAAAAGATAAGTCTGGGGGAGTTGATATATCATGGTTTTTGCTGGTTTTTTACCATGATATAAGTCTTGTTTATAGAGTCTTTTGGTATTTTTCGAGTCCTATAGAGTCTTTGCAGGTCTAGGTACAAATAGAGCATAACTGTGGATTTTGGAACCTTTTGGAGCTATACTGAAGCTGTTGCTGAAAAGACCAAGTCGGAAGGCATTAAGGAGCAGGGTGTCTATCGACACCCTCCACTTGGTGTCGATCGACACCGGTCGTGGTCGCGAAGAAGCATAAAAACTCATTAGAAGAAATTGCAACTTGGCCCAGAAGTTTTCCACTATTTTCACTTTTGCCCCAGTTCGTGTTTAGACTTGTATTTAGGTTTTCTAAGCCATTGTGAGGCTAGAATTCTGATTTTCATTGAGAATAAGAGAGAGATTAGATTGAGAGCTTTTGGAGAGACAAATCCATACTCTATAGAGAAGAATTTCGAACCCCTTCATCTTTTACTCTATTTTCATAATGCAATTTTATTCAGCCATGATTTGTGTTTCACTTGCTATGTCTGAGTAATCTGCTAGTTAGGTTTTGGGTTATTCAAAGGTTGATAATGAATTGTTAGAACTACAAAACTGGAAGGATAAATCAATTGGTTCTTCATCTAGATTGCTTTAACACTGGTTTTAAGATTGATGACCTAGAAATCAAATCTTAGGTTGTTTAATAGATGTGGAAACATTGTTAATCACCAGAACTATCTTAGATGAGCAAAATAACTAGTTGCAAAGGAATTTGGATTAGTGATTTTGTGAATATATCGAACCTGATTTATAATGCATGTTTAGGTTGTTAGAATTTGCAAAGAAAATTGAAATTCTAGAATCTGATCATAGTTAATCTCTGCGATGGAAGTCGATTGGTTTTACATTAGCGTTTTGAGTTCTAGAACAGTTTTAATAAATATTCCTTTCAGTTCATAGTCTGCGATTTATGTCAACCTGTGAATTTCCTATTGCCTAGCACTTGTCTCTATTGATTTTAAGAACCAACAAACCCATCCTGATTCATTGTTTTCGCCACTATCTTAGTTTTACTTTATTATTGACTACTTAGCTTTATTTGAATCTAAAATCTGTTGAGTGATAGTCTTAAGTCCTTGTGGATTTGATCCCTAAGTACTATAGTGATCTCTTAATTTGAGAGAGTAGCTCTAAAGGTTAATTTGAGCATATCACTCAGTCGCAACATAAAACAAACTCAGCCACAGATGCATTGATAAACCATAAATCAGCCGTAAAGTAAATAGTCACTTAGCCACAATATAAAACAAACTCAGCCACAGATGCATTGATAAACCATAAATCAGCCGTAAAGTAAATAGTCACTCAGCCGCAACATAAAACAAACTCAGCCACAGATGCATTGATAAACCATAAATCAGCCGTAAAGCAAACCGTAACTCAGTCGCAACATAAAACAAATTGAGCCACAAATGCATTGATAAACCAGACACCAAATCGAATAGATCTAACAAATCAGTCACCATATGTAAATCAACGACGGCGAAAATCAGTCGTAATAAGCATCGATAAAAATCCTTAATATCATCGCGATAGTTTTTGGAAAACGGTTTAAATCACGGGAATCACTTGCAATTAAACAGTTTAAACTCAAAAGAGATTCGAACTTACCGGAGCAAGTTTATTCGTGAAAATAGGAGAGGTTTTTAGCAATGGAAAACGAAGAGTCCCCACTCGAGTTCGTGAAAAAGGAGACAAAATGCGACGGAGATAAGAGAAGCGGCTGGAAGAGACGATACGATGGCGGAATTAGGGTTCGACTTCGGAATCGCCGAGAGAGAGGTTTTTTTTCGTAACAAAAGAGAACGATTCAGTTTCCCTCACTTTTGATCATTAATGACATAACTATTGTTAATGACGTAGACTTAATTTTTTTATCTTAATAACTAAACTAATTTTTCGTTAATTATTTTTAATTAAAAAAATTGCAAATTAATCAAAAATGTTAATTGTAATTACACAAGGTCACAAAATATCTAAATAATTTTAAAAAAATATATAATATGCTAATAATATTCCAACATTCATGTAACATCTGAATAATTCTTTCAAATAATAATGAAATATTCTTCTTTTAGTACCTAAAAATTAATAAAAAAAATAATAATCCAGACCTAATGTCTGTATCATAGTGTCAAAAATGGCTCAATTAGGAAAAATGGCAAGTGGCCATAAAAAAAAAAAAAAATCTTAGGGTCTGACTGGTATGTCAGATGAATAACAGAATAGCAAAATAACTGAAAAATTACTAGCAGAATAAACTGAACTGAATAATATTTTAGCTGAATAATTGTGAAACGCTGAAAAGCTACTTTTAGTAGATTAATCACGTTTTATTTTTTTTAGTTATATTTTTAACACGCTAGCGGAATCACGTTTCAAAAATATAAAAAAAACGTGAAAACGTGATGAATAACATGTATGGTAAAAAATAACAGAATCAAATTTCCAAAACGTGAAAACGTGAAAAAACTGCATACCATTCAAACCCTTAATTGTGAGAAAAACAGTGAGAGAATCATTGTTTTTCGTCATCATCATTTGCCTTAATCACAACTTCTTCACAAATAGAAACCTCCTCCTTAGGTTTGCTTCTCTCAAGCTTCTTCTTCTCAACAAAAGCTAAGTACTCTACGAAGAACATCTGTATCATCGTCCTGCATCAACTCTTCAGCTAACTCAGCAGGAGTAACCTCCGTAGAATCAATCAGCCTCTCGATTTCCTCACAAAGAGGATGGTTCAAGCCATCTAGACCAAGGTAATTAGAGACCAATGTCCTAAATGCTATGCCGAAACAATATGACATATGGATATGCATATCCATTCTTCCAGGATGTAGCAGTGCAGGATCAAGCCGTTCTTTGTGGTTAGTCGTGAACACAAAGATTCTCTCATCTCCAAAATTAGACCATAACCCATCAATGAAATTCAAAATCCCTGATAATGTCACCTGCTCAAGATAAAATGTTTAGTAAGGGACAATAATAATAATAAAAAAACCAAACTTCTCAAATCACAGTTTTCAAAAGATCTCACCTTTGTGTCAGTTTTTTCATCTTCTTGGTTCTCAGCTTCCCTGTCTTTCACCTCAGTAGTACTGCAATCGATATCCTCAATCTCCAAAATGGAACGACTCGTGGTCGACAACAAAACCCTCTTCAAGTCACCATTGTCATAAATACTACTAAGCTCAATATCGAAAATATCGAACTTGAGGTAATTAGCCATTGCAGCTATCAAGCTCGATTTGCCAGTTCTTGGAGGTCCATACAGCAAGTAGCCTCGTTTCCAAGCTTTACCAACTCTCTTGTAAAACTCCCTTCTCTTGAGAAACCTCTCCAAGTCATCGATTATCTTCTTCTTCGCTCCCGGATCCATCGCTAATGTATCGAACGTCGAAGGATGATCGAGACTGATGCATCCCCAGTCCCCACCAGCACATCCATCTTTGTCGCCTCTCCCGTTCACTTTTTGGCTATAGAGCTTCACCACTCTCAGATTTCTCTTGATCTCTTCCGATTGTTTCTCAGCTTAAGTAAGAGCCCATGAATTTGTCTCTCAGCTTCTTCTCGAATGTGAGCTCGTAGTATCGTTTCACTCTACCAGTACTCTCGTTCTCCGACTGAACGTATCTCCACTTCACCTCAAAGCCTTCGAACGAATCGGAGATCTCTTCTCCTTTCTCCATCAAGATTGTGAAGTGCTTCTGCTTTGGGGTTTTTGCGACGCGTAATCGCTCCGTCTCGGGGCTGATTTTGTTTCGAAGGTATATCTCGGCCGCGTCGAAGACTTGATTAATTTTAAATTTGAACTTCTCGTTGATAACCACCGTGAGATTCTTCGATTTTGGGGTGAAAAAGCGCTCGAATAAGCCGGCGAAGTACGATCGAAGCTTCTCCGACACGAAATCGCGGAGCATCGATCTGAAGATCATCAAGAATCCGGTTAGGGATGCATACGCTGAGAACAGCGACGACGGTGAGAAAGAGAAATCGGATGAAGAAGGAAACATCTCTGCTGAATCGATCTGCACACAAAATCTCCGGCGAAGTTTCCGATGACCTAAAGATTTAAGATATAGGTTTTAAGAGTAAAACTGTGAGAAGAAGAAAGCATATATAGGCTTTAACTGCTGAACATATAAGTAACAATAGGAATGAATAGCAAAATGAATAAAAGGAATCAGATAATATGAATTATTGTTCTTTCTCATTTTTTATAAGGAATATATTAACATTATAGTTCCCTAAAACATAAGGAATGAGAAGTAATCATGGATACAATATATTCCTTTTAAATAGTGTAATTTTCAAGAAATGATAAGGAATTTAGTATTCCCTTCCATTTCTTATGGTTACCAGTTACAGCCATAGTTTTTTACTTTTTTATATAGACGCATATGGAAAATACTTTCCTCTTCTTCTTTTTTTAATTCCTTAATTTATTAATTCTTCCTTTCGTTTTTAATTACGAAAAATTAGACGAAAGTGGAAGGAAACTTGCGTTGCAAGCGACGATGTTCCGTGTACTACACGGAAAACCTAAATGAGCTGGAGAAGTTTTCTTTGTGGTTTAGTGTTGTGTGCAAAGAGAGATCAAAGCAATATGAAGAAGATAATCAAACCGGTCAAGATTGAAAGAAAACATGCGGTGGAGTTTTGTCTCGACACTCTCGGGAAAGAGAATCCAAAAGTGTTCTTTCAAGAAGAGGAGTTCCTAAAAGTTGAGTTATTCATTGACAAAGAAAAGAAGAAGTAGCAAAGTTATGTCCGTGGACATCATCGAGGATGAGCATGCATGATGGAGAGGAGTTGAAAGCTGTTGATGCATTCCGCCAAGCGCTTATCCTCGATGAGCTGCTCCCGGACAAACATGATGATTACCATATCATGCTCATGTTCTTTATCTTGTAACATACGTAACGATATTATCATACCTTCTTCATGTTCATACTTAGTTATTTCTGTATTTGTAGGTTTTTGAAAGCTAGAAAATTCGATCTTGAGAAAACCAAACAAATGTGGTCTGACATGCTCCGATGGAGGAAGGAGTTTGGTGCTGACACGGTTATGGAGGTATTTATTCGTGGAGCTTTATTATGTATTCGAGTGATCTTGTCTTGAAATACTACACTCAAGGGCACCACGGAGTAGACAAGGAAATAAGACCTCTGTACATTGGGAGGCTAGGTCAAGTAGACTCTACCAAGTTGATGCAAGTTACAATTATGGATAGATATGTTAACTACCATGTGATGGAGTTTGAGAGGACTTTCAACGTTAAGTTCCCTGCATGCTCAATCGCAGCTAAGAAGCACATTTATCAAAGTACCACTATACTTGATGTCCAAGGAGTGGTATGTAAAAAAAACATTTACGTGTCTTCAACGAAACCTCAATAGTAATTTGTAGAAACTATTATCCAAAGATTATAACTCATACATCAATTGTAACACAGGGGCTTAAAAACTTCAACAATTAAGGCGGCAAGGGATTTGGTTACTCGTCTTCAAAATGTCGATGGTAACAACTATCCCGAGGTGCAGATTATATTATCATTGTTGGTTTATCCTTCTGTACATAAAGTATCTACATTCTTATGTTTATTCCTGAGGGGATAATAACGTGGATCACGTTACGTGATTTGGTGTAGTACCAAATAACTTCTGTATGTATATCGTATTAAACCATACCATTAAAAACAAATACGACCAGACAAAAACAATTATTTATTTTAACTGTAATCGAAATAATTTTATTAACAATGAAAAAATATATAAAAGAGTTTTAATTTTGATTCTTTTTGGCAAGAAAATATATCCCAGCTAGTAAGAATGTAAAGTATTAACGCTCTTAGTTATTTTACTGTGCTAGCTAAACAACAAAGTGGCTGTAGTTTAGTGGTAAGAATTCCACGTTGTGGCCGTGGAGACCTGGGCTCGAATCCCAGCAGCCACACATTAAACCATTTTTTATTAATCGTCTTTTCAAAGCCTCCGACAGAAACAGAGGTATAAGAGTTGTTGTACTTGACGCACTTTCGAGGCTTTTAAGTTAGGTTTAACTACACCGGCTTTCAGTGGAAACTTCGGACAAAGAGAGGATACTGCCAATCTACGTCAGCCACGTGTCATATTTCACTGCACCCACGTGCTTAGCCGGTTACTTGATCCATCTTAATCGTTCACTCGCTCTTCCTCTATTTGTGTATTCGTGTACGTTTATCATACGAAGGTCGAAGTATAATTCTTACATATTTAAAACCTTTAATTCAATAATAAGCAGAGATAATTATCTAAATTAATTGTTATTAATATATCTGACCTGTGTAAATAATGTGGAAACTTTTTAAGATATTTATTTACATTTTTGGAGGATTTTTATATAGATAGTTTGTAACTGAAGTTTTTTAATTAATTAAAGGAGGAGAAACAAAATATCTACAAAGAATGTCGTTTTCGTAATTAGCAGACTTTCCAAAAACAATATTAATTTTCTCTCTTGTTTTTCCGAAAAAAGAAAAGAAGTAACAAAGGCTTCTTCATCAACACAACGTATTGCTTCCTCTTCTTCCTCTTCTCTAACATTCCTCCAACGTATGGGTCTCACCACTTCCTAACTTTCTCTCTCTCCTCTCTCTCTCTCTTATATCTTCTTGATAACTATGAAGAAGCAATCTCTATTCAGATCCAATCACACCCTTCTCTTCTTTCTCTGATCACCAACAAAGCACACAACAGCAACGAACGATTCGGCTTCTGTAATTACAAACTCGGTATGTTGGAAATTTCGAGCTTTGTTCGATTCTTTAGATTGTTTTAACTCCGAATTTTGAGTTAATTTTGAATTTTTGAAATGATTACGCCGAAAGTTTGCTTTTTTTGGGGAGTAGTAAGATTGATAGCTAAGTAAAGGAAAAGGATTAAAAAGATTGAATTTCACCTTTTCAATTGGAATAACGTAAAGAAGAAAAAGCTCCAATGATTCGTAAATCCCTAAAATTTCGAGAATCCCTATAAACCCTTTTTGAAGATTTCCCCAATTTCCGAAAAAAAAACTGAGAATTTTTGGGGTTTTTTCTGTTGATGTAAGCAGAAGAAGAATGGCGATGTTAGTTGAGCCACCGAATGGGATTAAACAGCAAGGGAAACATTACTACTCGATGTGGCAAACATTGTTCGAAATCGACACAAAGTATGTTCCGATCAAACCCATCGGAAGAGGAGCTTACGGTGTGGTCTGTTCATCGATCAACCGAGAGACAAACGAGAGAGTCGCCATTAAAAAGATCCACAATGTGTTTGAGAATCGAGTTGATGCCTTGAGGACGTTGAGAGAACTCAAACTTCTTAGGCATGTGAGGCACGATAACGTGATCGCGCTCAAAGATGTCATGTTGCCTTCGAATAGATCGAGTTTCAAAGATGTTTACTTGGTTTATGAGCTCATGGATACTGATCTTCATCAGATCATCAAGTCCTCTCAGTCTCTCTCCGATGATCACTGCAAATACTTCTTGTTTCAGGTAAAATGAAGCTTTATTGATACTTTTTTTCGAGTATCATGGGCTAGTTCTTGACTTTTGTGTTTATGGTTCTTGTTTAGTTGCTCAGAGGGTTGAAGTATCTTCACTCTGCAAACATACTTCACCGGGATTTGAAGCCAGGGAACCTCTTGGTCAACGCGAACTGCGACTTAAAGATTTGTGATTTCGGGTTAGCGAGAACGAGCAGAGGCAATGAGCAGTTCATGACTGAGTACGTGGTTACACGATGGTACCGAGCTCCTGAGCTTCTTCTCTGCTGCGACAACTACGGAACCTCCATTGATGTTTGGTCAGTGGGATGCATATTCGCAGAGATTCTTGGCAGAAAACCGATTTTCCCTGGAACAGAATGTCTCAATCAGCTTAAGCTGATCATCAATGTTGTTGGTAGCCAGCAAGAATCGGATATACGGTTTATAGACAACCCCAAAGCCAGGAGATTCATAAAGTCTCTACCTTTCTCGAGGGGTACGCATCTATCTAATCTTTACCCTCAGGCTAATCCTCTAGCTATAGATCTGTTACAGAGGATGCTCGTGTTTGATCCGACCAAGAGAATCTCTGTGACCGATGCACTCTTGCACCCGTACATGGCGGGTCTGTTTGATCCTGGTTTAAATCCTCCTGCACATGTCCCTATCTCTCTTGACATAGACGAGAACATGGAGGAGAGAATGATCAGAGAGATGATGTGGGACGAGATGCTTTATTACCACCCTGAAGCAGCTGTAGCCGCAAACGCCTAATCATCGTCGTTATCATCATCAAGAGTAAGCTTTGTCCTGTTTGTTTTTTTTTTTTGTTTTCTAAAATGCAGCTTTGATGTTATGTGTTATATATAGCGAGTATACAAACGCGGAAAGAAAACGATAAAAAGCTTTGTTCTCGCCTGTATAATTAGTTGCAGTGAGTGAGTGAATGAGTGAGTAGAAACAGAGTTTGATCAGTATCTCTTTTGCACTCTGTAAATGTGAATCGGAGACTGTTTGTTACTAAAGTAAGTTAAGGATTATCCCTCGGACTTGATGAGTTTACTTCACATTTGCATACCAAATCGAAATCATATATCTTAACATCTTTGGCCTTGCCACTTGCTGCTACTTAAAGTATTTCGTTTTTATTGGTTTGATTTGGTTAATTTGGTGTTAAATTAGTAAAACTATGTATTTATCCGCGCTATGCTGCGGAATATTTTTCTAGATTTGTATATATTTTTATTATAATAAAATTATTTATATATTTTAAATGAGTATTATATTTATTTTTTATTAGTTTAAGTTATGTATTTATATGTTTTAAATCTGAATAAACATTATATATCATTAATTTTTTATTTTTTAAAATTATAATCTACTATCAAATTTGTTTAGTTAACTATCTATAAATGTATATGTAAGAATAAAACAATACATTTTTAAGTACCTTCAAGCTAATGGTAGATGTAATTTATTTTTTCTACTAAATTGCTACTTGATCTTCTTTTGAAATTATATAAAAATTTATTTATTTATCAAATATTTATGATAGACATATGTTTCTAAAACTATCAAACTATAATCAATAACATTCATATCAAAATTATTACTATTACTTTAGAACTAAATAGAAAGTTCTATTTGAACAGTTGAAATATCAATTTAGTTGAAGTTAAATAATTTAAATTTGGTTACTATAAACATATTATACTTGAAAATTTAGCACAAAATTTTTTTATCTTTTTACAAAAACCGAAAAATTGCATTTTCTGCCAAAACTAAAAAATTCATTTTCTCGTCAAACATGAAATTTCATTTTTCTACCAAAACAAAGAAAATGTATTTTCTCTCAAAAACCAAAAAATCATACTTTCGTCTGTATAATTAGTTGCAGTGAGTGAATGAGTGAGTAGAAACAGAGTTTGATCAGTATCTCTTTTGCACTCTGTAAATGTGAATCGGAGACTGTTTGTTACTAAAGTAAGTTAAGGCTTATCTCTCGGACTTGATGAGTTTTCTTCACATTCTCATACCAAATCATATATCTTAACATGATAACATCTTTGGCCTTTCCACTTGCTGCTACTTTAAGTATTTCGTTTTTATTGGTTTGGTTTGGTTAATTTGGTGTTAATTAGTAAAATTCTAGTTTAACATAAACCGAAATTAGTTTTACTCCGAAATTAGTTTGGTTTGATTTGTGTTCAGTTCGGATTTACAAAACGAAACGTTTAAGCAACAAGAAAACGTAAATTCAATTATGGATTTATGCATTCAAACAGAACATCTAAGAGAAACCACGAGAAAGAAGTTAAAAAAAACTCAATCATTACAGTCAAACTTAAAGGAAAAAGTTGGAAGAAGAAAACTGAACAAAGTATTCGACAATTTACTTGTAAGTGTAAATAAATTAAATAACACTAAATTATCAATAATAATTAGTACCTTTATTTACTAACTAGATTATATGCGGGTTTATAATAATCAAATTTTAAATTCGTTAAAATTATTTTGAAAGAAATACAAAATAAAACCAGATTATTGATAAAAAAATATTTAAAACATAAAATCAAAATGTAATAGTTAATTATTTTGATTCTTGTTTGCTTTCTATTAAAATATTCAAAACACAAAGCATGTTGTGGGTACTTAGTAATATTAACCCTATTTTATTTATAGTTCAACACTTAATCAACTATTATTTTCTGTTTCACTGCATTAAAAATTTGTGTACGCAATTTGACTCTTTCGATTATGTTAACTTTTTCTCCATTAAATCTTTCCAAACAAACAAAATTTCTCTTTCTCTCCATGTGTCAAATGTTCTTTTACATGATTTTTATTGATCTTTTCCGTTTGAACTCATTATTAACATCTATGATTTTTTATTCATGTAATTCTGCTTTGCAAATTTTGCATATAATTAATTTGAAATTGTCTAATTGTTAAATACTAGAAACATTTTAGATGTAACATTTTATTTTTCTTTTCTAAATTGAAATATATCATTTTATTTATATATGTTTTATTTTTAATTTTATAGTGAAACATGTCAGATTAGTTCAAAATCTAATCGACTGACTGTCATGTGTCACAATCATATGAATTACTAACTTTTACGCATTCAATTTTATATAATAAAATAAAAGTTAAAATAACAGATTGGATTATTTCGTCCAGTTTGATCGGAAAAAAAGGCTGAACCAAACGATTTGTGTATGAATTTTTGGTGTGATTTGGATCGGAGACTGGTATACAATTTCAACATGTGTAATTTCACTATCATGGAAAATTGGAATATATGTCACCTCATATTTTTGGTTCATTATTAATCCTACGATTGTATCACCTCACTTTCCAAATAGATAATGATACAATTTTTAAAAGGTGTTATTTATTTAGAAATTTGTATGAAAACTAGAGTTTTTGTTTTATAAGATGACTGGTATACACACCAACTTATCATTCCTAATAAATTGTCTTTTTAGGTGATGTTTGTGAACACATTCATATAAGGTAAATAAAGGAGAATGGATTAGTGTATACAGGGGCCGGCTGGCCCAGAACTTTAAGAGGACCCCAAGCACAACTCAGAATTTGTGGCCCATTAGCTTTGAAAATTAATGAGAAAAAGAAAAAGGTTATAAACATTGTTGGAATCGAGCCTACCTTGTTAAAGCAGTAAACTCATGTTTTGACCAGCTTGCTCAGTACTTCTAAACAGTAATCTTTAAAAAAACATCAAATCCATTTCGATTTAATATGAAATTGTTTTAGTCAACAACTATGGTTTTGCATAAGATTTGTCTTTCTAATTCGGTAAAACACGTGCAGTATCTTATGTTTCAGAACTATTTGATCGATTTACACATGATTTTGTTTTGAACAAATCGAATAACATACCACTTCAACTTAAATTTCAAAATCAATGAGTGAATGACGTATGATTTTAATTAAAATTTTGGAATCAAAGGTTTGAATAACATAAGATTTCATTTAGACTCTCATTTGAATTAAAATAAACCGCATTGAGTATGAAACCTAGTACTTCAAATAAAACTGAAGTTGGATCTCAAATTTTAAGTAACATAACAAAGTCATTTCTTCTGCCAACAGGTAATAAAATCATTTAACGACAACCGTGTGATACATTAAAAAAAAAAAACTTTTTAAAGATGCAGAGAATCAAATCACTTTTAACATAAGCACATGACCTGTAATCTTTTACAAGATCCTCTTGAACAGAAGTAAAATAAAGCTATGGTTGCCTCTTTGAAGAAGGCTTTGCTTAGTGGTGAAGTAGTAGTCAATAGAAGCTCCTTCTTTGTTTTTGTTTCTTTATAATATAACCCTAATGATTCTCTTTGTTTTTGTGGTGTTATATTTTATTATTCGCAAATTGTAGTAAGAGGAAATCAAACAGACGCCTCTATTAAACTATACTCATTGATATTGTTTGAAACTATATAATTATTACTCTCTTCAAGACTACTTTTTCGTTTTTATAAATGATACTAGTATATTTCTTAGGTATTCAACTGATAAAAGACAGTTTCAGAAAATAAATAACTCGAGTTATTTCTATATTTTAATTTGATATATCGATTTTATTGTTCAGATTAATAACATTCTCATCTAATAAGGTTCAAGTCTGTTTACAGAATCGTACTTTCATTTTGGTTTGAGACAGAAAAAATAGAAACAGTTTTCAGAAGCGAATTATTAATTTGCCGAAAATGCTGACTAATAAGTCATTTATAATATAATCAAATTCAATAATCATGAGATAAGTGACCTCATTGATATGTCCATTACATGTTTAAACTTTTATAAAGAGGTTCAATGAATATAAAACAATCGTTGTTTGGGAATATTCCTCATCAATTACATCATTAAGATATTTATATATTAATACCTCAAATTAAAGTGAGATTAAATTCTATTTGATATCTCTTTCTTACCAATTTAAAACTAACTGAGAAAACAAATAATTTAAAAAATATAAAGGAATGGTCCAATTTAAGGTCTGACCTATGGGCTGTGCTTGCATGCAGTGACTTTGATTTCTAATTTATTAACTGTTACTTTTCTCCTCGTCTTTCCACTATTCTATTTTCTTTCTCAAAGTTGGAGCCAACCTCTTTGTGACTCATTTTAGCAGCCCATTTTTGTACATTTGATTTAATATCAAATTTATATAATCTCCAGGTAATTTGGTATGTATTCTGCTATGAACGGTTTAGAGTTGCTTAAAGAGCTAAATCTCACATTCCAACACACGATAATAAGGTTAAAAATTTCGATGATAACGTATTTAGAAAAGTGGATATGCTGGTTGTATACCTTTACAAGTGATATATAAATTAAACAAAACCATTCGAAGAAAAAACAAAAAAAAAGCTAAATAAGAGTATGCCATATTTTGATGGCCCCTTCCAACCTAACTTTGCATTTTCTTTAAATATACATTATATATATTTCATACTAGTTAATACTTGATACGTAAACCGGGACGTCATTCGTAAAAGCAACACACTTAAATTTGAAATTAGTAACAAACAAAAAATATTTCTTGGCAAAGGAAGAATCTTCAAATACATGGTGGAGAATTAAATCAAAATAAATTATAAAACATTCATTTTTGTTTTTCTTCTAAAGATGCCACAGCCTATTTATAAAGCATTTCTAGTTTTTGTAAAAGGTTTCCTTAATATTTATAGAAAGACTTTCTAAATGAAGTGTGGTATTTTTAGAAAAATGAAGTTTTTTGTGGTATTTTGGATTTTGGAATATTCCTTTTTATATATTTAAATTAATAATATACTTATCGTTCATAAACTTATTAGAGAAATACACTATTAATATGGATTTCACCTAACCCTGATGCGCCAATTAGTCGTCATTTTATCTCTGATTAGGGACTGAGCCTTTTTTAAAGATTATAAATAGTTTATACAATTAAAAAATGTTATGAAGTTCCAGAAGATATGAGCTATGGACCCATGTGATTAATGTCCCCTGCATCTGCTTAGAGGTTAAGTGTTAATCACCTTTTATATTGTTTTTAAAGTATTCTTTTTTCTCGCCAGGTAATTAGTTTCGTATATATTTTTTTAATTTGAACTTTGAAGTTTATTAAGAGCCGCTCATTGTGAACATGGATTGCGCAATGCACGTGGTTTCGTACGGTGCAGATCTATAAAAGAGATTCCCGTCAAAAACGGCGTCGTGCACTGCAGTAGGTGAATGATTAACAATTAACTAGTAACTACCAACGGTAACTAAAATGTACGACTGAAGTGAAATTATTAAAAGGTGACGGTGGTCAAGTCGGCTCAGCGAGAGGATGGAGAGGACTGAATATTTTAATTTGTAATATGAATAATTGTCTTTAAAAAAAATCATCAACTAAATTTACTTTACCATTTCAATAAATCATTTTTTACATACTCTAAAGAACACACTAACTATTTTTTTTTATAACTCATCGACTCTTAATCATTTATCCATTTCACAATATCATACAAGTTGTGAAACTTTCTAACACAAAACCTTTTTCAAGATCTTTCAACGTAAAACTATTTGATACAGTATTTTCCTCTTTTTTTGTGTCAAAATACAATATTTTCCTTGAAGCCATAAATATAATCTATTGTATGTTTGTTTTTAACTTTTATTTTTTTGTAAAATAGATAAAAAAAAATTTGGTGTTAATATTATGTTTGGGTTTTAGTTAAATTTGTTCTGTTTTAATTGTGGATTTTGTTTTGGGAGAAAATTTTGTTTTTTGTCAGTTTTACTTCTTTTTTTGAGGATATTTTTTTATTTATTGACTTAAAATTCTACTTTTATATCTTTTTATATTTTATTTTTGAATATTTAATTATAATAAATAAAAAAAGAAAATTTTTAAAAATAAAGTGAAATGGACACAAAACAAATATGATTAAATTTAAAAACTAACCAAAATATAGGATAAAATATTTAAAAAACAGGGAATGAATTATGGTAACAAATACATTAAAGATTTTCTAGAATTTTCTAATAAAAGTGCAATTTTCAAGACATTGACTGTTTTTATCCTTGATATCTGGTAAACTTTTACCAACCAATTTGTTCATTTTACTATGTAGCCATTAAATCACACCATTACACCACACAAAAATCTATACTTACCATTAATATTATTATTACTTTCTTTTTAAAAAACAGTACCATCACCAAAAAAACAAAGTACACCCACCTACAGATTTTTTAGCTAAAAAAAGCATTTTAATTTTATTATAAAAATGATAAAACAATGGGCGCGTAAATAACGCTTCTTCCACCATCCATTATTTCCTAATAAAAACTAAATAAAACAAACAAATTAAAAAAAAAAAACAAGTGGGATGATTGAGAGATTTGGTTTCTATATAATCCACAACAAACCCTTCATCAAAAACCTCTTTCCCCTTCACACATCTTCTCTTCCTTATCTCCAAAAGATCTTGCTCTGTTTTTATATTTCTATCTCCTCTGTTTCTCTCCACAACAGATTCAATAACCAAAAAAATCCCCTCCTCTGTTTCTCTGTTCTATCATCAGAAACAAAAACTCAGGCCGAGGAAAAGAACATAAAAGTTGAAAATTTGATGATCGGAAACTGATGACTCCGGTTCTCTGCGAAATCTTGCTCTCTGGGCTCACGGTTAAATCTGCTCTCCGCCGTAGAACCCATCTCGTTCAATCTTTCTCCGTCGCCTTCCTCTACTGGTTTTACAACGTTTCATGAATTGCTGAAAAACTCATAAATCTAATCCTTAAAATTAAAACTATATCATATATTCATTATTTTGTCAGACAAATTTAAAAGAAAACCTCCCAAAAAAAATCTGTCCTTTTTATTTTTTGTTCTTGTAATTTTATCTGTTAAACCTTTTTTGCGGCGGAATTAATGGCGTCATCTAGCAGCACATACCGGAGCTCGAGCTCTTCCGACGGCGGTAATCCAACGGATTCCGCCGTCGCCGTCGACGAGCGGAAACGAAAGAGAATGCTATCGAATCGTGAATCTGCTCGTAGATCTAGGATGCGTAAACAGAAACACGTCGACGATCTAACGGCTCAGATCAATCAGCTTTCAAGCGACAACCGTCAGATCTTGACGAGCCTCACCGTCACATCTCAGCTTTACATGAAGATCCAAGCCGAGAACTCCATTTTGGCCGCTCAGATGTCAGAGCTAAGCACCAGACTCGAGTCGTTGAACGAGATCGTCGATCTCGTGACGACGACGAACGGTGCAGGGTTCGGTGGCGTCGATCAGATCGACGGCTGTGGATTCGATGATCGTACGGTTGGAATTAATAGCGACGGATATTACGATGATATGATGAGCGGCGTTAATCCTTGGGGTGGTTCGGTTTACACTAACCAACCCATCATGGCTAATGATATCAATATGTATTAAATTAAAATTAATTATATAAAAACTAGTATTATTGCCCCCTTTTTTGGTTTGATCTTTTTTTATTTTAAGTCTAGCTTTTGTGTTTTTGGGTTGGTGTGGAGATGTAATTAGAGTACATGCATCTTTGATTGGTTGGAAGGATAAATAAACTTATATATATTGGGGCATATATATAGGCTGTCCTTTGTCATGTATTGGGGTGTGCTTTGTTGTTAATTAATATATGAATTTTAAATTCTATAAATGATATGATTATGTTATCATCATTTTGTCTTTTCCATAGTAGTTCAGTAGTTATTAAATACTACTTCATCTAACTTTTATAATTCATATGGTTATGTTATCATCATTTTGTCTTCTCTAGTAGTAGTATTTCAGTATCATCATCCGTTTCATACAAAAAAATACTACAATTTAAAAGCTAGGTTCTTAATATAATTTCGTTTTACAGTTTAAAACAAAGTACCTAATATTATTTTACTCAAATTTTTAAATTTTTGGTTTGAATAGTATACAGTTTATTCTGTTTTTTATTATCATTTATGTGATTTATCAATTTTTTACGTTTTTCATGTTTTTAAACGTGATTCTATTAGCATTTTAAAAATATAATTAAAAAAAGTAATTAATCTATAAAAAATAGTTTTTCAACATTTCATAATAATTCAGTCAAAATATTATTCAATTCAGTTCGTTTCGCTAATAATTTTTCAGTTATTCTGCTATTCTGTTATTTATCTGACATACTGGTATATCAATTTAATAGTTCAATAGTAGTATAACTGAATAATAAACTAGTAGAATCAATATGATTAGTAAACTGAAAACTGAATAAACTTGAAACGTTAAAAAATTAGTATTTATTAGATGAATAGATTTTTTACTAAACTAGTTATAAATTTAAATGTGTAGAATAAATTGCAAAATAGCGTATTAATTTTTACTTTTTATCATTAAATATCTAATATTATGAATAATATGTATTTAGTGGAATTAAATCTAGATATCATTCAATCCTTTTGGATTCAAAATTATCCTTTAATTAGTTAATTAGTAACATACTTATTAAATATGAGTATATTTGTATGACTATTTTTTGGTTAAAAAAATTATCAATATAACACACTCGTGAAATAGAAAAGCACATTTTGAAGAGTTTTTTTTTTAATTATTCGGTGAGTTATGTAACTTTGAACTTCAATTTTAGGTTTAATGGTATATAATTAATGACACCCTTTACATATTTATAAGCTGAAACTTTGATTAACGATTTTTAAAATATGTTATAGATTTGATAAACTTTAAAGTTCTTCAGTTAAACTACAGATAAACAGATGCTGTAAGAAAATACAGATAAACAAATCTTATAGATAATAATACCTTACTTCGTCCAGTATTTTTGCTGAAAAGTATATATATAATTCATACAAAAGGCAATGGACACGAATTCACAAAATTCAATGACTTTTGTTTTTCTTCTTGGAGTGTTATGCCAATTGTACAAACGCAAAACATTTATTAAACATGGTATCTTGAAGATTTAAATTTGTTAGTTTCTTACATATGTGGCCAAGGAAATGTTTAACGTCAATTTCGTTTAATTGCTTTTGCATTTGTCTTTTCTAAATATATCTTTGACGAATATGTTGTAGAATTGTATACTTGTATGGTTGTATTGTAGTGAGTGAACAAGGCATACGTTTTATCTTTTACCCTTTTTCCTTTTTAATTCTATTATCATAAATATAAAAAGTTGGTCTTGTGTGTCTTTACGATTTGAATGTTAACTTTATGCTGGCGACAAAAAAAAAAAACTTTATGTTAGTATGTCACAGACTCACAGGCACCGTCTAATATAATTATGAAAACGAAATATAAACATCAACAAAAAAATAAAATAAATTACACTATTGGCTGTCCTATTCGTCTAGGATATGTGAACCTCTACACACTTGTTCAAAATCATTGGCTGTTTCTTATGATTTTGTTTAATTCAAATAAATAAAATAGAAAAAATGATCTCATCGCTAACGATGGGCTATTATTTTTCGTACATGACATGAGACAATTATTAGGTAAAGACCGTAAGGCTATAAATATGTTTTTTTGTTGTTGTTAAAAATATATAAATGTGTGCATTGATGCGTACAGAGATAGAACATAACTGTTTACACCCATTGCCTATTGATGCTCTGATGCCATATTAAATCTGTATAATCAGATAATTCTATTAACAATATGAGCTCTGCTTATATACAGAGATAGAGATCTCTTTACAAGGAAAACGAAATATACAGAAGTTAATACATTAATCATATGAGCAATTAGGGGAGTTAACGTGATCTTGTTGACTCATAGTTTCCATAGTCTATCAATTAATCACAAGGAAGGTGAAAGAAAAGAAGTTGTAACAGATCTAAGAGTGATCTCTCCGATAGTTACAACTTACAACACAAGCTTGTCGAGTGAATCAAGTTTTACTGGGCCATTGCAAACACTCTTGAAGCCCATCAACAGTTCCCTAGACCTAACACAGCTCAAAATGTATAAACCGAGATCTTAAGCTGGTTAAGACTAACCTAGATTAAACCGAAGAATCAAAGACACACCAAGGAAACTATTTTAACCTAAAACTTGGTATTTGTGAAATTGTTCTTTGCGGTTTTTTTTTTGTCCGGCTGAAAGAAGATAACCAAAACAAAAAACAAAAATCCGTAGGGAAGTCCAATTAAACTGCAACTGAATTTAAAGTCCAATTATATTTTCTTAATTATTGCTTTATTGAATTCGGCCACATTGTTCTAAATGCACACTAAGCCTAATATGCTTTTAGTTTCAACTCTTTTGCCCATTTCGTTTTGATGGCCCGTTTCTTAAAATACTCTCAGTGACACCAATCGCTTATACATTGCATGAACAATTTTTTCATCTTGAAGAGATCATAAGGAGCGAAGTTGGCAGTAAAACATTTGTGTTAGGTCTAAATTATTTAGTTATTGAATCTTATTCTAATGATTCAATTAAAACAGTTTATTGAGAAAGTCACAGTGTTCAAATTTTGCAAAAAGGTACACATATATTTATACTAAAAACGGTAATATCCAAAATAAACAAAACATCGAGAAGATATTATTCGTTAAACACTACTTTAAAACATAAATTCGTTAATAGTAGTGTTTTTAGTATTTGATTTCGTATTATTTCGAAATAGTTATATACTATAGTATCATATTTTTCGTATATCAAGGGCCGTATTTAAACTCGTTGCATGCCCTTATAGTTCTACGGTTCGGCATAGAAAACGTATCGCGGTTCAAGTAGTGGATGTCATGTTTTTTTTTGTTGGTTTTGATCATTGACTAGTTTCTAGAAGGAGACGATGTCAAGAGTCAAAATACATGCATGTGTGAATTGTGATCGCAAATCACGTTGAAATGTTCATAGTTTCCTTCACCCTTGAGATTGCTTTTTACCTGCATATCCATGTCTTATGTTAGAAAAAGACAAAGTCTCTTTTGCTTTTTGTTTAAAAGTCAATAAACATATATGAATCTCTGAGTGATATTGCTTGTTTTGGTGTTTTTTGAGGGGGTCAATAGAGTAGTTACAAACTGTTCGTACTCTTTTTCTGTTTTAGTTATTTTTTTATAACACAAAAGAAGACTTGTGAGACCTTAAATCACGACTAAGTAAAACTATGTAACGCTTATAATAATAGTTAGGTTCGTCAAAAGGATTAATAAATTCTAGTGACAAATTTTAAAACGCGTTTAAGAATATTTGCCACGTGCTTTGTACCAAGTCACCAAATGTGTGAATTTAAATTTAAAACGGTACTCTGAATTTTGGTTTAATATATATTTTACTTTCCTCTTTACTTGCTTTTTATTTTTTTTAAATTAATCGTATTGAATCAAATTTCACATCTACATTTTCATTTTGCTGCATGGGATTGGGATCTCACTTGTTATTTAGCTTCAACTAGTTAGAAAACAAAAAGAAAAATTCACTCTGGCTAAGTATAGTTAGTTTTCACTTTTTAGTTACTACTAACTTTTGCACCTATCATTGGTTTTAACTTTTAACTTTGTTTAACGTACAGAAGTAATCATTAAAAACTAGTAATAACCAAAAAGAGCGGTGAAATAGTCAGTCAAGTTATGCAAGATTGGGACATTTGTATACCAAACGCAAGATTTAGTCTCCTTAAATTAACAACTTTTTCAAATATATTTCATTTTAGAACTCTCTCTCTCTCTCTCTCTCTTAATTAATTTATCTTCAGTATTAAGCTACCAACTCTATCGTATTTGCTTCTTTCTCTCCATGACACCAAAATTTCCACGAACTCTCTTGGCTATAAATACCGTGGATTCTTCTTCTTCTCCTCCATATCTCTTATCACCACAAAGTTATCTCACTCAATCAATCTTCTTTCTTCTTGGTCAAGTTAAAATTTGACGATGGCAAGAATTGGAATTTTTCTCGTTCTTCTCTCTCTCGCTTGCTCTCTTACTCTCTGCATCTGCGACGACGAGAGTAATTACGGCGGCGATGAAGGGAAACTTTCTCCAAGTTTCTACAGCATCTCGTGCCCTAAAGCCGAGGAGATTGTGAGGTCAGTTGTAGCCCAAGCTGTTGCAAGAGAGACTCGTATGGCTGCTTCTCTCATGAGGCTCCATTTCCACGACTGTTTTGTTCAGGTACTAAAAAGATTTTTTCTTTTATGTTACTTTCTCAACAAGCTAACGATTGGTAGAGAATAATCATTGTATCTGTTTGAATGGAAAATGTGTAGGGCTGTGATGGTTCGTTGCTTCTAGATACCAGTGGGAGTATAGTTACTGAGAAAAGCTCTAACCCAAACAGCAACTCGGCTCGTGGGTTTGATGTCGTTGACCAGATCAAAGCTGCATTGGAGAGTCAATGCCCTGGAATTGTTTCTTGCGCCGACGCCTTAACTCTAGCTGCTAGAGACTCCTCTGTTCTTGTAAGTGGTCGCTTTATTTTTCTCTCTTCAATGCTTCCTTAGGTTGTCAAGATCTGATATGGTTTCGATTTGAGTGTAGACTGGTGGACCAAACTGGATGGTTCCTTTGGGAAGAAGAGATTCAACAAGTGCAAGCTTGAGTGGCTCAAACAACAACATTCCTGCACCCAACAACACTTTCAACACAATTCTCTCGAGGTTTAGCAATCAAGGTCTCGATCTCGCTGATATGGTTGCTCTCTCCGGTAAGCTTACTTCACAAACAAGGAAGAGACATGCTCATGTTTACTTTACTTGCCTCTCAAGTTAACAATAAAACTCTTTATCAATTGTTTTGTTTGTCAGGGAGCCATACCATCGGATTCTCAAGGTGCACTAGTTTCAGACAAAGACTTTACAACCAGTCTGGAAACGGAACTCCCGACACAACCTTAGAGCAATCCTATGCTGCTAACTTGCGCCAAAGGTGCCCTAGATCAGGTGGGGACCAGAATCTGTCGGAGCTTGACATTAACAGTGCCGGAAAGTTTGATAACAGCTACTTCAAGAACTTGATCGAGAACATGGGATTGTTGAATTCCGACCAGGTGTTGTTCTCTAGCAACGAGCAATCCAGAGAGCTCGTGAAGAAGTATGCAGAGGATCAAGAAGAATTCTTCGAGCAGTTCGCGGAATCGATGATCAAGATGGGAAATATCTCTCCTCTGACAGGTTCCAGTGGTGAGATCAGAAAGAATTGCAGGAAGGTGAACTCTTGATTTCGCAATACGAATGGGCGAAATAGAAATGAAAAATGTTTTTGGGTTAAAAAATTATGTTTCTGTTCTTTGTTTTTTTTGTATGTGTCAAGAATTGAATAAACTTTGTGTGTTTGAACTTTAAATGATTAAGCTATAAGTGTATTGGTTATTCATATATAATTATGTTTGTTAAAAGGCTCATGGCCATTCTATAGGGTCCATTAATAGCCTTAACAAGACTATCGAATGAAAGTGGAATACCAATATAATTTATTCTTTCACACTTCTTTGCTTTTCAGTTTTTCACCAACATAATATTGTATATTCATTCCTTTGTTTTCTGAACTTTTAATCAACACTCGTCTAATCATTTCTGTTTATTTATACAGTGTTTAAAGATCATAAAAGTTCTTAATAAATCAAGATTAAAGTTGATTTAGTTAACTAGATATCAATATTTGATATAATTAAGTTAAAAAAAGATTCGATATTATTAATGATAGCCTTCTTAATTAATTAATTCCGAAGGAATTTGACGGAGCATATTCTTATTATTTTTATTGGTAATATTAATAATTAAAATATATCAAAAGTAGTTATTCCGGATAGCATATAAAAAGAGAGAATTATACCTGTTTCGGGTACGCTAACAATTATTTGAGTTAATCTATATCTCTCTTTATCATAATCTTCAAATATATTTAGATGGCATGAATAACAAAAATTGCTGAGGATTATTTTCAAATATATTTCTGAAAATAATTTTTATTAAATGTTAGCTAGTTTGTATTCAGAAGATTTTGGTGACGATTCTTTTATAAGTGAATAATTCTAAGAATATTTTATTTATTCTCATAAATTTATATTTTATATTTGATTATCTTTGAAACAAAATCTTCAAAAAGAATTTACATAGAATATACCTCGATCTTTCATCTTATATAAAGATCGATCACTCACACACATTTACAAAGTACAAAACATTAAAAAAATTGCAATAACAAAAAAAAGTTCAACATGGGGTTGAATCGTTTAGCACTCGTTTGCTCCGCCGTCCTTTTGCTAACCTTCTCCGTGGTGAGCCATGCCGGAGTTACCAGTAACTACACCAGAGTAGCTGAACCTTCCGAAGAGATGCCACTAGAAACCTTCCCTCCTCCTGCTGGCTATAACGCTCCTGAACAAGTACTTTTCAATTTTTTTTATGGACTCGATTCGTTAAATCTATGTTTATTTATGAATTACGAACATTTTTTTTTCATTTATCAGGTTCATATAACCCAAGGAGATCACAATGGTCGAGCTATGATAATCTCGTGGGTAACGCTGGTAAACGATGATGGTTCTAACGTTATTAGATACTGGCCTGCTAATACTGACGGAAGTACAAAGGAGAGTGCTGAAGCTTCAACATCGTCCTATAGATACTTCGACTACACCTCTGGTTTTCTTCATCACGCAACCATTAAAGGGCTTGAGGTTCGTAAATTTGATTATTAACCTTTTCTTCTTCCTTGTGCAGTACGAAACTAAGTATTTCTACGAGCTTGGAAGCGGTCGCTCCACTAGACAGTTCAACTTCATGACTCCTCCGAAAGTTGGTCCTGATGTTCCCTACACATTTGGTGTCATTGGTAATCTACAGATTCATAATTTGAACAAACGAATACTATGGTTTTGATTCTAACTTCCCATATCTTAATTTACTCTGGTTATCTCTGTAGGTGATTTGGGACAAACATTTGCCTCTAACCAGACATTGTACAATTACATGTCGGCCAACCCTAAAGGCCAAGCTGTTCTTTTTGTTGGAGACTTGTCATACGCTGATGACCACCCGAATCACGACCAAAGAAAATGGGATTCTTACGGCCGATTTGTGGAACCGAGTGCTGCGTATCAGCCTTGGATTTGGGCTGCAGGGAACCACGAGTTAGATTTCGCCCCATCACTAGTAAGATCCGATCTAAATATATCTTTCTATTAAAAGAAAATGATTTCTTAGGTTTTTTAGTTTTATTAAAACCATTTGATCCGTTTGCAGGGCGAGAATCAAGCCTTCAAGCCATTCCAAAAACGTTATCAAACGCCCTACAGAGCCTCAAAGAGCACTTCTTCTCTTTGGTACTCAATCAAACGAGCCTCCACTTACATCATCGTACTCTCCTCTTACTCAGCTTTTGGTAACGATCTAACACCACACTCTATAAAATTATAATCTGTATTTTATAATCTAACGTGTTTCTTGTGTGGTATGTTACCATAGACAAGTACACACCGCAAAACTCATGGCTCGAAAGTGAACTAAAGAAAGTAAACAGAGAAGAGACTCCATGGCTGTTTGTTCTGGTTCACTCGCCGTGGTACAACAGCAACGGTTATCACTATATGGAAGGTGAAAGCATGAGGGTCACGTTCGAGCCATGGTTGGTGCAAAACAAAGTCGATATTGTGTTTGCTGGTCATGTTCATGCTTACGAGCGATCAGAGCGTGTCTCTAACATCAAGTACAACATCACTGATGGTTTGAGTTCTCCGGTGAAAGATCCATCTGCTCCGATTTACATCACCATTGGAGATGGAGGCAACATTGAAGGAATCGCTAACGAGTTAGAACAAGAAAACCTTAAAATACCATTTGATTGATTTTTATTTTACTTTGTCCTCTTTGATTAAGAATCGTCTGTTTTTCATGCAGTTACACGTATCCGCAACCGAGTTACTCAGCCTATAGGGAGGCGAGTTTCGGACACGCTATTCTGGATATCAAAAACAGGACTCACGCGCTATACACTTGGCATAGGAACCAAGACGACGAGCCTGTTGTCGCCGATTCACTATGGGTGAAGAACAGATACTTCTTGCCGGAGGAGGAGACAGATTCCGTCGACACTAGGATATGATTAGCTTTGGCTTTTTAGGTTTCCCGTTTAGTATTTCTATCTCTTTATTTTTTTTTAAGATTAGTTAGTTTTTTCTTTTAGTGTTCTTTGAATTTGTGTGGTTTTTTTTTTCTAAGTTTTTTCTAACTTGTTGTGTTGGATTATTTAGCTAATGAAGTGATAATAATTCCAACATCGTACTTCACTTCTCTCAGATATTCATCTCTGCAAATTTCTCAGAAATTCGTAACCACATTTCTGTATTTTCCCAAAACACTTGCCCTAATTGAGAAAATAACTCGGACAAGATCACCATAAACGTGGAGATCCAAAATCATATCATTTTCAAAAATATCGTTAAGATTTTGTTGGAGATTCCAGCTAAAATCAGAGTTCTAATATTTAGATAGAAATAAGGTGATCTCAAAATTAGACCAAAAATAAGGTGAACTAAGGTAGGTTTTGCTGGATTAACTTATATCACTAATGAAGTGATGAACAATTTCTCTTTAAATTAATTCCAACATCTTACATCAGTTACCAGTTAGCTTCTCTCGGTATGAGATTGAGGCATGTAACTTTTCGGATATCATACAAATAAAAGAAAATTAACCTAAATAAGAAGATAAATATAATTGAGGAGGAGATCTAAAATATATATAAAAGAAAAAGAGATCATCGTAATTTTAAGTAAGGAGATTAAAAAATATATAAGAATATACTCCAACAGTTTCGAATTTTGAAATGGCTTGTTGGGAGATTTCAGCTAAAATCATTGTGAGGATATCTAGAAATATCATAGATTGTAGTTAGTTGGTGATCTCCTGCTATCGTCGAGATTGGAAGTAGGTTAGTTGTTGGTTATAATGATTTATCAAAGTCAACAAAAGCAATGTGTTATTCAAATGTTTTAATTTCGTTGACTATATAATTATTTAAAAATAATGGAATGATCGAGTAACATGATATCCTTGAAGTTACTTTACCTAAAACTAGGATATTGGCTCGCACGCATGTGCAGGCATGAACAATTTTAAAATATAATTATCTAAATACAATATTTAAATCTGTTTTAAATATTTTAATTTTTGTAGTATATGAAATTTAAGGTCAATATTTTGAATTATAAGACTTTAAATTAAGTAGTAAAATATGATCTAATTTTAACTAAATATTTTGTTATAACAAAAGGTTCATTTATATTTTGAGACAGACTTGAAAAATAATAATTAAATTTGGAAAACACAAAACTTATTTTTCCATGATCAGGCTTTGTAAAACTTGACCAGTTATGTTAGAGGATCAAATGGATCAAATCCGTGGATAGCTGGTTACTTTTTTTAGATTTACGGATCAAGTTGCAAATTTTATCTTCTCTGTCTTTTTTTTTTAACAAACGTTTTTTATTTTCTTTGTCTTCCTATAATCTTCCTCAATTTAAAGCATTATTTCTTCAAAGATTCCGTCATTGTTGGTCTCAATCTACTTATATGTGCGATTTTTCTACTTATAATTTTATCAAGTAGACTCTACAAATAATTGCAAGACCATCTCCACTTAAGCATCGAATGCTTCAATTAACCCTATTGCAAGACATGTTTTAGCGAAGGTTGAATATAAAACTCTGTTTACTGTTCTATTATTTTTTGAAACATATTGGTCTTCTCTGAACATTTAGCAACATTTTAAGGTAGAAAAGTTCACCATATTCTTCTGAAACTTCTGGAAGGCTAATATCGTAGGGAACATTGTTTTTTCTGTTGCGAGGGAGCCACTTCTTAATTTTTTGATGCCAAACCCATTTGTTTGGAAATTTAGTGTGGCGATAAAACCTTGCTTCATTACACTCACGATTGAAGTCTATACAACCTTCAAGTTTCATTTTAGCCATAATCGATTTAGATAAATGGATTGGTAGAATTGACATGCCCGTGTTTTGAGTTAGGGTTTGATTTGTTTGATACTTATTGTGTTGTGATGTTTTTTTTATATAAGGATCCGAGTATTTAACTTTTTTCATTAGTTATTTGGGATGAACATGATTTTATATGGATCTTTTTGGTTTTTATTAAATAGACATTAAACTTTTCAAATAATGTAGAGGATAATGATTTTGGTTTTTCATTAGATGCATGTTGATTTTTTAGGATATTCAACTTTTGTTACAAAAAATAATGTAGATGATTATTAAATCGAAATTTATATTTATATTTGTTACTATTTTTAAACTAAACTAATATTTTAAAATTTTGAATGTTCTACAGAAGATCACAATAATATCTTATTTTATTATTATAATTTTTTTAACTTAAGTATGTGAAAACATATGTGCACGTAAATGGAGCACCGCCTTTACAAAAAGTATGAATTATTAAGTAAACGATTTGATCAATATGATTTTGTTATTATAATTTTGCCTACTGAAATATATGAAAATATATGTGCATGTATTTCATATGAATATAGTATTATAATATATATATAGATATGTGTATATCTATATGGAAAGTTACAGTGATCCACGATAGAACAATAGTAAATTTAATATATATAATATAGTATTATAATATATATGTGTATTAAAATCATCACGTTCAGCCCAAAATTCATATGCTATTACCCATATAGATGAATAATAATATCAGATTATTCATAATGCATCTGGCGAATCATTCATTTAGTTATTAGTACACTAAATTTTGTCATCTAATTAAATTTTTTATAAATGAAAATATCATAAAAAAAAAATCTGCCATGTCATAAACCACATGTGTTAGTAAATGCCATATCACAATTACATCATCATTACACATCATCATTTCCATGTCACATTTAATTAGGATAGAGAAAGGATTTTAACCAATCAAATTAAAACAAATCAGCATTTTTCATTAAACTACATTCTCGATTAATAGGTAGAAGATTATTTTTTTTTGTTTTTTTCTATAAAAAAGAACTTGTAAATATCAATTGGAAGAACTAAAAAATATATAGACATCACTAAACAGAAGGTTGATAATGATAAACAAGATATTTGATTAAGTTATTTATTTTGTATGAGATAATTTTAAATAAGAAAAAAGGGAGGGATAAATCTTTGAGAGTGTATAAAATATTTGGTAAAATTTTATGAATGCTTTTTATAATATAATAAAAATTCAGTTCTAAAACAATTAAAACTGAATAATTTTGAATAAATCCATAACCAGTAAGGTCCCTTTATAAAAAATGCAGAGTTCAATCTAATCGGCAAATATAGATAAGAGATGTTTCCATTTACAACATAATAAGAAAAAAAAAAGGATAGTCCATAGTCATCGCAAAAAGAAAGAGAAGCACTGTACATTGGATCTCCATTGAGCTAGAGCCGTGCCTATAATGTTAGTGAAAAGGTATTTGCTTCAAGTAATTTAAATAATATAAAAAATTTGGTCATTTGACCCAAAAAAGAAAAAATTGGTCAAATCCTAAAATTTGTTTTTAGTGTAGTAATAATGTATACTTTTTGTTAAATCATTCTCTCAGTTCAAGTTTTTTCTTAAAATTTGTTTTAACTATGTACAAAAAATTATTATCCCTAATTAGTTTGATTAGTTACCAAGATCTCAAAAGATCGATTTTTTTTTTTCTGGAGCCATTAACATTTTGATCCATGATTTTGACATTCATTTTCTCTATGCAACAATTTTTTGTTTTTATGTCATGCAACCATTTTTAATTATGTTCAGAAATAACTAAATATTGTTTTTATTATGCCAATTTGATGAAAAACTTTATAGAAAAAAATAAGAAAATCAATTTTTAAAAAAAATTAATCGTGGTTGTAAATATTATTAATCGAAAAAATGAATGTTTTTATTGTTTGAATTTAAATATAAATTTAACATATTTTTTTTAACTTGTTTCAACCTCTTCAAAGTCTTGGCATGGCACTGCATTGAAGATCTCTTAAAAGACTATTTCAATTTTTAAAATAATAAAATAATAGAAAAGGATGAGAGAGAGATGAGATTCTTGAATAAAAAATTTAAGATACTCTTTTTAAACATTTGCTTCTTTATGATTGGTTAATTTTTTTTAACTTAGTAATTAATTAGAAAATGAAATTATATAAAACATATTAGTATTATTATATTGGTTGAGATACTCAAATGAGTATCTATCCATTTGAGTTGCTTTCAGAATTTTGCGACAGATTAAGTTTTCACGGGCCTTTCCCTCTTTATATAATTCCCTGCTGCTCTATGCTATATGCACCCACAAATTATTAAATTTCACTATTGTACATGACTACGAGTCTAAGACGTTAAATTTTAAAAGGTTTCTAATTAAAGTTCAGTTTTTAATTTTAGATAAGAGATGTTTTTAATCTTGTACTGACTGAATATTTTTGGATATATCTAAAGTAATATATTTGTATATTGTGTTGTTAAAAATAGATATATACAGACAACTTTAATAGAGAAATGGTTACCAAAAAAGAGCAAATGTAAAGGACACGTAGGTGGCGCAATGTTCCCTTGCATAGCCACTCTAAATACAAAATAGAGTAACATGCTTCTTTAATTCCCCTTTCTATAAAACTCGTTCTTTGCTGTTAATATTTTGAATTTTCAGGCCCATATGTCTGTTTTATTAGTTCTTCTCATTAATGTGGAGGCTAACAATTTATGTTTTGATTTCAAACTTTTTTTGTTTTTCTTCATGAATTGGTTTGAATATTGTTTGGGAGGAGTGAGAGATGGAAAAGGGAAAGGAGCCGGAGATGTGCGGACATCAACTCATACTTCAATCCTAAAAACGGTTTTGAACCATAGTGTCTAAAGTGCAAGCTTTTTTATTAGAGTTGCCTGCATTTGGTTAGAGATACACTTTTGAAACCAATAAAATTTTATAATTTGAATGATTTCATGTGAATTATGATATCAAGCATCTGATATAGTTTTTCTATTAATGAGTTCATAACCTGGTGAAACTATAGGTATCTATTAAATAGGTATATCTGTAGTTATTAAAACTCCACCATGTGTTAAAAAAAGGATCCTATGGTATCTGATTCTATGTATATTATTATACTCAATAGATATAGTATAGGTTTTTAAAAAAAAAAAAATTGGAAAAGCAAAGTGTAAGTTTTTTTTTTCTTTTCTCAACCGTATAAATGGCAAATTACTTGAGTTAAAACCTAATTATGCAATAAATTAACTAGAGTAGAATTTGAGATGAGGTAGATTAATATTACGTATGGGGGACACAAGTCACACAACCCATGAGCTACTTTTCTGGTTTAATTACTGCCAGTGGCCAGCTATATATGGTCCCTAAGTCCTGAGATTGAGAAGGACTGCAGGAGAGAGTAAGTATGATGAACCCATAGAGAATGAGATTTTTTTTAAAATGAGATAAAGAAGTGGTATAAGAGTTAGAGATATATAGGAGAGTGAGTTTCTTTGATTGGTTTCGTTTTGTTTGTAAAGAGAGACAAAACCAGAAGCTTTTCACTTTGGTTTCTCAAAATCTGCAAAAAGGTAAAAAAAAAAATCCAAGAGAGAGATAAAGATAAATTCTCTGTAACTCTCATCATGTCGGCTAAAAGAAATCTAGAGCGAGTAAGGAGACATCTGTAGTTGCTTTCTCTCTCTCTCTCTCTCTCTCTCTCTCTCTCTCTCTTTCTCTCTCTCTCTCTACACCCCAACCACTCATCTTGCAAGTAATGAGAACAATCTGTAGGGAGAAGATTGAGATTTAAAGAGCACTGAAAGAAAAGAGTCGGCCAAATCTCAAGATTTCATGGTAATTATTAGGGTTTGTGAATTAAGTATTGTAATTTAAGATTAGGGTTCTAGGAAGAGCTAGTTCAAGGTTAAACATGGCTGGGATAGGATCATCAAGAAACAACGAAGAAAATCAACAAAAGAAAAATTGGGTTTGGTACAGAAACACAAGCAACCCAAACACGAGCCACAACAATCAGCAGCAGATATGGCAACAGCAAAGCCTCGATCTATATCCAGGTCAGATCAACGTCTGTGATTTGACCACGTCATCAAGATCCGTAACCATAAGTTGTCAAGACTGTGGAAACCAAGCCAAGAAAGGGTGCACGCACATGCGGTGCAGAACTTGCTGTAAGAGCCAAGGGCTCGATTGTCCTACTCACGTGAGGAGCACGTGGATCCCAATCGCCAAACGCCGTGAGCGGCAGCAGCAGATACAGACGCCGATCTCCAATGTAAATGGCGGTGGTGGGAATATCCCAAAAGGGTATAGAGAAATCGATCTACCGGCTACCTTAGACTCATCAGGTTTGGCTTCAAAATTTTCATTCTTGCTGCGTAATTGATTTTTGCGTTTCTATTTCCTTATACATATGTTAAAGATTGTAAATTATTATCTTATGTTAAAGTTTATCTCTAATTTTAAAAGACAAGGCATCATCACTTATTTTATATGAAATATCATTCAGACGTTGCAAATACAAATCCAAGAGGTTAAAAAAAATTACTACTTAAGAAACAGAAACAGAAGTTTCATTTCAAATTGATGAAAACTGAACATATTGTATTTTTTTAATGCAATATAAGTACTAAATGTAATATATAACAAAACATTTGTGTCCGAACCAATCATCCTTTTGATTTTGTTAGGGTTTTGATTTATGTTTATTGTGAAATGTTTGCACTGAGTTTTTGTAACGTTTTTTAGGGTTAGAGATGGGAGAGACAACATTTCCAGAAGAAGTGAGCTCAGATGCACTTTTCCGGTGCGTTAAAATGAGCGGTGCAGATGACGGAGATGGCCAATATGCTTACCAGACGACGGTGGGCATAGCTGGTCACGTCTTTAAGGGAATTTTATATAACCAAGGCCCGGAAAACAAGTTCATGCCTGGTACACAATTCTATGAGAACCCACCAAGATCTTAATAACAATATCTTTATTTCTTTATTTTTCAATTTTGTGTTTGTATTAACTATCCAATAATAATCATTAACAAATCAATTAGCTCGGTGATTAGAGAGCTTGGAATGTATTTCAACTGCATTTTGGTAAAAGTAATTTCAACAATTATGCTGATTGGTGCCGGTTGCTTCTCCTAATTTTGGAAAAGAAAAATTGGAATATATTACCCACAAAAAGAACAAATCCGTTTTACTGTTTCAACATTTGTTTCTACTGTTTAGAAAGTGGAGAAATGAACATTTTAGGAAAGAAGTCCATCGGGAATACTAGTTTTTAATAGTGAACAAATTTTTGAGTTCAAACTTATTCCGAAACAATTGACAAAAAGAAAAAGAAAAGAAAACAATATTCCAAAACAATTCAAAAAATGTGAGGGGAAATTGAGATATAAGTAGAAAAAGGTCCCTGCAAAGACGAATGTCTACTCTGCAACCATCTAGTGATAGTGATGCATAGACCAAAAATAGATAATTAAATATGAAAAAGACAACTCATGTGACTCGTGATTAATTATGTAAATTATATAACGTGCCTATGCATGATTAGGGAGGGTCTATCACAGTAAATTCCAATAAATGAGTGTTGTTGTTTATTGCCTACTCGGATAACCGTGTAAATTTTTGTACGGATGTATTTATTTTCTATTTATTTTTGCTATGTATTGAGCCAAGCTTGGAGGTAGACCCTTTTGTAACAAAGCAAAATTTATGCCAAAATGCACAGAGATTTTTTAAAATGTAGAAAGCCAGATTTTTGTTAACATTTAAAATCAATACAACAATAATACATAAGATTCTCTAGGTGAAGACACCTAAGTTTTTTCAAGCTTTTCTTAAGATGACCCCTCAAAGCAAAAAAATTCACTAATAAAAATATTTTATTAATACAACTCATCTATTTATTTTAATTTTCAAACTTAAACCCATTAAAACTCTAATATTTTTTTTGCTAATCATTGTTTTATTTTTTATCAAATTTAAGCCCAAATAATAAATAACAGCAAATAAAAAAATTAAATCTTTGTTTTATTTTTTGCCAAATCTAAATCCAAATAATAATTAACAGCATATAGATAAAAAAAATTTTAGCTATCTATTTTTTTTTGACAGAGACGTATATGATTGAAAAAAGTGTAGGCTTATAATAAACTATGTTTCCATAACAACAACGCAAAAAGCGTTATGTTATAAGAAGGTCACGCATCAGCAAAATTTGAACCAATAAAAAGATAACAATAATACATATCATTAACACACTAATAAAATCAGTTTATTATTTTGCTGACCCATTTAAAAAGCTCAAAGTTTAGAAAAAATGGAAGTCCAAAGCAAATAAGGAGAAGCTCAAACCACCACAGCTTGAAATTCGTATTTCCGGTGGTTACCGAAAATAAATTTTCTTAGGTTGGCGGGAATAGATAACTTTTTAGTTTTGATAGGAAAATATGATTTTCAGTTTTGGTAGGAAAACATAATTTTTTGGTTATGGTGGAAAAAAATGAATTCTCGTGTTTGGCAGAAAAAAGTGAATCTTTTATTTTGGTGACAAATTTTTTTTTTTATTATTTTGATGCGAAAATAAAATATCTTAGTTTTAACGAGAAAATGCGAGGGAAATGCAACTTTCAATTTTGGTGAAAAATACGATTTCTCGGTTTTGATAGGAAATGCAAATTTTTAGCTTTTGATGGATATGTGATTTTCTGATTTTCACGGGGAAATGTGATTTCTTAGTTTTTGCGGAAATTTGTAATTTGACGATTTTGGCAAAAAATACAATTTCTCGGTTTGATGGAAAAACATATTTTTTTCCATTTTGGCGGGAATAAGCAATTTCTCAGCTTTGATTGGAAATACAAATTTTTAGTTTTTGACATATAATGTGATTTTTTTGGTTTTCATGGAAAATTATAGTTTATCGGTTTTGGTTGGAATGCGTGATTCTTGATTTGATGAGAAAATAATTTTTTAGACAATTTTTTGGTTTTCGTGGGAAAATAAAATTTTCGGTTTTGATGGAAAAATACGATTTTTTGGATTTTGCAGGAAGATGATTTTTTTGGTTTTGATGAAAAAACTTGATTTCTCTGTTTTGGCAGGAAAACACACGTTCTCGCGGGAAAATATGATTTTTTGGCTTTTGTGGGCAAAATCCAATTTCTTTGTTTTGGTGGGAAAATAAAAATTCAGGTTTGACGTGAAAATAATTTTTTTATTTAACTTCAACTAAATTGATATTTCAACATTTCAAACAGAACTTTTTATTTAGTTCTAAAGCAAAAGCAATGGTTTTAATATGAATGTTATTGATTATAGTTTGGTAGTTTTAGAAACATATGTTTATAATAAATATTTGATAAATAAATAAATTTTATAATTCAAAATAATCATATTAATTAATAATTTTTTTAAACGGCAATTTGCTTTATATAATTTCAAAAGAGGATCAAGTAGCAATTTAGTAGAGAAAATAAATAATATTTGCCATTAGCATGAAGGCACTTAATAATATATTATTTTATTATTACATATACATTTATAGATAATTAGCTAAACAAATTTGATAATAGATTATAATTTTGAAATTTTTTAAAAATTAAGTATATATAATGTTTTTCAGATTTAAAACATATAAATACATAACTTAAGCTAATACAAAATAAATATAATACTCATTTATATTAATTTTATTATATTAAAAATATATGCAAAATCTAGAAAAATATTCCACAGCGTAGCGCGGGTAAATCTCTAGTATCTATAATATTAAAAGAAATTAACGAGACATAGGTTGAAAGTTTAAGCTTTGTTTTAGAGTTTTTACACATATTAAAAAAACATATTAAAAAAATATTAAAATTTGACTATAAATGTATTATTTTTTGTGATCAACAACTTCTAATAAATTTTAACCAATAATAATTAAAGAAATTCAATTTTTTTAAAGCTATACTAGGTGGTTGCCTGCACATATGTGCGATATAATTTTTTTTATATACATAGTTAATTGTAATATTTAAATATTAATTAGTTTTTTTAAACATTGGTATGTTTGTATATATATATTTTTTAATATTTCACAAACTTCTTTCTGAAACCAATGTATTTTAAAAACTTTATTTTTATAATTCTTGTAATTGTATATAATCACAAATATAAAAGTTATGTTAAATAATAATTAAATTTTTATAATATTTTTTTTAAATATTTCTATAATATGCTTTATTTCTCCTTACACAATCTACAATATGCTTTTTTGCGTCTTACATAATATGAATTTACAAATACATATATAATATATTTTAAGTATATATTTTTTATTTATTGCAAATTAAACTAAAATAGTTTTTACCATTTTTACTAATTTTTAAGAGCGGATAGATGGTTGGCACGCATGTGCGGACATACCGACTTCTTCACTACACTTAGAATAGATAAATATTTTTTAAAAATATAAATTATATAATAATTCAAATAAAAATTAGTCTGTAATCAATCTTAACAAAATACATGCACGGAAAAATTCACACGTGACTTCAACTAACGTACAATTAATATTTATGTCTGTACGCGTATTTGTAAAAAAATTGAAATATGGCTCTTAGGTATTAAAAAGTTATTAAGTGACTTTGTAAAACAAAATGCAAGAGATTTTTTTTTATATACTTCTATTTTTATTTTTTATTTATTTTGTTTCATCTTATTATAATTTATTATTTCGTTCGGTTATTTTTTATTTTATTTATGTTCTCAAAATTTTGATATACAATGAAAATAATTTTATGTATGTATATATAATTTATTTCTATTTAAAATATAATAAGAGATAAGAGGAGATGGTAACATAAGTTATGTACATTTTAGAAAACAACAATAAAAAGATGATAAAAGTTATAGAAAAATATATGGTCCTATTAATATTATAAAATAATAATTAGTATATACTTTATTCATTTAGTAAATATTGGTTTGAAAAAAAAAATTATTTTACGTTTTTTTTTAAAAAGTTCAATAAAAATTGATTATTTTTTATTATTTTTAACATTTTATTCTTTAAATTATTTTTATCATGATTGTATTTTATTTAAAATTATATTATTTAATAATTTGTTTATTTAAAACTTGTTTAGATGTTATTAATATATTTTGTAAATTAATAACTTTCTGAAATAAAAATATATCATACTATAAGTACTATTAATAAATAGAATTTTTATTATTCTATTCGATAGTTTAATATTATTTTTCATTTTATATAAGAAATTATAATATATTTATATATATTATTGAAAAAATTTTGTAATTATATTTTATGAAATTATGAATATATGTTAAAAAATTGAAATTATAATAACTTTTATTTTCTGTTAATTTAAATTTGTTAATTTTAGTGTTATAAATAAAAATTTTGTTTATTTATGTTTTAATTCCATAATTTCTATAATTTTAATTCAACCAATCAAAATATTTCATTTATTTTAGGAAGTTTGACATGTCACATTTACATGTCATCAATTAAAAGCACTAACTTTGGCTGTAGTGTTGACAAATCAGTTTTTTTCACTATTGTTACTTGTCAAATAATAAGAAGAAGGATTTTATTATCATTAACTAATAAAAATGCATCGAGAACACAACATTCATCTTTTTAAAGAATTTTTTTTTCTTCTTAAAATATCATTTTTTAAAAGAACAGATGGAGTATATATATACTCAGATTTGTCAATGTAAAAGAAGCTGTCAATTAGTAACACTCACATTCGCCGTTTAAAGGTTTAAATCCACTACATATTATTTGAGAAGTAACATTATTGAAAATAGCTGATTTGTCAACACTACAGCCAAAGTTAGTGCTTTTAATTGATGACATGTAAATATGACATGCCAAACTTTCTAAAATAAATGAAATATCTTGATTGGTTGAATTAAAATTAAAGAAATTGTAAAATTAAAATATAAATACATTATATTATATTTATAACACGAAAATTATCAAATTTAAATTAACAGAAAATAATAATTATTATAATTTCATTTTTTAAAATATATTCATAATTTCATAAAATATAATTACGAATTTTTTTCAACAATATATATATATATATTTCAATTTCATATAAAAGCAAAAAAATAATACTAAATATCCAATAGAATAGTACAAATTCTATATATTAATAATACTTGAAGTATATTATATTTTTATTTTGGAAAGATATTAATTTACAAAATATAGTAGTAACATCTAAACAAGTTTTAAATAAAACAATTATTAAATAATACAAAATACAATCATGATAAAAATAATTTAAAAATAAAATGTTAAAAATAATAAAAAAATAATTAACTTTTATTGATTTGTTTTTAAAAAACGTAATTTAAAATAATTTTCCTTTTCAAACTAATATTTACTAATTGAATAAAGTATATGCTAATTATTATTTTATAATATTAATAGGACCATATATTTTTATATAACTTTTATTATTTTTTTATTGTTGTTTTCTAAAATGTACATAACTTATGTTACCATCTCATCTTATCTCTTATCATATTTTAAATATAAATAAATTTTTATAACATATTCACACAAATATATATATATATATATATATATATAATTTTTTTTTTCATTGTATATCAAAAATTTGAAATCATAAATGAAATAAAAAATAATCAAACAAAAAAATAAATTAAAATAAGATGAAACAAATATGAACAAGAAATAAAAAAATAAAAGTATATAAAAATAAACCTCTCGCATTTTGTTTTACAAAGTCACTTAAAAACTTTTTAACACATAAGAGTCATATCTAGATTTTTTAACAAATATGCGTACAAACATAAATATTAATTATGCATTAGTTGAAGTCACTTAAAAAGTTTGCATGTATTTTGTTAAGCTTGATTACAGTCTAGTTTTCATTTTAATTATTATACAATTTATATTTTTAAATTTTTTTATCTATTCTAAGTGTAGTGAAGTAGTTGTATGCCTGCACATGCGTGCCAACAATCTATTCGCTCTTAGGAATAAGTAAAAATAGTAAAAGTAGTAAAAACTATTTCAGCTTAATTTACAATAAATCAAGAAAAGATATATACTTAAAATATATTATATATGTATTTGCAAATTCATATTATGTAAGATGCAGAAATGCATAATGTAGATTGTGTAAGGAGAAATAAAGCATATTATAAAAATATTTAAAAAATAACTTTTATATTTGTGATTATATATTATTACAAACATTATAAAAATAATCTTTTAAAATACATTGGTTTCAGAAAGAAGTTTGTTAATATTAAAATAATATATATATACAAACATACCAATATTTGAAAAAACTAATCAATATTTAAATATTACAATTAACTATGTATATCAAAAATATTATCCGACACATATGTGCGGTCCAACCACCTAGTTCACCATAAAAATCTATGAACAACAGAATTTATTCACAGATTTCATTATGATTAATAGTTACAAGAGATTTTCATCACGACTAATAGTCAATGAACATGCACACTCAAAACGAAGAAAAGATCTTTGCATGCCATGATATGCAATTGCATATACAGAGAACTTACTAGTTTATTAATAAAAATCGATGAAAAATGCTGAAAGCGAGCTATATAAACAAAGAAAAGCAGGAAACATAACTTACGAAAACAACAAATGGAGGTCCCATATAGGGGGTTTGAGCTTGAGATCGGAACACTATACATGTCCTAAAGTCTCTCTAGCTTATCATATTTTGAGAATATATTTAAAGAAAGTAGTGACATAAAACCTTAACATGAGAAGGACAAGGCCGAACAAATCTTCAACAAAACCGAGCCTAATGAAGCTAAGCTTGTATGCGTTCCATGGCGGATATCGAGCTTCTAGCTCAACGGCCAAGTTTCCTTCCATGACCGCTTTCTCGTGGCTGAAACATTCGTAAGAATATTTACCATGATACCTCCCCATGCCACTATCTCCCACTCCTCCAAATGGTAACTCATCGCAAACACCCTGTAATTTTGGACAATAATAAGTAAAAAGAAACTAAAACTGAAACAAAAACATAAAAAAAATCTCTCAAACATTGTTTGTAAATAGTTCATTTTAACATGTATACATACCTGGATCATGACATCGTTAAACGTGACGCTTCCTGAGGATGTCTCCGACAAGATTCTGGTTTTGAGGTTGTCATTTTTGGTGAATATGTAACATCCCGGTTTCGCTAAACCGGTCTGTTATTTTTTTTCTTTAATGTTTGAAGCTCAAAAGCCTGTTAAGTCCATTAGGTTATAAAAACCTTAACCCTAGAGTCCCCTTTCCTCTATATAAAGAGTTAGAGAGTCAGAATTGTCATCACAATTCCCAGAACACTCAGAGATAGAAATCCTAAACCCTAACCTTCAGCCAACGCCGCTCACCGCCGAGGGAGAGAGGATCCGCCGTCGCCGTTCGTTTGCGCCGTCTTGCCGTCTGTCGTTAGATCTCTAAACCTTAACCCCTTTTGTTTGAGCTGTTCATTCAATCCGTGAAAGGTGATGATGTATCCATGCCTTCCCTCCCGTATTATCTTCCGCGCTTATCTCTGGTTAAGGATAAGCGGATTTTCTTCCGCGCTTATCTTATGGCGTAACTTGTAGTTTCTTGTTGTGTGTTGTGATTTACTTTTACTTGTTTTTAAACATAGATCTAGGACCACGGTTAATTTTTTGATTGCTGTTTGATGTTTGATTGCTTGTGAGAATTGTAAGTTTCATTGCATATAGAGTGTTAAGAGCACAATTGCATTAGGAGCCGAAAGTGATGCAGTTCAACTTATCGGATTGTTGATGTTGCGGTAGATGCAGTTCCTACCTAGACATGAGGTTCGAAAGTGATGCAGTTCCACTTATCGGATTGTTTGAGGTTACGGTAGATGCAGTTCCTACCTATACCAATAGTTGAAGTGATGCAGTTCCACTTGTAGGGTTGTTAAGGTTATGGTAGATGCAGTTCCTACTTAGACCTGATATGATTGCTTGTTGAGGTTATGGTAGATGTAGTTCCTACCTAGACCTATTATGATTGTTTGTTGATTGTTGATTATTGAATAATTGTGAATACTTGTTCGTTTAGCTGATGGCTAGCGACATGTTTAGGTTGTGATATGTGTGGTGGACCACATGTATGCATTCTCCTGGGTAATCTAAATTACTCATCCCCTCCTGTCCCTTTCCCCTCTTTCGCAGGTGAGCAGGAGCAGCAGCAGTGATCACATTGTGGTGGTGTTAGTGTTCATTTGTTTGATCTTGGGGACCTAAAACACTTAGCTTTCTTTTAAATGACTTTTTTTTCTTTAAGGATCTATTGAGGTTATTTTGAGTATAAGTTCGGCTTTGCAAGACTACTTTGAGTTCTATTTATGAAAGAGTATTGATTTTGAATTGAAAGAGTGGTAACTTGGTTAGAAAGTTAAGTGGGTGGCATACCCTCTTAAAATGATGAGAGGCGGGTGTTACAGAGTGGTATCAGAGCCTGGTTACAAGTCAAACCGGTTCCGACCCAGGAGACTGTGTTTTCAAAGTAAAAACATTTTCAAAAGTTTTAAATGGGGTTTGAGGATTTTGCAAAAGTAAAACAGAACACACCTCACCGCATCGCTCTGCTCTCCAAGCTCTGTAAGTTAGTATTTTCATTATCTTCAGTATTGTCATCCAGTTGTTTACTTTTGTTTGCCTATAGAGTAGAACCCTAGAAGTAGAAGGTCCATTGGGAAAGATCCATTTGAAAGTTTGGTCGGAAACCAAGTGGGAGAGAAGTAGTCCCATGAATTCGGGGACGAATTCCTTTCAAGTGGGGGAGAATTGTAACATCCTGGTTTCGCTAAACTGGCCTGTTATTTTTTTTCTTTAATGTTTGAAGCCCAAAAGCCTGTTAAGCCCATTAGGTTATAAAAACCCTAACTCTAGAGTCCCCTTTCTTCTATATAAAGAGTTAGAGAGTCAGAATTGTCATCACAATTCCCAGAACACTCAGAGATAGAAACCCTAAACCCTAACCTTCAGCCAACGCCGCCCACCGCCGAGGGAGAGAGGATCCGCCGTCGCCGTTCGTTTGCACCGTCTTGCCGTCTTCTTGAGTTTTCTGCTTCTTGTCGTTAGATCCCTAAACCTTAACCCCTTTCGTTTGAGCTGTTCATTCAATCCGTGAAAGGTGAGGATGTATCCATGCCTTCCCTCCCGTATTATCTTCCGCGCTTGTCTCTGGTTAAGGATAAGCAGATTTCCTTCCCCTGCAGATTGCGCTTATGGCGTAACTTATATTTTCTTGTTGTGTGTTGTGATTTACTTTTACTTGTTTTTGAACATAGATCTAGGACCACAGTTAATATTGTTGATTGCTGTTTGATGTTTGATTGCTTGTGAGAATTGTAAGTTGCATTGCATATAGAGTGTTAAGAGCACAATTGCATTAGGAGCCGAAAGTGATGCAGTTCCACTTATCGGATTGTTGATGTTGCGGTAGATGCAGTTCCTACCTAGACATGAGGTTCGAAAGTGATGCAGTTCCACTTATCGGATTGTTTGGGATTACGGTAGATGCAGTTCCTACCTATACCAATAGTTGAAGTGATGCAGTTCCACTTGTAGGGTTGTTAAGGTTATGGTAGATGCAGTTCCTACTTAGACCTGATATGATTGCTTGTTGAGGTTATGGTAGATGTAGTTCCTACCTAGACCTATTATGATTGTTTGTTAATTGTTGATTATTGAATAGTTGTGAATACTTGTTCGTTTAGCTGATGGCTAGCGACATGTTTAGGTTGTGATATGTGTGGTGGACCACATGTATGCATTCTCCTGGGTAATCTAAATTACTCATCCCCTCCCTGTCCCTTTCCCCTCTTTCGCAGGTGAGCAGGAGCAGCAGCAGTGATCACATTGTGGTGGTGTTAGTGTTCATTTGTTTGATCTTGGGGACCTAAAACACTTAGCTTTCTTTTAAATGGCTTTTCTTTTCTTTAAGGATCTATTGAGGTTATTTTGAGTATGAGTTCGGCTTTGCAAGACTACTTTGAGTTCTATTTATGAAAGAGTATTGATTTTGAATTGAAAGAGTGGTAACTTGGTTAGAAAGTTAAGTGGGTGGCATACCGTCTTAAAATGATGAGAGGCAGGTGTTACAGAATACGTAAATGGCAAGAGGCTTTGGTCTTGACCTGACGAACTCTACGCTTTCTTGTATATCACGTAACTAATTGAATGCACGAATCAATGACATTATATATTAATCTGATAAAAAAAAAAAAAAAAAAAAAAAAACCCAATTGTAAGTAACTCTAACTGCTTACTGTAATAATCGGAAGGATTGGTCCGAATATTTCTTCTGTCATGATCTCAGAATCAAGAGGAGGGTCCAACAAGATTGTTGGCTCGATATACCTGTTAAAACATAACGGTTCAATTTCGTGTAGTACAAGAAACTGAATAAGTGAAGTATCAGATAAATAATTAAGACTAATCACAGTTTCTCTTCGTCTGTGGAACCGCCATGAATGATCGAAGATTTGACTCGAGGATCACTGAGATAACGGGACAGCCTAAAGAAATGATTCTTGTTTACGATCTTTGAGATACATCCAGAGTCTTTAGGGTTTTCACCGTAGAACGATTTGATCGTTTGTTTCAACATATCAATCTGAACAAAAACACAACGAAGATTAAAAAGGAATTTTACGCAGAAACGCTTCAGATCATTATCATATGAGTGTATGAATACCAGAGAAGGCGCAAATCTTTGTTCTACAAGAAGATAATCCACACCGATACAAACTTGTCCACTACAGAATCCCCATTTTCCTCCTGAAATCGTCTTCACAGCCGTCTTTTATTTTGCAATGACATGACAAAATTACTCTAGTTAGATGGCTCCATGTTCAGATTCTTAGTGTTAAAAGAAAAAGAAGAAATAGAGCAAACCTTGATATCCCGTGAGATTGATCTATCATCAAGAATGGTCGGACATTTTCCACCAAGCTCCAAGGTTACTGGAGTTAAATGCTGTGCAGCTGCAGACATCACGATCCGTCCTACCTTCTGGCTCCCTAAACAACAACAACTGCGTGATTAAGACCTAGAATGCGGTTTTTGTTAAGAGTGTGAAGTGAGAGAGGGATTTGATACCGGTGAAGAAGATCTTGTCCCACTTATGCTGCAAGAGGATCGTGGCTATATCGGGACCTCCTTCCATAACTTTGATGGCTTGAGAGTCTAGGTAAGCTGGAATCGTCTAAGCGAGGAAAGAAGAAGCATTAGGGCTTAACTCAGATGGCTTGATCATCACGGTATTCCCTGCTGATATTGCTCCAATGAGTGGGTCTAAACACAAAGCTGGTTCCAAAACACACAAACACTAGTTACATTTTCTTGTCTAAAAAGGGTAAAAAAGAAGAGCATATTTCAAATTTCAAGGTTTGAATCTTACAGATGGGGAAATTCCAGCTGGAAAAAATCAGAACAGTTCCTAATGGTTCTGAGATCACTTTCCCTTTAACTGACAAGTATATCAGAGGAAGTTTGCTCTGTTTTTCCCCGGAGAAACAAAATCAAAAGATTAGAGAAAGCAAAGTTTTTGGTCTCAAATCTTGATTTGTATTGTATGTATGTATGAATGTAAGTGTACCTTTTTGGGGAGGACCCATTGATCGAGACATTTTAAAGCAGTAGTGGCTGATCTCTTGACAATACCAAGCTCATCTCTATATGCTTCGGTATGGTGTTTGCCAAGATCTTGAAACAGAGCTTCACATATCTCATCTTCTTTGTCTTTGACCATCTCGATTATGGCACTAAGCTGTCTCTTCCTCCACTTTAAGCTCTTTGTCCTCCCGCTCGTGAACGTCTCTCTCAATTCTCCTAACTCTTGGTCAACCATCTCCTTCATAGCTTCCATGGCTGATTCGTCTATTTCTCTCTTAAATATGTTTAAGGAAATGACAATTTGTTAACTTGCTAATTAGCAGTTGACAAAAGGGTATTTATAAAAACTTTGGTATAAAATTTACGGCGTTATTTTGTTGATTAGACCGTTAAAAAATATTTCATATAATATTATAGGAAATTATAAGAAGAAGGCACATGTGATACTTTTGTGAGGTAAATCTTCCAAAATTGTTGAAATTTGCTGTCATTTGCTATGCAAAAGAAAATGTCTTGTCATTTTCTTAATTAACACATTTTCTGTTGTCAAAGAGTGCAACTACTCTAAACATGATCTTAAAATCAGAAAGATGTACGGCCCAAGAAACTTGCAGCTTCTCATTTACATTATCTTGAACGTGGAAGTATATGTCTTTGAATTATATAGGAAGAAACTTGTAGCTTCTCGGTTACACTACGCTGAACATGAAAGCATGTGTCTTTTAAATTCAATAGGTGTTGGTAGATATTCTTTAAATTAGAAGATTTTGCATACAAATTGAATATTACTATGAACCAACATTTAGTTTATCTACGCGTGGTCTGATCTTCTGACCCACGGAAGTTCAAATGTTTTGCCGCCCTCAAAACAGTTTGTTTATAAATAAATCGAAAAAATTCGTATAAAAACCAATTACATATACACCTAATGTTTTGCTTCAGTCTCATTTTTTTTTTAACAAGTTACTATTTTTTTTTAGAGAAATTCATTCAAATGCACATAATCTAAATTTTTGTTCCATATATATACTAATATTCTAAAACATTCTTTCCATAATATTGTGTACAATATTATAATCTTAGTTAAACAAAACATTAGTTAATAAAAAGAGAAGAAAAATAATGTACAAACAAATGTATCAATGGCCAAGACTGATCTTAAATCGAATCATTTGTTTTGTTTAGGATCACTCTTTTCATTTGATTGTGACTTGTGATTGTGAATCTCTTAGATTTTTGAGGTTTTTTTATGGGAAAGTGATTTCAGGATTTAAAGCTCAAAATCATATAATGATAGATAGATCTGATATAATTGGATGAAAAACTCAAGAAACCCGAGCTAAAACAACAACAATGGTGAAAAAAAAGAAATCGGCGGAAATTAGGGTTTGGATATCACAGATGTGAGGAAGGAGATGAGCGTAAATTTAGAAAGATTTTTCTAAAGTTTTAGGAAGAGTTTCCTAACATGTATAAATTAAAGAAGTCATTATATGTATTTATAATGTCTTCGTAAATCATATAATTGATTATTATTTTTGTTAATTTATACAACTCAAATTCAAGAAGCATTTCCAGAATTCAGGAAACCCTTCCACAATTCGCGAAGTCTTTTCACAATTCAGAAAATTTTAAAAAATTTAGAAAAGCTTTCCTAAACCATATGAAATGATGTTAAATTCTAGTATTTAGAAAATTTTCCTAAAAAAGCACGAAACATTAACAAAAAAAAAAAATATTTCGGAAGATTTTCCTAAAAGGTAAAATACAAAAACTCAAATGAAAAATGTTAGAGGTGAAAAAATTTTAGCTTCTCTATTATATTTGTCTTCAAAACTAACTTTCGGTGTAATTATGGAAATTGTCTTTTTTTATTAACTTCTATATATAAAACCAGTACACATGGATTTATTCAACAAAACATTTAAAATGAATTTGTGTTATAAAATCCAAGTTCTAATTTAATTGAACCAACTTGTTTCCAACTTCTCTTTACTTAACACAACACCAACCTAACTATTACTACATTCAAATTCGTTTAGTTCCGTCACATAAATTTAAGCATTTTACTTACATATCAAATTTAGACTTCCAAAATTGTGGGTATTTCTTTCGTAACCTTTGTGACCAATATTGTAACGAGAGAAAATCAAAATATTATTAATATTCATTTGTTTTTATAAAATATTTAATATTTCGCAAGAATCAAGCAGCCTCTCAATAACTAAAGAAAGAATCCCATATTAAACCTCAACATTGTCATGAGAGAATGAGACTCATGACATGTAAAACAGTCTTAGCAGGTTTAATTAGTTTTGACCATTCGTTGACTTTTTATTACAACCGGGAAACCAACAACCACCGCTGTTTCCGGAACCCCATACTCCACCGTCACCTCCCCAACCCCATCCTCCTCCGCCTCCGCCTCCTCCTCCGCCTCCCCCACCATATCCACCGCTCCATCCGCGGTCAGAGTCATCTCCAACACCTCCGCCACCACCTCCTCCACCTCCACCACCACCACCACCACCACCTCCATTGCCACCGCCGCCACCACCACCACCACCACCTCCACCTCCTCCCGGTCCTCCGGGTCCACTGCTAGGGCCATCTCCTACGCCAATGCCAATACCAATACCAACACCAACATTGTCGTCATTCCTATCATCTCTTTTCTTCTTTTTATGGTCATTGCAATCTTCATTTCCACCACTACCGTCTCCGTCCCCTTTTCCATCTCCTTTTCCACTTCCTCTTCCCCCTCCGCGGCCGCCTCCTCCTCCTCCACCTCTACCTCCACGACCTCCTCTTCCGCCATCTCCCGGACTTCCATCTCCACCGTTGCAACCACCGCAGTCTCTTTCTTTTCCTCTACAGCTTCCGCAACCTCCTCCTTCTACATCACGTTCTTGCACTTTTCGTGCTTTGTTTTGTGCATTTGCAAACGTTTTTTCGGATCCAAAAACGGGAGATTGATCAGTACCATTAGTGATTCTCTCCGCGGGTCCATATCGCAGCCCATGAACGGAACTTGAGCTTAAAAGCAATAACACAGCACCAAACACGAACAAGAACACTACAATGCTTGACATTCTCACCAATATTTCCATTTTTATTTCTCTCAATCAAAAGCCTTCTCCATTCCCTTCTTTTTTATACTTCTCTAAACCTAAATTAATATATCCCATATAAATAAATTGAGCAACCACATAGACATGCATTACCCATATCAAACCTACTATATATTTTTTTTTTGTGGGAGCTAAAGACTACAAAGAGGAGACGACGTTTTAGAAACTACACGAATATTGCTTCACGCCCAAAGTCCTCGTTCTCGAGTTGTCCATTTCATACATATCCTCCGATTATTATTTTCATCTTGTACAGTTGTACTCTTAATTTTTTTATAGAACTGCTTTCATTATATATGTGACTATTCCCTCTAAATCTCTAATGTAAATAACTACGGTAGATCAATCTGAATTTAGTCATATAATTTTCGATGTTCGGATGTTTTGGCTTGAAACGTATACGTATATACTAACTGAATTTAAAGTGTATAGCTGAATTTATAAGGTGTACTCTCGCAAATAATGGGTACACGTAAATGTTATCGAAGCGTATTTATATTTCTATTAAGTGCTTTGTATGGTTTAGTAATGAGGCATGCTTCTTTACTACTTCGTTGTTGGTGGTACGTAACTTGGTAGTGTGGTCACTAAAAGGGTATGATGAAATAAAAAATCCTCTTCCTCTCGTCATATAAATCATTTTATATCACAGTTTCTCCAACTAAAAGATAAATGTAATTAGAATTTAGGTACTTAGGTCAAATATATAAAAGAAGACTCATCTATTTCCTTGCATAATTTCACAGATCAAACACCAAGAAGAAAAAGAAAAAAAAAACTTCATAGTTTTCTCGGTGTAAATTCAAAGAAATTAATAGATGGTGCTAGGGCCTTAGCAAGCTTGAGTGGAAATTAATAGGCCCGATACATAGAAACCTAGAGGGATAAGTTAGCTCGGTTCGGCCCAGCCTATTAAAGATGGATTAACTCTGGATCTATCTCGTGAAAATAGTGTGCAGGTGTAGCCTTAAAATTTAAAACAGTCCACCTTAATCCGGCCCATTTAGAAGAAAAACTAAACATTATTTAATTTCTTTAAATTTTACCAAAAAAAAGAAGAAGACTAAATTAGTCAAAACAAATAGAAAATGCATGAAAACAAGATGACTTGTTAAAACATAATGAGGTTAACTTGTAGGCTTGTAGCATCATCTTCATAATTTAAAGTTGGTCGCACGAGAGAGGAATGTCAACAACTTGGAGAAAATGAGTCATGCTCTCTTTCTAGGATCATTTTGTTAACCTTTTTAAAAAAAAACTACAAAGCAAGGAGCTGTCTTAAATCCTTCTCTTAACCTCTACTTTTGTGATTAGGTTAGGTGTTCATATATAGTCATTGTCACATTGTGTTGGGTTAATCCTGAAGGTGAAAGAACTCAAGACTTAATTTTGCGTCCACAAAATCTGAACCTAGCAATATTCGAATCTACCGTATGGATGTATAGAAATTGTATATTTTTCCATTTCAAAAAGTATGATGTTTTGATTTGTTCATATAAATTAAAAAATATTTATTTTTTAATTATTAATGTATTATTTTTTTTACCATCAATGGTTAATAGTAATTTAAGAATTTAAAAAATCTACAATAAAATATATTTAATACTGTAAAACATCAATTTTTATGGAACAAAGAAAAAATCTAAAACATCAAACATTTAGAAACGGAGAGAGTATTAGGCTAATATCATATTATTCATTATAATTGGATGTATATTAGGCTAATCTCTTCATCAAAATATACCAACATATTTATGTACGGAATAAAGGCTTAGATCCTATATGTTTGTTTTATGTCATATCAACTAATTATTTTCAACATAGATCCACTACATATTATTTGAGAAGTAACATTATTGAAAATAGCTTATTTGTCAACACTACAGCCAAATTTAGTGCTTTTAATTGATGACATGTAAATGTGACATATCAAACTTCCTAAAATAAACGAAATGTTTTGATTGGTTGAATTAAAATTATAGTTATAGAATTAAAACATAAATAAACTAGATTATATTTGTAACACTAAAATTAACAAATTTAAATTAACAGAAAATAAAAGTTATTATAATTATAATTTTTTACATATATTCATAATTTCATAAAATATAATTATGAATTTTTTTAACAATTTATATATATATTATTTTTTCACATAAAAACAAAAATAATAATACTAAATGATCTAATAGAATAGTAAAAATTATATTTATTAATAATACTTGAAGTATGATATATTTTTATATCGAAAAGTTATTAATTTACAAAATATATTAATAAAACAATTATTAAATAATACAATTTTAAATAAAATACAATCATGATAAAAATAATTTAAAGAATAAAATGTTAAAATAATAAAATAATTAACTTTTATTGAAATGTTTTTAAAAAAACATAATTTTGAATAATTTTATTTTCAAACCGATATTTACTAATTGAATAAAGTATATACTAATTATTATTTTATAATATTAATAGGACCATATATTTTTCTATAACTTTTATTATTTTTTTATTGTTGTTTTCTAAAATGTACATAACTTATGTTACCATCTCATCTTATTTCTTATCATATTTTAAATAAAAATAATGGAATATGCATATATATATATATATATAAAATTATTTTCATTGTATATGAAAAACTTGAGATGGTAAATAAAATAAAAAATAACCGAACGAAAAAATAAATTATAAAATGATGAAACAATATGAATCATAAATAAAAAATAAAAGTATATAAAAATAAATCTCTCGCACTTTGTTTTACAAAGTCACTTAAAAACTTTTTAAGACGTAAGAACCATATTTTATTTTTTTACAAATATGCGTACATACATATATATTAATTGTACATTAGTTGAAGTCACATGCGAACTTTTCCGTGCATGTATTTTGTTAAGATTGATTACAGTCTAATTTTTATTTTAATTATTATACAATTTATATTTTTAAAATTTTTTATCTATTATAAGTGTAGTGAAATGGTTGGTATACTCGCACATGCGTGCCAATTATCTATCCGATCTTAGGAATAAGTAAAAATGGTAAAAACTATTTCAGTTTAATTTGCAATAAATCAAGAAAAATATATACTTAAATATATTATATGTATTTGCAAATTCATATTATGTGAGACGCAAAAAAGCATATCGTAGATTGTGTAAGGAGAAATAAAGCATATTATAAAAATATTTAAAAAAAATATTATAAGAATTTTTAATTATTATTTAACATAACTTTTATATTTGTGATTATATATTATTACAAGCATTATAAAAATAAAAAGTTTTAAAATACATTGATTTCATAAAGAAGTTTGTGAAATATTATAACAATATATATACAAACATACTAATATTTAAAAAAACTAATCAAAATTTAAATATTACAATTAACTATATATATCAAAAAAATTATACATGCACATATGTACGGGCCAACCACCTAGTATTACTATATTTGAGAAGAGAGTGTAGTTAATGAATATGTAAATGTGATCAAATTAAAGGGTCCCAAAACTCCTTTTATCTATAGAACTATTTCTAGATCACTAGATCTCTTGGTCGTTGTTACCTAATAAATTATCATACGTACGTAGAACAAATTAAGGGGCCCAAATCATGCCAAGGAAGTTGGTCAATCTAGATATATGCCCATGATTTAATATATAATACTCAACTAACACTTAATTAGTTGATTAATAGAGCTTGTACTTTCATATGTATCCACGCCCTTTACACTTGTCTAAGTATGATGAAGGGCAGATCCAGAACCATAATTTGTATGTAACACAATATATATTATTTATATAATCTGATTTAGAAATTAGAGTATTATATGTTTATTATAAATATATATTATGCATACAAAAAATATTTTAAATTTGTTAAATACAAAATAATAAAACTAAAATTTTAAATTAATATTAATGTAAGAAGTCCAAAAAAAATAAACAAAAATTCATAATTAATGTAGTAAATTATTTGATGAAACGAATTAAAGAGAAATAATTAAAATTAAAATACAAGATAAAAAAATAAACATATCAGTAGAAAAGGAAATAAATTAGATTATACTATTATAGGGTGTTTGATTAAAAAAATGAAAAACAAACAAAAAATGAGAGAGAACTTTGGTCGAGAGTGGGAATATGTGAAACTAATAACAAAATTAACCAAACTGTATGCTAATTTAATTTAGTGAAATAGTGGTACAATAAGACATTTGTGAAATGAGTATAGGGCACGTGCCCTAACTTCTAACAAATAGATCCGCCCCTGAATATGATTCTCTGTTTCGTTTTGCTACTTAAGAGAAGAAAGAAAATGAAGAAATTGGGTTGTAACTATGTGAACATTTATTTTAGTATTGTGCTATCCTTCAAACGAGCGTTACCATGTAACTAACGTAAATGCACAGGTAGAGAATGTTTTTACTCGTAAGATCATTCTACCTATGGGAGAAAAATATTATATAACCCAAAATCTAGTGCCAGCTTTATGTATATATGATCCAACACAAAAACAGTTCAATTTGCAAAGGTCAACTAGTTGTTTTATAGAAAAAAGTCCACTCTTTTGAAGGTATTTATTTTGTTGTAGTTGATAAAATACTCGATTAATGAGGCCAAGTTATGATTATAAAAGCTAGACTTGGCATTAATGATCAACATCATCTCTAACTAAGTGACAAACTAACAATGGAGTCTCTACTATCACAAACACAAAACCAAATAATAGATCCAACAAAGACGGCTCTTCTTATCACAGTCTCTCTTCTCGTTTTAATCTACCTCGTCTCACGATGGCGCAAACCGGTCTACCCTCCCGGTCCCAAGGGCCTACCCATAATTGGCAACATGCTAATGATGGACCAACTCACACACCATGGTCTAGCCAAGCTAGCCAATCAATACGGCGGCTTGTTCCACCTGCGAATGGGATTCCGCCACGTGTTTGCTATCACATCACCCGACGTGGCCCGGCAAGTCCTACAAGTCCAAGACATCAGCTTCTCGAACCGACCAGTGTCTATAGCCACAAACTACTTAACCTACGACCTAGCCGACATGGCCTTCGCACCTTATGGACCCTTTTGGAGACAAATGAGGAAAGTGTGCGTTATGAAGGTGTTTAGCCGTAAACGGGCCGAGTCATGGGCCTCCGTCCGGGACGAAGTAAACAATATGATCAGGTCTTTGTCTTGCAACGTTGGTAAGTCCGTGAACGTTGGAGAGCTCATTTTCACTCTGACACGGAACATAACGTACCGAGCAGCGTTTGGTGTGGCCTGCGAGACGGAACAAGACGAGTTCATAAGGATCTTGCAAGAATTCTCAAAGCTGTTTGGAGCATTCAACGTTGCGGATTTCATACCGTTCCTCGGCTGGTTCGATCTGCAAGGGATAAACAAGAGGCTCGTTAAGGCCCGTAACGATCTTGATGGGTTTATCGATGAAGTTATCGATGAGCATATGAAGAAGAGGGAGAATGTAAACGTTGATGAAGATACCGATATGGTCGATGATCTACTTGCGTTTTATAGCGAAGAAGAGAAGTTAGTAAGCGAGGATTCATCAACTAATCGTAATAAGAACGCCGTTAAACTCACACGGGATAATATCAAAGCCCTCGTCATGGTAAGCCAAAACGTTAATAACCTTTTTTTATTTATAGATTTTCTCTCTTAGTAACATTTGAAGTTGATAGTTTATACCTTGGAATGAAAATTAGTATCAGAATGTTAGCTCTATAAATTTACTTATTTACTTTGTTACTCGAAGGATGTTATGTTTGGAGGAACGGAGACGATGGCGTCGGGGATCGAGTGGGCTTTGACGGAGCTCTTACGTAACCCAAACGAACTCGAACGGCTCCAACAAGAACTCGCCGAGGTCGTGGGTCTGGACCGGCGCGTGGATGAGACGCACCTCGAGAAACTAACATTCCTCAAATGCTTGCTCAAAGAAACCATGAGACTCCACCCACCGATCCCACTCATCCTCCACGAGGCCATCGAGGACACGAAGCTACAAGGCTTCTCTGTGCCCAAAGGCTCGCGCATGATGATCAACGCCTTTGCGATCGCGCGTGACCCGAAACTGTGGGTTGACCCGGAAGCGTTTAGGCCTTCGAGGTTTATGGAACCGGGTATGCCCGATTTCATGGGGACTAACTTCGAGTTTATACCGTTCGGGGCTGGTCGGAGATCGTGCCCGGGAATGCAGCTTGGGCTTTACGCGATGGAAGTCGCTGTGGCTAACATCATTCATTGCTACACGTGGCAGTTACCCGACGGGATGAAACCGAGTGAGCTCGACATGAGCGACGTCATGGGTCTTACCGCTCCAAGAGCCACGCGCTTGATCGCCGTGCCTAACACGCGACTCATCTGCTCTGTTTGTCCCTGACGATGGAGAGTTTTACTGTTTCTGTTCAGTATAAATGGTTTTGTCTTTTCTATTAAAATCTGGTTTTGTCTTCTTTTTTAATTGTTGTTTTTTTTTTTGTTGTTTCTTTCATTTGGGACTTGCTTTGTTTTTCGTTCCCCGGGGATTTTTCTTCCCAGAAATGTAACTGTAAATAAATCAATAAATGATAAAATATATTTGAAATTTCGCCTTGAAAAATATGTGAAAGTGTTTAATTATACGCACCTGAAGAGAACGAGAAAAGAAAGGGATATGATGTTTCGTTTTAGTCAGAGAGTGTTTCGAAAAACTGGATAAGAGTTGTCGAGTTCGAGTCTTTCCAGGATTTGCTGAGTTTTCCATAGGTAACATGAGTGACCTTCCACCATATCGGTAACATCAACCTGCAATTTTAGGGTTCTTAGATAGGCGATGATCATGATGATGATTAGTCTGATTAATTTTATATTTTCATTTCACTTGAGAGAAAATGCGAGAACTTACATCCTCGATCCCAGGGATACAAACCGGTTGGATTCCAGCTAATCCTTGAGATAACAGACTGCGAGAATCAAGAATGGTAAAAGTTTGGATTTTGCAGGTGAAACGGGAACCGAAGAAACAAAGTGACAATGGAAGGAAGATAAGTACCTTGCACGGAAAGCAACCCCGAGGGTCCAATCATTTGTGGCGTAAACGTTAATGAATCTTCCAGCCACCATCTGATAAACCGATAAAATACTCGTAAAGATGAAACAGAACACCAAATAACCTATTTGTTTCCTAGAATGTGACATCAACTGTAAGGGAACGAATAAAGAATACCTTTCTTACGTCTCGCCAATTCTCGTTGTTGATTGAAATTGGTGCTCCAAGAAGAACAACTCTTTCCACAATTTCAGCTGTCGTTAAAAATGTGTTAAAGACAAGACTCAACAATTCGAAAGATAACAACACTATTTCTTAAGAAACAGAGATATGAGAGAGAGCGATATACCATTTTTCTCTGTCTCGGCCAGAGCCTGGAGGCACTTGAAGACGACACGCGCACCAAGCGAAAATCCCACGAGCGTCACAGGTCTGATATCCTCACAAGTTTTTCAGAAGAAAACAAAAATATTTAGCACGCTGGCGTAACATTCTAATTGTATTTGTTTCTATAATACTTTATACCTATTTCCATGTAACCCTTTTCGAAGCGCTTCAGCAAGAAGTCTTCCTGCTTTGTCTGATCTAAGATAGGATAATACGATAACAATAGACAAAAATAAACTTAGTTTCAGAGTAACGTTTACATCATACTTGGCGTTTCCATTCACTATATACTTTTATTTTTACCTGTCAATGGCGATACTCCATTTACTATCTATGAAGTCAGCAGCTAATAAGATTGTTGCCGGCCATGCCATCGCTGCTAAAAGCGAGCCTAGCACTGTGTGCATCGCACCTTGTCTCATCAACTCCATAGCAACTCCTGCAACGATTTCATGTTGCTGTTTACCTATTTATTCTCAGGGAAATAACAAAAATCATAGATTTACATTGTTACGCGTAAGGGATGAAAACTCTTATATTACTTGAGGTAAGCCAATCCTGAATTGCAGTGCTGACTGCAATAATATTCTTGGATTCCCATTGCACCGTGTACCTAAAGAAGCAATTATAGCAATCATATGAATCTTGGGAATTAGTAGAATCAGCCACAAATATGTACACAAGAACACAACTCATGTTAATACCTTTCCAAGTTGCTAGTTAAACCTTCCCAGGGCTTTACATAGTCTTCTTCTTTTAAAACAAAGCCAGCAACTAATATCTCCACTGCTAATCGCTATTACATCAGTAAAGAAACAAGACGTCATCCACAAATTCGGATAATGGCAGAGCAAAGAGGTGTCAAAACAAAACTATCGTAGCAGTGATCTAGCATCTAGAAAGGAAATCAAAACTCACTCCTTGATTATGATTTTCTCCAATAGCTTTAAACTCAAACTCTTCAATGTCCCCAGTTCTCCTTGCCATCTTAGTCCCAGTGAGCCCAGCTCCAGCAGCTGATCATGAACACATTTAGAAACAAAGCATAAGGCAAATCTGGTCCTTCTTTCCCAAAGAACTTAACATGATCATCACTTTAATCCACTTTTTTATATATAAAGAACCGAACACTGTGGTCTAATTCTTTCTTTACCTCCAAAAGATGCTGCAACAGCAACAGACCCAGTTACAGTTCCAGCAGCACTAGCAGCTGCAGCAAACCCACTGGCTCCTATTACAGGAACTAGCGTTCCCAGTGTTGGTGCCAATGCACCAAACCCTGCAGCAATTGCTGGAGCAGCCAATCCTGTTTCCATATAATATTGTAAATCAAAGCAAGATAAAGGGTTAGCAATGTCCAAATTCAAAAATCCTCATTTTCAAAAACAGTCACAAGACACCGTACCACCAGTGATAGCCATCAAAGTACCCCCTGTCAACGCAGCCGCTCCAACAATGCCTCCACGTTTCCATTTATCCCATTCACTATTTGGTGACAGAGACTCTTCTTCCTTGTTTTCGCTTGACTTTTGCAATGCCATGGCAGAGCATGCAGCCATTTTCTCGACTCCTTCCTACCAATACGAAGTATTAAAAATAGATTCTCAGCATAATCCAAATGCACAAAAATTAGGGAATCTTAAAACTCCTCTCATACATGCCAATGCAATCAGATTCTAAATCCCCAGAAAGATAACTATTATGGAACTATGGAGGTTGCTATGTTATGTGGTTAGCATAGAATGAAGCAAACAAACCATTTTAATCCACTGAATGTCAAACCAAGTCGCAAGTAACCGCAGAGCAACGTGGTGACGCGCATCATAGCCTTTCCTACTCCGTGTACATTCCTCGTTCTCCTCATGTTTATCAGCTAAGCAAGCAGAAAGCAGCTCGTAAAGAACACTTATCTTCCTCTCATGGCTAAGCAGTGCTACTTCCTCAACAGGTTTCTTCTCATCTCTAACTACATCCTCCCCTTGACTCTCTGTTTCCTTCTCCGCAGCACCGGGCTGCGCCTCGGGAACCGAATACTTCTCACGGCATTCGTTTTCGTATTCCACGTGTTTCTCCTTCTTAGCTTCAACAGACACAGAACCTTGCTTAATGCTTTGAAACATAGCTTCAGCAGCTTTAGCTAAGGCGGTCTCTTTCTCCACCATATCAGTAGGACTGTTATCATCAATCGCATCTTCTGAGAGTAACTTGATGAACTACAATAAACCCAGAAATTGACAGACAAGTGAAGAAGAAGAGCTCATCAACACAACACATCAAGATACGTAGGGAAGTTGGTCATACCGCACCGATGTGATCCTTCGCCGGAGAAGAAGCAGCTATTTCCTCGAGGCCATGCCAAGCTGAGGAATCAACCTGTAGACATCTGAAAGCAAATTACAGAGAAGAAACATGAACAATTCCAGATGATTTCGTCGTGATCATATAAAACGAATACCAGAATCTGCGAAACGGCGTTGGTTCGGAGGGAATCACCTGAAAACGGGTCGGAGAAGGCCAGAAACCTCGTGGACCCAGAGATCCGCGTCCTCGGAGATTGGATCGCCGCCGCTGATTGGCTCTCCGGTCAGGCGATTCTCAGGCTCTCCGCCGTGATCGGTGGCCGGGATCCCGAGCGGCTTTGTCTGGCTGATCTGCGCTTGGTTGAGCGCAACCGCAAACAATGCGCTTGCCGCGTATCTCTGCGACGGCGTCAAATTCGACGTAGCTTCCACCATCAAATCAGAAACTTACCTCGATCGATCAACAAAAACCGAAATCGAGAAAACAACAACAAAAAGTTTCTAAATCCGTGAACGATCAATCGAAGAGAGCGAATTCGTCTCATCCTGGATCTGTACTGATTCAAACAAGTAGAAAAGAAAAAAACGAAGCCGTTTTTGAGTCAAAGGAACTCGAGCCTACACTTGTCAGCAAAGGAAACGAATTCAAACAGCTGATGAAGAAAAAGAGATGTAACGTTACACTATCATATATATAGAGAGAGAGAGAGACAATAGATGATGATCCCTACAATGTTTTTGATTACATCCATCATTTTAACAACAATTTTCTTCCATTTTTTTATACGTAGCCTAAGTACAAACAATGTAAAAATACAGAAGCTGGGGTCTGTGTAAATCTTAACACAGGAGGACAACGTACAAAGCCTAAATACCGAAAAACAATTGGTGCAGCCAAAACTATCACGAAGAAACATTTGATCATATCTTCTTCATATGCACCACTCTTTCCTTTTTTTTTTACTTTCTGATGATGATGATGATTGATTCGCCATTTATTTATGTTCTGTAATAATCCTGCAAAAAAACAGAGATAAGCATAGTCCACCATCGATCTGGGACACTGGATGATCTATGGTAACATGTGCCCTGGTTATGATTCTCTCTATCTGAACCGATACAAAAGATCGAGCCCACGGCTAAAAATCCACAACGTTGTTTGTTCGTGAATGCATCTGCAGATCGTTCGTTGAGCTCATGGAGTCACCTTTGCTTACATCAAGCGCTGGGCTATGCCCTTCTACTGGACTGAAGCTATTGTTAATGGAGTGTCGGTTTAGTTCTCCAGGGCCACGAAACGTTGAAGTTGGAGAAGGAAGACGTTTCTGGGACTCCATGGCTTCGACTTCCGCCAAAAGATCAGAGACTGACTCGTCGCATTCGTCAGGTCCAGCTACGATGGGTTGCCACTCCGTTGTAGTAGACGCAAAGTTGAATTTGAAGGTTGGGCTAAAGAGATCAAGGAAGTCGATTTCTTGATTGTCTGTGAAAGACACCAAACCGGAGTTCGAATCCCACACGTTTGAAGCACTGCTTGGAGTAGCAGCGTTCCAGTTTTGTCCACATGACTGAACTATAGCCGTGACTTGTTTCTCAGCGCCAGTATCGTTTTGATTGCAAGCGTTCTTCACTGCGTTCCCATCTCCCTCCGTTTGACCAACACTCCATCTCTCCTGTTGCGGCAGAGAGCAGGTTGAGTTTGAGTTTCCGGGGAATGTAGCCAGCGAAAGCGAACAGCTTATCCGGCTTTGTCCAGGCAAAGGACTTTCGACTTTCATCTTGTTCCAGAGGGAGACAGAACCCACAGGCTCCCTTTCGTTTGAAAGAGTGAAATCCAACGGCACGTTGTGACTAAAATTGTTTCCGCTTTTGTTGCTCGCATCAGAGCTCCTTGTGATGACACTGTTACTGCTAGAAATAACACTCTGGTCAGTGGACACTGAGTTGGGGCTAAAGTCAAGTACTCTACTCTCTAGTTTAGCTACAGCCACACTCCTGTTTTGATCGTTAGCTACAGTAGTAACCATCTCTTCCTGCCTCGGGATAGAATGATTCGGAACCGTCCCTGTTTTACGGAACTGCCCGTTCAACGCGTCGGTCAAGAGTATGGAGCTGTTTTGCGGTTCACTCAACTTCCATATCCTCAGCTCAGGCGGGAAATGGCCGCTCGAGTTCCACTGTCGCAGGTTCAGTAACGAAAACGGTCCGTGAATCTTCCCATCTGGATCTCCATATAACCATACCGCGTCCAAGCCATCAATCGGCTTATTGGACCGAGCGGCACATGTTTCAGAACTGGAAGGTCTAACCTGAACATTGTGCACGTTCGACTGCTGTGACTCTCCTTCTTGACGTTGTTCAGACGTATTTAACCTATCGCAGCTCCTGCTCGTATCGACCTGGAAGGAGATGGTTTCAGTGACTCCTCCTGCTGATGTATCTGTAACCGGAGACCTTTCTTGATCGAGGAAGTGAGAATCAAGAAGCTTTAACATTTCCAAGTGATCCACTCGATCTTTTCTGAACAACCTCGTAAGCCTAGGGTCACACGTTATCTCCGAATTCTGATGAGCGTTCTGTAGATTATTTCGTCTCACATGCTCTAGCACGAGAGTTTGGACGTCATACTTCGATAAGACGGAGGTATCACCGTTTTTCATGTACCCTACAAATTCCAAGAGCTCATCCGTCGCCCACGGAGCAGCAGCACTAGTCAATGGTGGAAGTCCGTTCGAATCCAAGACAGAAGCCAAATCACTCGCGGAAACAACTTCCATTTTCCTCACTTTAGCACGGCTCGCCGCTTTCGTAACCCCATCATCCTTTTCGTGAATCCGACTAGTAGCTCTTCTCTTGGTAGCAGAAGACTTCCATGGATTCTTTGCTTTGGTAAGATCATCTAACGAAAACGATAGCTTTTCCTTAAGGGAAACCCAGTAAATCTTGAAAAGATACTCCCAGCTGCCTTGATCGTCAAAATCGACCTGAACCTGGAAAAAAATCACATTGCAAGAAAAAGGCCTCAGGTTCCACAACACAAATCACTTTCCAGGTTGTGTGAGTAAGGGAAGAGAAACAAGATTCTGGGGTACCTTTTCTTTGTTAGCTTCACCTGCATTCTCAATAAGCATGATAGTCTTCATGCAAATCCCACAAAATCCTTTGTTTTCTCGTACAACTACATACTCTGAGCTTCTAACGCATCTTTTGCAAACTGAATATGGACAAGTATAGCACATGTAGAAAGAATCCTTTTGACAAGCAGTACAGATGTGCCAACCTGAGAAGCCATCATCATCATCATCATTAATGCTCGAAGAACCTCAAGACCCAACTCATTTCTTCAAACTTGGTAATGTATCTATCAAAATGCATTAAGCACAGAGAGAAAGCAGAAGAATATAAAAACTTACCACAGTTCCATTTTGCTCTTGATCTGAAGAATGCTTCAGTACGCTTGACACAAGCTGGGTGATACGCCTTTGGACATCCCCTGACATATTAAGAAACCTCCCCCAAATTAAATCAGAAGAAGTAGAAATTTTCTATTTTCGGAAGTGAAGCTAAATTTAGCTGAGGGTTCTTCTCTAGAGCTCGAAACCTCACTCACCTACGATCGCAGAGGACGAGGCTGCCTCCATCGAAGCACACGAAGCAAACATCCTCGTCTTCCCTCCTCTTCCTCGACTGCGCCACCGCGGAAATCGGAGACGAAGTACCTTTCCCAAGTGTTCTCGGCGGACGGCCGCGTCTAGCAGAGCGCACTACGACGCTCTTCTTCAAGCAATCCGACTCTTGTTCCAGCTTCACCTCCACATCAATCGAACCACAGCAATCGAATCCCCCGAAACCAGGAGCCTCGCTAGGCGAAGAAGAACCACCATCCAATTTCACATCGGAGACGCATTGATCGACTCTCATGAGATCGATTTCCGGCATCGATTCCCCGTCAACGCACTTTAGCTCCTCGGAAGCCAAAGTCACTTTCCAAGCTCAAAAATCAAAAATCAAGACCGAGAATCCCAAAAATCGGAAGATCTATCGGAAGTAGAAGCAAAACGAGGGGAGCAAAAGCTATAATAATTAAAGAAAAAACCTAACCCTAGGGTTCGCAATTTGGGAATTGAAAATCGTCGGAGGAGGAGGTGGTGGTGGAGATGGTGGCGTGTAGGGAGAGAAGACACAGTGGGCACATGGAAAAATGGACTTACTCGGAACAAAGGTAGAGAGAGAAAGCGTAAGATGTGACAAGGCAGTGTTTGGCTGTCTCCTTTTTTTGACTTTCTAGAGAGAGAGAGAGAGAAAACGCTTTTTTTTTTTTTTTTGAACGCCGCTCATATGGCTGGTTCCACGTGGGCACAGTCGACGGTAGTGGGAGCCACGCGCGTCTTTTCCCATAAATTAAAAAAAAAAAAATCATTTTTAAATTTTTTTATTTGTAATTGATTTAGTGCGGAGGCTTCGTGTCTTAAGCTAACACGGAAAGCTAAAAAGACTTGTTTTTATTTTATTTTTGTTTAAAAAAATTAAATAAATTAAAAAAAGTGGACCAAAGCGAAAATGAAATTGAACTACTTTTATTTTGTGTTTCATGTCGTGGTCGTAGTTTCCTCCTGTGGTCTTCTCTCTCTACCTAACCATTCATCTTATCTTTAATTTTTTCCAAGATCTTTTTTTTTTCTGTCTGTCCAAAACTCAAATACTGTGTGTTAATAATATAATTAGTTGACAAAGCTTTTTCAAATAAAATAAAACAAAGTGGGCAAAACTATTTAATTAATACGCGAGACTTTATTAAAGTTACAATGATTTCTAGATAATATTTTTAAACCGAGATCAACTGATACTTTCTCCATTTTTTTTATACATGATTAAAATTTTTATACATAAATTAAAAAATTATTTAATTGTGTATTTTTTAAAACAAAACATGTTTTATCACTAATTTTAAAACAATTAAACCAATAAAAAATAATATACAAAACATATTTAAAATAATAAAAATATAATTAATTTTTGTATAGATATGTGCCAACATCAACTATGTATGTAGAAAATGGAAAAAAGTATTAAAGAGTTTTGTTTCTTTTTTCTGATATAATAAGTATGCAGAAAATTTTATCAAAATTTAAATAAAAAAGTGTGTGAATTAACCAAAAAAAAATCTTTCTCCACTAGGAACAAAAAGACACTTACAAAACATTATGAGTGTGTTAAAGAAACTCTACGAAGTGATAGAAGATAGACCTAAGAAATATTAATGCGTATTGGTTTCCAGTCTAGAGTAAGCTTTTATTCTTTATGGTTGAAGGCAAAGCTTTAGTTTATATATCTTTGGCATAAGACAAATTAATCCATGATTAATGATTAAAGATAAAAAGTAATACGTACAATACAACTGATTAAACTTAAAGATGAAAATGTCACGTTGTAATCTTTTATATTTGGTCTCAATATGTATATATACTCCAAAAAAAAAGAATCAGTTGCTAATCATATCTAATGGGTGATGTTTAGCATACATCCTATAATCAGACTTTATTGAGTTAATAGATTGATCATAGGTCGATGTGACATGAGCTATCTCACTAGATTGTCGTTGTTAAATGTATTTATCAAATATAAATAGGCTCACACATGCATTTGTAACGTGAAATAAATAGCTTTGACTTCGAATGATAGAGAAACCAAAGGAATATATCAAAATAAAAAACAACTTAACAGAATAATATTGAAAAAAATAATAAAATATGTGTGCAAGAGAAATGGTTTAATTGAACCAGGTAACAAATATATTAAAATGGAGAAATCAAAATTATTTCCTTGTTATGTTGTTAGTTGGATCTGGTGGATTATTTCCAATATGATCATACAAGATAACAAACAATTGAATTTTTATGAAATTTAACGAAAAATAAAGATTACTACAAGTTTAAGGGAAAGATAGATTGTTTATCTCTTGGAAAAAAGAAAATCGATCATTCGTGCAACAAGAACGAATTCAAATTCAACGGTCTTGCTTTTTATAATAAGACATAAATAATGAGATCCCAAGCATAATTACTAGTACTTATATTATTCGTCCGACATGGATTGACAAGAACCCACTCTATGATTAAACGAAGTAGTATTTAATTTTATCATCACATATTATACGAAGTAATATAAACACAACAATGATGTATATTTATAATGATACTAAACCTTAAAAAATGTCGATAATATACAAAATTGTTCGCCAACACATGCAATTAAAGACCACCTATTACATGACTAGCAAAAATATGTTAAAGAAAGGAACAATTCTGCTCAAATGCATAAAACTGACAATATATTCTACAAAACAATGAGGTTTAATCAATTTTTCACTTTTTCTATAACTAAACCAAATGTGAACCGGATTAAAGACAGTTAAAACTTAAAATGACTTTTACATGCAATCTTTGCTATTATGAAAAAAGTTATAAGCTATGGTATATATTTGCATAACTTATTTTAACAATGTCACATACAGTAACTAGTATAGTTACTAAGTTACTACTTACATTGACCCCCAAAAAAGTTACTACTTACCATACTAAATACAAAAACTGCATCATTTCTGCTTGTGGCTAAAATAATTACACAAATAGAAATGACCTCAAATGTGTTCACCGTGCGACTGCTTTAGGTTGGCAATATTCATTCAAGTTTGGTTCACAAATCAGTAGTATAGACTAAAGAGTGTATAATGTTGTTTGTTTTCAACCAAACCGTACGATGCAACTCTACATAGAACTCTTAGTTGATCCGCGACATTCAGACAACCACATACCGATGTGTTCTACCATATGTTGTCTCACTTTGTTTACAGCATCTGATGAGCTGCAATTATTTGATTTACCTGAAAACAAACATTTGTTGGTTTCAAGATCAAAACCCTATTTTGGTACTTTTGAGACAACAAATAAAAACAAGTGCTTAATTATACCTTCAATGACCATTGGAGATTGAGGACATCCTCTTAGATCAGTTCCATGGCCACAGTTACGGCAGTTCATCGTGTAAGAAGGCACTGCCACATTAACCTGTTAGAAATTTCACAAATTCGAGACAGAACTTGTGAAATGGATAAAAAAAAAGACTTTACGTTCAAGAGATGAAGTTTGTTTTGAAGCATGACGCCATGGATCTTGTAACCCATTTGTGAAGATGATTTTGGTTGCTGCATGTAGATAATTCCCAAAAACATATCACAATGGTGCAAACTGCAAAGACAAAAAAATGATCTTGGAGAAGGTTTAAATGTCACATACCCGCGATTCTATCGCCTCCATAGTACAAGTTTGTAGCATCAACTTCAGGAAATACACCTTTCCCAAAAAGGCTCTTGCATAAATTCAAATGATACCTAATAAAGTAACCGAGATAGTAAACAAGAATGTGTGACTTCATTATGATATAGCGATTCAAGAATGTTACTCTGTATTGATTTGCTGAGATCGAATGCTATCATTCGCAGGCGCCACCTGAAAATATGCTAGCTCTGAGCAAACTTGGAACCACCATAGCCGATATGTACTATCTGCGGTAACTAGAGTGTTTCTCAGATGTTTCCGGCTATATGATCTAACGCTTAAGCCCCAAACTCCCATGCAATATTCTCTAACATATTTAGAATATGTTTCCTGCGTTACAAGTTACAAACCCCAGTTGCACGTTTATAGTAAATACAAGAAGTTTATTTGCATGGAGAGAAATGGAGATAAAACAAAATCTGAGCTTACCACTAAATTATTACCATTCTTCTTTGCTTCAACAAGTGGGACACATAGTTTATCTGGATTTCCATATTGAAACTGCAAGATTATGAACAGCAAGTGTCACTGCTAAGGCAAGACTAGGAAAGAACATGGAACTGAAAAAAAAGAAAAGAATATGGATCATCCTTACCGCCATAACCGCTGCATCCGCGGTTAAGTATAAGAAATCAGCATCAACCTCAAGCTGCAGATTAAAGTGTGACTTCTACTTCCATTATTATCAGTTTGAAACAGAGCTACAAAGGAGAGAAAGGAGAGAAAGAGAGGGACGAACCTCAGTGGCGTTAAAGAGCGCTTTCACCGCCTTTGCGTTTACTTTGAGCCCTAACTCCACAAGTTTATTAGTCTTCTGTAATGCAGCTTTGCATTCTTGACCAGCTGAATCACCTATCTCCTCATAATCAACAAAAAAGATCGATTCAACATGAGGATCCTTAAATCTCGCAAAGAACATTGTTTAGTTCTTGAATTCCTACAAAAAAAATGTATAATACCTGCTTATCAAATTCAGAGAATTCATAGACAGCACGAACGACCGCAGAACTAGCGAGGCTTCCACAGGTCAAATGAGGAAACTTAAGACGGAACCACGCACTTAAAGCTCCAGGATAAGAAATCCCAAAGAAGAACCATGGATTCTCACTACTACTTCTATTGAACTTAGCATTCAAAGATCCCTGCATCCACTTTTAAAGTTACGCGATATGATCTTAAGAAATGATGAGTGCAACGCAAGCAAGACTTGCCTGGTAGTATTGACGGAAAGCGGCAAGATCGAAAAGGGCTTGTTTAGATGAAAGGTATCTCAGATTCTCTGTAGCTAATGAGTTAAAGGGAGAGCTCTTCCCATAGTACCTATGTTCTAACGAAACCACACCAGCTCCAAACTTCTTTGCTAATACCTAAATGTATATGTTTTATAGAAAACATCAATCTCTTTAATTAGATTTTTCACACAAGAACTCTGGTAAACAAGAAGCTTACACTTATGTAATCTTTAGCTATGCCACTGCAAGGACCTTCACCACATACTATCAGAAAGACAGGACCATCTGGAGCTTTGAAGTAATCGAGAAATTCATAGTATCTCTGTCTGAATTTGCGATGATCCTGTGAAAGGAAATAAAAAAATTCAGTTTCTTGAAATTTGGATAAAACTACGTAGTCAGAGAAATGGATCTTGATAATCATTTGAACAGGTATAAATTTAAGAAACAAAACAATCATTTCAAAGTCGAAGAAGGGAACAAATCGGTTTACATGAGGAGAGTAATGATCTAGGGTTTGATTAAACCAAAGCTCATCGGTAGTCAAGTAATAGTCGCTTTCGGAAACACCATGAGAGACACTACCCGAATGTAATAAGGCATTGGACAACGTTGAATAAGACAAAATTGCAGTAATGGCTGTGATCAGAATAATGGCTTGCTCCGACGACATTTTCCGGCGTGGTAAACCGATTTCCGGTTATCTGTTTCTTTTTTTATATTTGACTTTATTCAAACTGTGTCAAAGCGTCAAAACCGGAAAGAAAGGAAGACTACTTTCTAAAGAAGGAAATGAAATCAACGGCTTTAAACCGATCTTAGATAAAAAAAAAAAAAAAAACGATGGCTGCGATCGAATCTAATTAAGGAAAGTGAGATTCGTTCTCTTAGTAGAACCACTAATGGGTTTGGGTCTATATATATGGTCTTTATAGGCCCAACATTGTATCAGAGCTTAGGTCACATTTCAAGATTTCATAATTTCAAATCAAATACCATGCATGATTTGCCACTGAAATAGGTTTGAAAGTTGAAGACAAAGCTGTATAATTTGTATCTTTCTTTCTTTTATATAACTTTTATTGGTTTGATGAGTTGATGTGTTGATGTGTCTGTAGGCATGAAAAGATGTGGGCATCAAGTTGCTTGGTACCGAATACATTCTGATTAAAGTTGTGGATAAAAAAGACATGTAATATGTTATCCCATCATCAATATATATCATTTATGGAAGAAACTAGTTTTTTTTATAGTTTTTTCACACAAAAAAGATAAAATAAAAATAGATCCAGTAAATTAGGTTGCTTGTGCCTTGCGGTATTATGATGATGATGTTCTTATTTCACTTTGATACAAGTCACCCACACGTTGATCTTTCGGCCAATGAAAATGAGAAATTAATGGTGTATGAGAACAATAATATATATATAATTAGGCAATTATTCCCTATTGATTTTCATATTATGGAAACTTGTTGTCTCTTTCTCCGATTCATGTGATCATATACTCAATAGAACACATATATGCCTCAGCTCAATACAACACATAGGCCTCGATTTTCAAGGCGAAGCTTGGCAGTTTCAAAGATACATATCCAGCTAATTTTCCTTCATTTGTTTTGAGGGTTTGTGGACTAATATTTTTTATTTATCGATGACATGTTTGTAATTGAAGCTGTTTATGATTTATCGATGACATGTTAAACCTTTTCCTCTCTTTCTTACATATTATTGCCCACTCTCTTATCATATATCATGATTAATCATCGTCTCTTTCTCTTCACGATTTCATTTTCGTTTATTGATTTTACTCATCATAACCACACCACAATGGTGAAATATGTCAACCGTGTGCGCGTATTCAATTTGATCAGCGCGCAGATAAAGAAATGCCGACAGATAGTTTATATTACTAATGACAAGAAAATACCAAAAACAGGTGAAACTTAGAAAAGACTTCGAACCTTTACTTTTTGTGATAATGGACATACTTCAGACTTCGAAATTTCATTGCGAAGAGAATTTCCAAAATGAATATTTTTATTATGAGCTATTAGTCTGAGTTTAAACTTTTAGCGAAGGTTTTCAAATAAGAAAAAATAAGTAGTTACATAAGAATATATATATATATATATATATATATAGGGTTTATTCGCATTCCCATGCTGAAATCTTGATTAATTTCTAAGGCAAGTGGAAAACTGGATTTTTATAATATTTAAGCTGTGGCTGAAAATAAGCGAAAATTGTGAAATTTCTCCATTAAGAAGCTTGTTTCTCACGGCTATATATATAAATAATTGTTTTCTGTACAACGCATTTGTTAGTGGAGGACAATAAAAAGGAAAGAGTAAACCTCAAGATTAATTCTTGTATGATTAAAAAAAGTTATAGCTTGAAATAAAAAAGAGAGTTTATAATAAGCTATATATATATACATATTTAAGATCCACATGTGACGTGTAGCGTATTTTTATCTTATATGTACATAATTTTCTTCAAAAGTTCGGTTTTGTTTCTAATAATTGTTTGTAACTAACCGTACTGGAATTATGTTTAATTATTATCGTCCTGATAAATAAAATTTGTGGTTTTGTTATCAACTCTTGGTCTAGTGGTTTGTATATCACTCCCAAAAGATTGAGAAGTCATATAAATTCACATATAATAACAAGACAACAACAACAAAAAGAGTGGCCAGCTTTTTTTGGTTTGGAGTTGCTTGGTTTTAATCAGTAAGACTATAATTAAAGCACAGTTCCGGATTTTAAGTTTGTAATGAAAACCGGAATAATAATGTTAAAACGGATCCGTTGCACAAAAGACCATGCATGTAAACCTTTAACATAAAAAGACCATGCATGTAGAATTTCATGTTTTCCTTTTATTAACACTTAGGTCCTTGGCTTGTTGAATTACAGTAACATGGTTGGATACATGGATTAATCATGCGTTTGGTGAAAGAAAGGTGAATAAAGTATGAATAAATAAATAAATCCAGGGAAGTTAAAAAAAAAAAAAAGCAAGAGGAGAGTGACGTGAATGAATGAAGACATGGAGAAGACCACGCGCAATGGAGCGGTCCACACTCTCTCCTCCTCACCTTTATATATTCACCAAATCGGATCGTCTTTCTCCTTAACTCGTCTTCTTCTTCTTCTTCGTATTCTGCTCTTCACCTCTTATCTCTTTTTAATTTCTCACACCATTGATCTTCCTAGCTTTTCCTTTTGTTTTCATCACTCCCTTAATCGAATATATATGGTTTCCTATTCCTTTTGCAAAGGATCTACAAGGCAGACCTAATATATCAACAAAGGGATTTCAAGAACATATACATAATATAGCCTCTACTTAATTAGACGTACGTCTTTGTCTTTTTGTTAATTATGTGTGTTCTTTAGACTTTGTTATCTGTAAGTTGTGAGCATCCTCACTTTCTCTTTGCATATAAGATGTTTTAATCAGTAGATTCAGGACCGTTAATTAAAACGATATTTGTTTTGTCCTTTTAAGTTGCAGCAAGAAAAGGAGATAAGCTTTCAGAAATGACGACATATATATTCTATTATGTCTGAATAAACCGAATTTTTATGAATCTATAGGTTTGGATCATTTCCCTTTTTTTGCGTGGAAGAAGCTCTTTTTGGGTATAATGCTAGGGTTTATCGTTTAGTATATCAATGATCAAAATATAATATTTTTAATTGTATTAATATAAAATAGTTTTAAGGAAAACGCCGTTCTTGATGATCATTGCCGCTGTACAAGAAGACAACATCATTAGTAAACTTACCATGTCCGTTTCTTCTGATCGCATTTCCTTGAATTATTCAATTTGAACTTTGTTCATGTAAATACTCCCTCCGTTCCATATTGTATGATGTTTTGGTTTTTTTATTTTGTTCTATAAAGATTGATTTTCTACATTATATTTAATATATTTCTGTTTCCAAAACAACTTTTTAGATAAAAAAATATAAAAAATTAGTATTAAATTAATAAACACACAAAAAGTACTTTAAAAAAGTAAATAATCATTGTTTTTTTAATATCTGTGAAACATTTAAAACATCATACATTCTGGAACGGAGGGAGTATATGTTTATGTATATATAGACATATATGTATGTAAGTCCTTCATCATACACTCACATGAGTTATGCGAGATATTTAATGCTAATCAAATGAAAACTCACCACGAAATGAGCTTGATGATTATATAGTACCTCATAGCATTTTGTCAACTATCTATCGAGTACTCTATAAATGATTTTTTTGTTTGTTAAAGAGTACTCTATAAATGATAATTATGTTTCTTCTAAAATTGTAATTATTCTCTTCTAAATAATTAAAATGTTAGCTTCTACTTCTGTACTTATCTGTCTAATGTATGGGCTTCCACTATCACATATCTTGCATTCATTTTTGTGATCTTGTGGTATACATGTATTACGTATATGTCTAATGTATGTACATTCGTAAACAAGATCATAGACCATATGAGAGTGAATGTATAGTTATATATTAATGTTTATTGTGGTGTTTAATTTTGGTGGTGCAGAAACAATGGAGTCAATGGAATCTTGTAGCGTTCCTCCAGGATTCAGGTTCCATCCAACGGACGAAGAGCTTGTAGGATATTATCTAAGGAAGAAAGTTGCATCACAAAAGATTGATCTTGATGTCATTAGAGAAATCGATCTATACAAAATCGAACCATGGGATCTACAAGGTTACTTACAAAACACCAAAAGATGCTTCCATTATTATATATAATTATGGTATCTCATATATAATATTGTTATCATCATAATAAGATATGTATACAAGTATCTATGATCTTGATTATGAGCTTAACTTTTATATAAAACAGAGAGGTGCCGAATCGGGTATGAGGAACAAAACGAATGGTACTTTTTTAGCCACAAGGACAAGAAATATCCAACGGGAACAAGAACTAATAGAGCGACAATGGCTGGATTTTGGAAAGCAACGGGAAGGGACAAAGCTGTTTATGACAAAACAAAACTGATTGGGATGAGGAAAACACTTGTGTTCTACAAAGGACGTGCTCCTAATGGCCTGAAATCGGATTGGATCATGCATGAGTACCGGCTCGAGTCTGATGAGAACGCACCGCCCCAGGTATCTGATTTCACATATAACATCTATTTATTTGATCGCTTGGCCTCATTAATAATTCAAGATAGATCATGATAACTTGTTAAATTTCATATTCATCTTTTCACCTTTCTGTTCATGTTATCTTTTTATACAAACTTTTATGAGGCTAGAATTGTGTTTCTACTTTGATGGGGACAAGACACTTAGGTTTTAATTAGGGCTTCTTGTCTCTTGGGCACTTTTGTTAGACATATGCTAACTTTTAGGTGAAAGTCTAAACACTTTTCTGACTATATGTAGAATAATACACATATATTCAACCAGAGAAAATAAAAAAGAAAAAAAGACAGTAAAAGTCTCTTTTAAACTCATAAACTTCACTCGATTTTTATTAGATGTACAGTTTGGTCAATGCATTTATATTTTTAACTTGAAAAAATCTGCTACGCTATATATGTTCGTATAATATAACTAAAGTTTTTGTAATAAATTATTATGATTTCCAAGACCCTAAAGTCAATAAAGTTCAAAAGTGAAACTGTAATAGATTGCATGAGTATTTTTCTTCATTGTGGTCTCACACTTTTCAAGCATGTCCTTATGTGTGTCTCACTAAACTAAAAACGAATGTTTCTCCGTCTTTTTTGTTTTGTTGCATTGGCTTTATGGATTATATGATTCTTTCTCAATTGTTTGAAACATCAAAAACTAGCAAAAGATTCTAACTATATTAGTCATGTTTTCTTATGGTCATTTTGTGTATATATGTATATTATAGGAAGAAGGGTGGGTGGTTTGTAGAGCATTCAAGAAAAGACCAACAGTGCAAGGCAAGAACATGGAAACGTGGAGCTCAAGTTATTTCTACGATGAAGTCGTATCGAGTGGAGTTAACTCGGTTATAGATCCCACTGAGTACATATCTAATGAGCAACATAACTTTTTTGGGAAAGGTTTGATGTGTAAGCAAGAACTAGAAGGAATGATCGACGGTATAAACTATATGCAATCGAATCATCAATTCGTTCAACTCCCGCAACTCCAAAGCCCTTCTCACCCGCTGATGAAAAGGCCATCGAGCTCGATGTCCATAACATCAATGGAGAACAATTATAACTACAACCTCCCATTAGATGGTGAAGAAAGGTTCGAGTCGTTAATAAGCAGAGAGAATAAAAGGAAGAAGAAGAAGCAAGTAATGATGAAGGGAGATTGGAGAGAACTAGACAAGTTTGTTGCTTCCCAACTTATGAGCCAAGAAGATCATGCAAGTTCAGGTTTAATAAGTCATGAAGATATGGAGATGGATTCGTCAATGTCGTTGAACGACAGAGATGAAGAGAACAGGTTCATCAGTGAGTTCTTGAGTACAAACTTGGATTGTGATATTGGAATTTGCGTTTTTGATAAATGATAGTAATATAACGTTGCCTTATATATACTTCATGTTTGAATATCAACGTACAAGCCAATTAAAAGTATACATTTTTATGAAAATAATTAATGCTTTTTAATTTAGGGTTGTGAATCTGTGAGACATATACATTTATATTACGACACGTACTACTATATTTGAGTTTGATCAGTGTCAAGGTTAGAGAGTTGAGAGTTGTGAAGAACCCTTTGGATTTTATATTAGTAGTTGTAGAGATGATTAACGGGTGATTAATTAACTAATAATAATGATCAGGAGATGAAATTAAAAAAAAAAAAAAATATGGAAAAAGATCAAAAGAAAAAGTAGGACCAGGGAGATGTCGAGCGTGCGGTGTGCAAAACGGGGTTCCGTTGGGCATGCTTTGTCGTCCACAACAGTTAAACGAAACTTTGGAAGGAAGAGTCTTCCTTTACTAGTTTTAAAAATATTTATCTAACATGAATCAATTTTTTTCTTTTTCACTTGGCAAAATTGCTATATACTGTAAATGTTAGTCGTTATATGTACGGTTCTCACTTCTCATGCAATTCTTAAGGAAAATGGTTGATCTTAATAAGTTTATAGAAGAATGTATGTTGCCAAATCCCAATGGAGACGTTCCACGTTTTTTTAACTAAAAAAGAAAACAATTATATTTATGAACATAGACAGTGATGCCGTCTTAGCTCAGTGGTAGAGCGCGTGACTTTTAATCCCGTGGCCGTGGGTTCGATCCCCACAGACGGCGACATCTTTAACTTTTTGCATAATTAAATTTTCCAAAATTAAGACTTCTTTTCCTGGTAAGATTCATCAGTACTAGGCTGTATATGGGCTCGAAAATAACTAACATTTTCGGCCTTATCGAGATTACGGAGGCTTTATTGTTTTAATCTTTCGATTCAAAAGGAAAAATATGTAAATTAGCTTTTGTCTCTCGCCTTTGCACATCAAATCTTTCACAAATCCTAAGTGCATACGTATGTTAAATATTAAACAGTGCGTAGTTATAAACATCCAAAGACTCACTAGTCTCTAACCCTAAAGCCCTAAAGAAAGTCACACCAACACAAAAACAGTCTCAGCCATTTTTACAGAGAGAAGAACGTTTATTCAGTTGTATTCACACACACACACACCTTCTTCTTTTTCTTCTTTCTTCTTCTCAATGATCAAGAAGCGGAAGCTTTCAAGACCTTCTTCGAACCTAGAGACTTGATTGACTTAAGCTGTCTTGGCTTCTTCGCTTTCCTCTTCTTCTTCGTCACCATCTCTTGTTTGTCAGTCTTCTTCGACTTTCTTGAAGAAGACCGAGTCGTCTTCTTCTTCTGCTGCTGCTGCTGCCTCGTGATCATCGTCTTCGCCTCTGCAAGCTTGTACGAGGCTCTGATCTTCACGAGCTTACCTTTAGCGACTGAGTTTTTAAGCTGTAGAGAGAGTGTTTTACGAAAATTCTCCGGAAGTACGGTTTTGTGTTTCTCCTCTATCTTCTTTGCTATAGCGTAAGGACTCGATCCGTTCTTCTCCTTCAGAGTCACTAAAGCCTCTTTTATCATCTTCCATCAAAACCACAAGAAAAGAAAATATTAAAAATGGATTAATCATTTTCTCAACAAGAACAAAAAAATGAAAATTATTTTTAACCTGCAAGTATGGAGGATGAGTGGTGGTTTTCGGTTTACTCGGCTTCTTCGATTTATTTTCTGACGCCGTCGGAGTCTTCTTCTCCGTTGGAGATTCGATTTTCTCTTTGGCCATATTACAGAGAGAAATTAGATAAACCTTTGTCAAACAGAGGATTATTAGTTTATAGTGTGAGAAGTGAAGATAATGATGCTTTTGTTTGTGTTTGGTATATACTATATAGCAGCCAGAGATTCACAAGTGTATCTGTTTGATTGGTGTAATTTTTTCCTACGGATCTATTACGTGTCCTGTGATGAATCTCTAACGTACAACACATGTCGGGATTGAATGTGTTTGGGAGAAACACACTAATTATTTACGAGCGGTGTTTAGATATTTCTTGATTTAATTTTTTTAATATAAAGTTATTCCACCTTGGCGATCTTTGTCATCGTATACATTAGCATTTTGTGAATTGTAGTGATTTGAGCAGTTTTGTGTTAGAGAGTGTGTTTTCTCCTCGATACAAAGCCTTGATTTTGAAGCTGTTCTTGATTGGTTTTTGACATATTTTAAATTTTAAAAAGATTTGGGTATCGCAAATCGTGAAGGCAATCAAACGGATTCAAATGGGAACCCATTTGGGTTAGAATTAAGACGATTACAACGAAACAATATGAATATGGTTAAAATTCATTTTCTGATAGAATGTATACTAGACTCAATTTAGTGGGTGTATCAGAGCTTTTGATGTATCCATTGTTAATGATTCTTTTTGAATGATGATTGATGACAACCTTAATTTTTTTCAGTTTTCTACTTGAATTTGCATGATTTAGAGTTTTGAATGGGTATGAGATTTAAGAGGAGCTACAAAAATCAGAAGTATTGGTTAAAAGTCGATGAGATCTTCATATTTTAGATATAAAATTACGATTGACTACAATTTTGGAATAGTTAAAAACATATTTATGATTTTGACGATAAATCCATTACATATTATTTGAGAAGTAATATTATTGAAAATAGCTGATTTATCAATACTACAGCCAAAGTTAGTGCTTTTAATTGATGACATGTAAATGTGACATGTCAAACTTCCTAAAATAAACAAAATATTTTGATTGGTTGAATTAAAATTATAAGAGTTGTGGAATTGAAATATAAATAAACTAGATTATATTTATAACACTAAAATTAACAAATTTAAATTAACAGAAAATAAAATTTATTATAGTTTCAAATTTTTACATATATTCATAATTTCATAAAATATAATTACGAAATTTGGTCAACAATATATATATATTATAATTTCATATAAAAACCAAAAAAATACTAATTATCCAATAGAATAATAAAAATTCTATTATTAATAAGACTTGAAGTATGATATATTTTTATTTCGGAAAGTTATTAATTAAAAAAAATATATTAATAACATCTAAACAAATTTTAAATAAATAAATTATTAAATAATACAATTTTAAATAAAATACAATCTTGATAAAAATAATTTAAAGAATAAAATGTTAAAAATGATAAAAATAATCAACTTTTATTGAATTTTTTTTCAAAAACGTAATTTTAAATAAATTTTCTTTTCAAACCAATATTTACTAAATGAACAAAGTATATGCTAATTATTATTTCATAATATTAATAGGACCATATATTTTTCTATAACTTTTATCATCTTTTTATTGTTATTTTCTAAAATATACATAACTTATGTTACCATCTCATCTTATCTCTTATCATATTTTAAATAAAAATAAATTTTACATCATGTTCATATATATATATATATATATATACATAAATTTAATTTGATTGTATATAAAAATTTTGAGAACATAAATAAAATGAAAAATAACCAAACGAAAGAATAAATTATAATAAGATGAAATAATATGAATAAGAAATAAAAATAGAAGTATATAAAAATAAATCTCTCGCATTTTTTTTTACAAAGCCACTTAAAAACTTTTTAACACGTAAGAGCCATATTTCAATTTTTTTACAAATATACGTACATACATAAATATTAATTGTACATTAGTTGAAGTCACATGCGAACTTTTTCGTGCATGTATTTTGTTAAGATTGATTACAGTCTAATTTTTATTTTAATTATTATACAATTTATATTTTTTAAAAAATATTTATGTATTCTAAGTGTAGTGAAGTGGTTGGTATGTCCGCACATGCGTGCCAACCATCTATCCGCTCTTGAGAATAAGTAAACATGGTAAAAACTATTTCAGTTTAATAATAAATAAATAAAAATATATACTTAAAATATATTATATATGTATCTGCAAATTCATATTATGTAAGACGCAAAAAAACATATTGTAGATTGTGTAAGGAGAAATAAAGCATATTATAGAAATATTCAAAAAATATTATAAGAATTTAATAATTATTTAACATAACTTTTATATTTGTGATTATATATTATTACAAGCATTATAAAAATAAAATTTTTTAAATTCATTGATTTCAGAAAGAAGTTTGTGAAATATTAAAACAATATATATACAAACATACTAATGTTTAAAAAAACTAATCAGTATTTAAATATTATAATTAACTATGTATATAAAAAAAATTATACCTGCACATATGTGCGGACAACCACCTAGTTATTATATACAAGAGAAAAAAGGGAAGGAAAAATTATATACAAGACAAAAGGGGCAGACGAGTAACAATATCTTTTCACAAAAGTGTCTCAAATTTATAAAATACTATATTTTGATATTACACTTTGTCAAAATACCTTCAAATATAATATTTTCGAAATTATTATATATTAGACTAACATAATATAATATATGACATCTTAGCTGTCAAAATGAAAATAATTTTTATGTATATTTTGTTTATTTGATGCTGGTTACAAAATAATAGTTTTCTTTTATAAAAAGCTATTATTATTTTATTCTATACTTCATATTTAGTAATTTATAATATTCAGTTTTATGGAGTTTTTCATTTTTGTTTGAGTTTATATTTTCTCTTTTTAAGATAAGTTTATTTAAGAGTTTTTCTTGTGCAAAAATTAATACTTTATTTTAAATAAGTTGATTTTAGTTATCTCTTTAGATTATATTTTATAGTTAAATTGTTCAAAACGGTGGTTAGAGCATGGTTCTTTGTGAGAATGGTGACAATTTGTGTAAGTAATTCTGGAAGAATGAGATGAAGATGAATTTTTAACTGAATCATATGTTAAATCTAAATCAAAATCGAAATCAAAATCACAATATTTTGAAATACTATCACCGATATCAACAAATGTATCTGATGCATAAACACCAAAATAACAACGGACGTCAACCAAAAAAATACCAAAATAATAACAATAATTGGAAAACATGTTTATTTATGGCATATATAATATATTTGTACACATCAATGTCAAGCAAACAATATATAAATTCAAAATCACTGAAAGTAGGGGCTAATTAGCTTAGACAAATAATGGGACTGATGATAATACTTCAACAATGTTGCCATCATGATTATCATCTACTTCCATTTGCTGCACACCATCATGACTATCATTTTGTTCCATTTGCTGCACACCTTCAATGTGGTCACTATATTTACCAGAATCAGAGTCACCTTCTATGTGGTCATCATCTTCACCACCAAAATCAAAGGCACCTTCAATGTGTTCATCGTCTTCACCACTAGAATCAGAGGGATCAGAAGAGGAATCCGTGGGAAATTCAATATCTTTGTGGTAATATTGAACCAAACTAAATGTAGCATAATGCCTAGTACAATAAGACACCCTACGTTTGTGAACATAACGTGGATATCCAAGAGAATTATGAACTGCTTCAAACAATCGATAGTGGGCATTGTCTTGGAAAACATGACATCCATCTGAAATGCCAAAATCAGACGAATACTCCACCCACTCAAATGAGTCATCGAAGCATTCTTGTTCATGGTCATACAAATATAGTACATCGCTGTAGGGGTCCTCAAGCCTCCGTGACAAAGTAATACGACCCGAAATATTTAATTTTTTTTAGTAATTTATAATATCCATCTCCTTTTTAATGAGAAAACAGTCATTTAAATCATGAACTTGTTCGATTTCGCCAAATTAAATACCAATTGTTCGTTGCCCTAAAAAATATACCAATTTATGTTGATTATGCCGAATTAGATATACTATAAGTCAACATTAATTAGATCTAAAACTTTGTGAATCACCGTTAATTGTATCGTTAAATCAAAACGATGCCGTTTCATAAACAGAACAAAAAAGAACAAAAACTTCAATTCATCGTCGAGATCTCATTCATCGTCTCTAATATGTAACTTTTTTTCAATCTTCTCCGTGGCTCTGTCTTCTTAAAATTTTCTGAAGAACTCGAAAATAAGCTATCTCGAGGCATCGATTTTGAGATTCTAGTAAGTTCTAATTGTTTGTATGCATCGATTTTGAATTTCACTTCCTCTCATTCTCATTTCGACTCTCTAACTGAATTCAGGTTTGATTGTAACAGATGGGTTCAAAGTTGTATAAAAAACATGATTTTGGAAAACGTGGCTTTCCGGTTAAATGTGTGTAGAGGTCAAGTTTTGATATTCACATCGAAGACCCAAGAAAATCCTGTATGCCCTTTTTACCGATGTGAAACAAAGAGAGATGTAAGTTATTTCCTTAATTTCTTAACTTGTAATATCCTCAAACACAATTCGTTTTGCTGATTATTAAACCACAGAAAGTTGAATATGAAACTTTTTTTGCTTATTCTGAAACTTGTTTTTCTTATATACATTAAGATCATTTATTTAAGTGGGTAGAAGAATGCATGCTTGAGGAGGTTGAAGATGCATTACCAAAACTTGAGAACATTGAAACTGAAGTTTACAATCTGAAAGCTGAGGTTGAAGGGTTGAAGGATGTGATTTATGACTTGAAAGAAGATGCAATGTGGATGAAAACCGAGTTGAAGAATTTGAAGGTCATTGCCAAAGTATTTTGTGTTTGTCTTTGTTTGATGTTTCTTGTATTTGCAGTTGCATATCTACTCTTTTGAGTTTAGGTGTATGGTATCTCGTTTGTAACCTTATGTATAACTTGAATTGCAAATGCTTTGTAAGACTTTAATATGAGTTTGTTTTTATCACTCATTTGTGCAACAAAGTAAAACAAAACAAAGTTAAATGAAACAACAAAATGCAAAGTGTTGATACATTAGAGAATAAGCCAAAGATACATAGTTTAAACTGATTACATTGAACAACAAAACTAAACAAAGTTTGATAGAGTTAAAAAAGGAACAAAGTATCAATTCCAGACTTATGATCCTCCTTGTGATCCATCTTGTGATCCAACTTGTGATCCAATTTGTGATCCTACTTGTGATACTCCTTCTGATTCTCCTTCCTACATACCAAGTAAAGCATAATAATAAGAAAACCATGCAAAGAAATCTTAAACTCAAAAACAAAATGTAATGTTTAAACTAACACTAACCTGATCTTTCCTTGGTCTTCCCCTTCGTCTTTTAGCTTCAGGTTCAGCAGTCAGTTTAGAACATGACAACCTATTGTGCCCTTCTTCTCTACAGTTCGAGCATGTCATGATACGCTTCTCACGGCTTAACATGGTCTTCTTAGAGGAAGAGGCAGATTCGAAAAGGCTCTTACGTCTAGCATAGTTACTACATCTACCAGGGTTACTTAATCTATTTGGTGGTGGCAAGACATGTAATCTATTCATCCTTGGCCACAACTTCATCCCTTCCACCTGCTTGATACTATGCTTATATGTTTTCCTCCACATTTGAGTTGTGTAATATTCAGACACATAATCATCGACCTTCTCCTTCTTTGCTATGATAACACACGCAGCATGGATACACGGAATACCATTCAACTGCCACATCCCACAGCCACACGTTTTGGGACCCATTTTCACACTATAAGCACAGCCGTGATAGTCTATTTCATGCTCATTATCACACGATATGTATCTGATGCAATCCTTAGACTTTTCTATAGCTGATTCAATTGCAGCATGTGCCCTCTTAGTGAATCTAGTCTTCAACCTATTTGCAATAATAGACCATTTTGCAGTACGCACCATACATTGTATCCTTATCTCTTCTAGCAAATCAAGTAATAGTTTTTTCCTAGCCTCACGGATGGTTCTATTGAAAGATTCATTCAGATTATTCAAGTTATCGTTGCAGAAAGAACCAACCTTAAAGAAAGCCCGAGACTATGTAGGAGGATTTGTGCGTTGAAGAGAATCATATGCGCAGCGATTGTAACGCTTCAACTGCTCCATATGTTCAATGTAATCTCCCTTGGTGTAACTTCGAGCTATTCTCCAAAACAGCCGCTCTAGCTCTGAATCATGGCTGTCTCTTTTCTAGTTTCCTAGAATGTGTCGAGCACACATTCGATGTTCAGTGTGTGGAAGATCATTGCGAACAGCTTTCACCAAACCCTTCAAAAAATGAAAGACTATTAAGAACTAAGAAGTTAGCTATTAAGTAGAAACGATATGATTGTTATGTGGAATACCTGTTGCTTATCTGATATGATTGTTATGTTGCTTCCATCACCAAGCTCTAAATCCCGTTTCAGATTCACAAACCAATCCCAATTAACATCATTTTCTATCTCAACTACTGCCCATGCGATAGAAACAATCCTATTATCTCCATCTCTTCTTATAGCTGCTAACAATTGGCCTTTGACATCCCACTTGAGAAACGCACCATCTAGTCCAATGTTAGGTGTACATGTAGACTTCCAAGCTACTCGTTGAGCATCAAAGCAAACATACAAACGAATAAACCTTTGCTTGCTTCCTGGTGTTGGTCCTGGAATAATTTCGACTTCCATATTGGTGTCTTTATTAGTCAAAAGAAGCTCTGCTTTATAATCCCAAATCCGTGAAAAATGTTTTTCGTGGCTAGCTTTTCTTTCCCTTGTAACTTTTGTCTTTGCTTTCCGACATTGCTCTTCAGTAACGTTCAAGTTGTAGGTCCTCTTGATCTCATCAGCAATCTCTTTTGCAGTAAGCTTAGGATTCAACCTCAACCTTTCCGCAAATAACTGAGAAATTGATGAACTCTTCAACATCTTCGAGTAACCGGACCTCACACATATGTGTTTATTCTCAAAAACTTTCATCTGCAGCTTCCGTTTGCGCTTCTCGTACGAGCAATAAACTCTCCATTGGCAATCATACTCTGTGTCAGAGCAAATAGCACCAAGCTTGCTTTGTGTCGACATGTATAACCTAATGTCGTATCTTGTTTTCAGAGAGTACCTAAGAAGAGCTTGCTTGAACTCTGAAGCAGAACTAAACGTCTTGCCTAATTCTAGAATGTCTTCGGGTGATGATTCATCCTCACGAGATTCCCTTCGCGCTTCTTCTTCCTCATCGTCGGATGACAGGAGGATCTGGTATATTATCCTCATTCCATAAATCATCATTTCCACTGTCATCACTCTCTACTCTACCGATATCAACACTTCAAGCCCGACTTCTTCTTCAACAACTACTTCACGAAATTCTTCTTCGACACCATCCCGCTCATTCTCATCTACTAAATCATCAGCAGGATCATCCGCAATAGCCTCACAGTCATCGTCAACTATAACCTCATGCTCTGAATCTCTTCCATCGTCCTCCACCATAGAGTTTTTGCTTCAACGTTGTACAATCATCTTTCGTCTCGTCATATCGGGATTCTGGAACCAATATTGGGTAACAGAAGAGATAAGAGAAGAAATTGAGAGTGGAGAAGAAATCGAGAGTGGAGAAGGAAAGAAGATGACAGAAGAGATCGATAAAAATTAAGGATTTCTCGATGAAATTTAAGGATTTTGAGTGTTCTCAACACGGCGTAGTTACTATCGTTAATAATAAACAGATCTTGACGGACAAATAATGTTGACTTACAGTATATCTAATTCGGCTCGATCAACATAGATTGGTATATTTTTTTTAGACAACGAACAATTGGTATTTAATTTGGCAAAATCCAACAAATTCATGAATTAAATGACCGTTTTCTCCCTTTTTAATTGTCTTCCTCCACTTTACTTTTATATTATTAAATTGTCTATTTCTGGCGATCATGAAGTCTCGAGCTTCAAACAAGTTATAGCAAAAGGGAAAATACTATAGGGTAAAGAACCGATCATTAAGCCGTTCACCACCTTCAATGCAGTTCTAGTGTCCTTCAATGGAACAAGATACAAACACAAGACCAAAAGTCAATTAAAAAAAACCACTTACACTGATGCAAAACATGAAGCAAATGAACACTACTAAGCAATGGAATATGATGAACACTAAAGAATAGGAATATGCTTATATCACACAAAACTTGTTCACACAAAGGCCAGAGCATAGCTTTAGCAGCTCTGATGAATCCTGACTTCAACGCTTTACTCGATTCCAACCTTCTTCTTTACTATTATACAGCAATCGGTGTTTCCTGCGAAGAAGCCACTTTATAATCAGTTTTCCCTGTTTCTGCCTCAAAAGGAATACTATAACTATTCGTGTTCCATCAAAACTAGTGCTGACTCCAGAACTAAGCCAGATAATATTACTACAGACATAACAACAAAACCATGAAGCTAGTACTGATCGTTTCCATGACTCACCTTGGAAGCTATATTTGAGACGGCTAGATTGAACTTCTCTTTAGTTTTCGAGCCAGCCATCTGACCTACTCTCGCAACTTTGCTGAATGCGCCACTAAACCAAGCAGCTCCAGCAGTCACGTACCTGTTTGTGAAGCAGAATCCAAAACAAAAGAACATATCAGCTAAAACTATTTGAAATCGTTAAGAGTCGAAAATCTGTGACAAACGCATATGGGTATGTTAGAATCCTACCGTATCTATAAATTTTACATTTTTCCAAAAGAATCTGAAGATAAGAGATATTATATACCTGCTTGATTTGACAGCTGAGCCCGTGTCGTTTAACTTCTTCTCGGCTGCAAATATCGCCGCCATGGTTTTATCGGAAACCTGAAGCTTCTGATCAACAGATTTTACTTTCTCGTTAACCGCAGAGATGCCTACGTTGAACTTCTCCGTAAGCCGGACTCTCTTGTCAAAAGACGAGACTTTTGCGGAAGCGTTGGCTCTTAACTGGTGCAGTTCATCAAAGGCCTTGGCTTTGTTCACTGCGTCTTGTCCAAGAGCAGAGCCTTTTGCCAAAACAGTAGCCATCACATCTTGCGCCTTGCTTACGTACGCTCTGCCATTGCCATCACTGGTCTGCAAACATAGATTATCTTTATCATCCCACAAGTTTAAGTCTTCAAGATCATTGTTCTTTCTCTGTTAAAAGAACAAACATTAACCTGGCGTATTGGTGCTGATTGGGGCATTACGTTCTCTACCGTTCTTACTTCCTGCAAGAACATAAACTAAGATATCATTCAAGAGCACACACACACACTTGACGGAAATGAACAAAAAAAGTTGATTTAGGAAGAAACACAAAACCTGCATCTCACGCCTAGGAACATAGTTTTCAGCTGGAGTTATTGTAACGATCTTGTCTACAATTGTGGCACCCTGCTTCACAAAACATTGTAACATTCTCAAATACACAAATTCTCAAAGTAATTACTCTTTTACACACACAGGCAAAGAAACAATTTTAGCAAGCTCAATGAAGGAAGATGCAATAGCGATCGAAATTACATACCGATAACAAAAGCGCGATTTCAAGAGCTTTCGGATCATGAAACGTAACAAATGCGATTCTGGAATTCCCAGCTTCTCTGCAACATTATACGCTTGAATTAGGTCTAATTTTTCCTTTTCAGAAGCCTTTCTTCAAAAAAAAAAAAAAATCAAGCTAAAAGTTGAAATTCCATAGAGAAGAAGAAGAAATGATGGGAAGAGAAGTTACTTAAGAATCTCAATGTGGTCTATGTCGCCTGAAAAGGAGAAAAACTCGTGAATCTCCCTCTCCGTCGCTAGATCTGAGACATTCTTCACTTGCACACTTCTCGTCTGCATCCAAAATTCGAAGAGAAACAAAAAAAAAGATCAGTTCAGCTCAAGAATCGGTGATACAGAAACTGAATATTTCCGCACAGTTAAAAATCAAAAGTGTATGAATCATCATCACCTGCATTTTCGGCGGCGGAAGAAGAAGGCGGAGAGGAGAGAATATTTTTTTGCGGAAGAGAGAAGGAAAAGATTTTGAACAGCCCAGACGTCACACTCTCTCCAGCTAAGCTGATTTTATCTCTGCCTAAATTGTTTCTTAAAATAAAGAAAATCACGTTAAAAAAATTCATCAACTATTTTAAATATTCCAAAAATAAAATACACGAAATTATGGACTTTTGGTCACTTTTTTATTTATAGAAATGTGTTTTTATAAGGAAGGTGTCCGTAAATTATTTCATTGTCCCTCTTGTTTGTTATATTTGTTATCATAAGAGGAAAAAAGTGGTTATATTTATATATAGAGAGTGAATTTTTTAACCTTTTATTGATTGTCTGATTACTCTAGTGGGTATGTAATTATTTCATTGTGCACTCTTGTTGGTTTTATTTCTCTTAATTACTAAAATCGACAGAGAACAAAAGGAATGTGTTATTATGGAAGTTATAACAAGAAGTTGCGATATAACATCTCTGGTTTTTATCATATGTTTGATTGTATCAAATCCGTAGAAATACGCAGAATCAAAACACAATAACAGTAACCTTAATTAAAGCTTAATCTTATTCTTCGTCTTCTATGTTCAATTCTTTGGACTAGAAGAGAAGGAAACAAAAAAAAGCAGACAACTTTTTTGATACATGATCAAGCTGTTCTCTTAATGATATGGACTCCACTCTCTGTGTCGACAATGTCGCTTATATCTCCAACCTTGAGTGCGTAAGTTGCTTCCTCAAATGGTTTCTGCATTTGACCTCGACCAAAGGGACCTGAAACACGTTGTTACAATCAAAACATTCAGCACTTTCAGCATAAGATTTCATGATCATCAATTATAGATTCGTCAAGGAAGAAGCATCTGCGATCATCTAAGCAGACATAGTTAGTAGTAAGATTTATGAGCACCAATTATAAATTCATTCATAAAGGAAGACACTTCAGATTCTATCTATCAGTGATGATCTAAGCACACATCAGTGGGACTTATGAGCATTAGCTATAGATCCAAGTAGTCATTGGTAAGATGTATAAGCACTAATTCTAGATTGATCAGGGACGAAGCTTCAGATTCTACACATTAGTGATGATGTAAGTAGTCACTAGTAAAGTGTATGAGCACCGACTCTAAAATTGATCAGGGAAGAAACTTCAGATTTTAAATATTAGTGATGATCTAAATAGACAGAAGTAAGATTTTATGAGCAACCAGTTCTAGATTGATTTAGTAAGAAACTTAAGATTCTAAACACTAGTGATGATCTAAGTAGTCACTGGTACCGTGTATGAGTACCGATTCTAGATTGATCAAGGAAGAAACTTCAGATTCTAAACACTAGTGATGATCTAAGTAGTCACTAGTACCGTGTATGAGTACCGATTCTAGATTGATCAAGGAAGAAACTTCAGATTCTAAACATTAGCAATGATTCAAGAAGACAGTTGTAAGATTTATGAGCACCAATTCTAGATTGGTCAAGGAAGAAAATTCAATCCTAAAAATTAATGATGCTCTGAGTAGACAGTAGTAAGATGTATAATCATCAACTATTATATTGATTGAGAAAGAAGCTTTTTAGTTTAAAACATCGATGATGAAAGAAGCAGATGCTTGAAACTATCGATTCTAAGATACGGTGATGATCTATGTTAGATCATTATGCTCAATTTCAATACACAGTTGTATCCAATAGAACCCAATTTCGAAAAATTGAAGTATTGAACTAAGAGATGCCTGAGACTATCCTGATTACTTTCATTTCTTTAAATCTTATTTGCCACAGGATCTGACTCAGAGGACTGATCTCAGGGAAACAAAATCACAAACTAGGGATTTTGGAATAGAAGAACAAACCTAGATCGCCGCCGCGTTTGGCGGAGCTACAGTCGGAAACACGAGTCGCCACATCCTCGAAGTTAGCCTTCCCGGAGACGATGTCTTCGCGGATCGACTTGAGCTGCTCGACGGCTGCTTCTCTGGTGGTAGTCATGATGATCTTCCCTTCTGGATCCTTCCACGACGCCTTCCTCCGAGATCCCTGATGCTTGATCAGAATATGCGACGCCTTAACCTGATCCCTCGACGCCATCTTGCTCTTCTTCCGGTGCTTGTTGCTGTGGTCGTCTTTCTTCTCCTTCGATTTCTCCGACGTTCGATCTATCGATGAGACCGAATCCTTCTTTCGTTTCCGATCTGAATCTATCTTCGAAGACTGAGTGAGAGATATCTGAAGTTAAAAGTTCGTGCGGCTCTCTTTTCTCTACCCTAATTGCTCACTCTGAGACGCGTTTCGTTTTATATGAAAGGAAAATAAATTTATATACCGCCACAAGCATTATTTTCGTTATCGCCATTAAAGAAAACAAAATCATTTATTAGCAAAGTATTGGCAGAAACTATAGTGAATATTGTTTGTGGCGGAATTTTTTGGATTTACTATATGGTTTAATTAGTCTACATTACTTTTAAAAAAATGCAATGAAAGACTAATTATATTATTGTTTACAAGAAAACCAATGAAGCTTGCTTATATGTGACAGAGATCAAAGAAACAAAAAGACAACACTCAAGGGGTAAGAGCAAGACAATAAAACAATGTTGTGATAAGTATACAAAACAAATATTCCTGGCCAAAAGAATGCACGAAGAACTTTTAAACATTTGAGAGATTATTATCAATCGAAGAAAAGAATCAGGAGGAGACAACAATCTCTCACGGTCACGGCTAAATATATTAGATGTCTCTCAAGACAGGCCAACCTTTTCTAATGATCTCGTTTACTCTCGAGTCGATTTGTTTCTGTGTTCTTGGTGGGCAGAGCTCGGCTGCATAACCGTTTAGTTTCGTGGCTAGTGCTGATCTCTCGAGCTCTTCCTCTGCCATGTTTCCTATTAGCTGAATAAGGAACGGATGTTGTTTCAGCTCGAACTTCTGCAGTAGATTCAAAATTCGCCAGAGAGCAGCAATGAGTTCACTCACTCGAGAGAAAACTATATGGAAGAAGATGATGGTAGAGAGAGAGAGACATAAAAAGAGTTTGGAACCTGATGATCAGGCTCTGCGCGATGAAACGTTTCTAGCTTTTGGATTTGAGTAGTCACGATACTGCTTCTTGATTTAAGCTGCTCCCTTTCTTTGCTAGTGGAAGCCAGTCTCGTTTCTTCTGTGGAATTAGTGAAAATACAGGATCTGTTCATAAAAAGATTTCGGGATGTTTTTAGTTTTGTGCTAAACAACAAAAAATAATTATTAGATAACTCAAAATTACTATGTACTTCTCCTTAATTACCTGTATTGATTACCGACATCAGGACCTTGTCCAAAGACTTGTCTGGAATCATGACTAGACCAGAATACATCTAAGAGCTGACGATAAGTCACTATCCGTGGATCATATTCAACCTAAAACACAATAAAACAAAATCTTCTGTGTAAGTTTCAACAGTTACAAAGCAATAGAGGATCAGAAACTAATGAAACAGTCGTTTTTTATCATGTTCATCAGGGAAGATGAACAAAGACGAATTAGTTTCTTGTGTGAATAGTTTACAGTGCAAGAGGCAACACAAAAACCTAGAGGATCAGAAACTATAAACCAGCTCAAGAAACAGTCGTTTTGTACAATGATTATGTTCATCGGAACAAAGACAGATTAGGGTGTAACCTCAATCACATATATACAAAGATCACACATTACAAAAACTTAGCAAAGCAAGAGCAACACAAAACCTAGAGAATCAGAAACTATAAACCAGCTCAACAAACAGTCGTTTCTACAATGATTAGAGTAAAAACCTCAATCGCGTATACACAATGACCACACATTACAAAAACTTAGCAAAACAAGCTGATCAGCTACAGAATCTGGATATGCATCGTCGTCTACACTAACTTGTCTATCCAAACGATTCTTCAGATAGAGCAAACAAAATCGAAGGAGATGACTTGAGAGAGGCAACACAGATCAAGAATAAAGCTTAATTCAAAGCAAGTGGCAATGGTAATTAGGAAGAAAATCAAAATCTGTGTGAGATTAGCTCAGATTTTTTTCAAACAATCAGGCCTAAGAGAACAAAGCAAAACAAACCTGTACGGATTCGGCGTGGTCACCCAAGTTTCTATACTCCGGATTGGCCTTAGCTCCGCCGGCGTAACCGGCCGTTGTTCGTACGACGCCATGGATACAGCCGAACGCCGCCTCCGATCGCCAGAAGCTCCCGAGAGCGAAAACCGCCGATTTCAAGGGACGATCCGGCGAATCAACGACGGAGTCCGAGATCTGACTCGATATCCTGATGCATACAGCCTTGTCGAGCAGAGAGATGCACACGAGGAGGAGGGAGACGATATTCACATAAGGAATGAAGAAACGGTTCCTCCTCTTCTCTGATAAAGCCATTTCAGATTCAGTCTCTCTCTCTCTCTATGATGTACTGAGCCGCTTCGAACCAGGGAACAAATCTCTCTCTACATGAACCGCCCAAAAAGTCACTCCAGGCTCCACCACCACCTCCATCGAAACTCGTCAGCAACGCACAAGAAAGTAGTCAAGCCTCTCTCTGTCACTCAGAAGGTTCGTTGCATGGTTTCTCTCTAATTATATGACTTGACTTAATTTGCGGTTCGCTTTGGTTGTTTTGATATTACAGCATTTTTAGAAAATGTATCTTAATTTCGAACAAATCGAAAGTTTGTAATTTTGTAACCAGGGCTAAATTTGTAATCATAAATTGAAATATTTATGAAAATTTGATATTTACTTAACTCTATAAGACTGAAGTTTCAAATTACAAAATATGGTTTCGTTTTAGACTTTTTGGGCAACATGTTGTAGTTAGAAATCAATTATGTTTGAAACTATTCAAACGGATTAAAAAAATTAACTTCATTGTCGAAGTAATCAAAAACTAGGATTAATCAAAAATTTAAGAACTAGTGGTACTTGATACATATTTTTTTTTTTGGTCAAATAAGCTTTTAACTCAATAAAGATCATACTTGTGTGAGAGAGTAAGCGTTTACACGGGCTAAAGCAGTCTTAGCTAAAACATCAGCTTTTATATTGTTTTTGCAAGAAATAAAACAAAAGGATAGAGTTAAAAAATTTGTCGCCAAAAGTCTGATATCTTATAGCAGTCCCTTCAAAGCAATGGTGGACAATTCCGAAGTGAGGAGTAAGACTAACACCTTGCAATCCAAAAAAATATTAAGCTTTTGGATTCTTAAAGAAACTGCATCCGAGAGTGCAGCCTTCATCGCTATAGTCTCCGCCAATCAAGCCGAACCTACAAAACGTTGGTGAGTCGAGTTTTGTGCAAAGGTAATACCATTTGCATGAGTAAAGAGCCATCCCATTCCACCAATACGGAACTATCTAACCATGCTGCATCCACAAAACAGCTGGTAGTGTCAGGAGTAGGGGAATGTTCAATGATGGAGGGGAGAGAGACCCGCGGTTTCTTCTTGAAAGTCTGAGCATCAAACCATGAGGTAGCATCCGCTTGAGCTTTCCTGACTGTTTCCTCTTCTGAGAAACGTTTGTTTTCGAAAACAAACTGGTTCCTGGCTTTCCACAGACCCCAAAAGATCCAAGGGTACAGGGGACCGGAAGATACACCTAAAGAGGGAAGGTTGATGATTTTACGGGCAGATGACAAGAGAAAAGACGAGGAGGTAATGGCGGGTGTTGCAGGGAGAAAGCAAACAGGCGCCATATCTCATACCTTCATAGTAAAGGGGCAATGGAAGAGGACATGCGTAGCCGTCTCCGGTGCTCCACATCTGATACAGACCAAGCCCACTGAGAGACCACGTCTAGCCAGAACATCACCACATGGGAGCGAGTTGGAAGCCACTTTCCAGAAAAAATGTTTGATCTTTGGGGCAGTATTCACTTGCCAAACTCATATTTTCCAATCAAGTACTGGAAGTAGAGCTGAAGAGTTGTTCACCTTTGCCAAATCATACCCCGATTTAGTGGAATACATCCCTGATTTTTCAGGCAGCCATACTAACTTATCCTCTCCCTTGGAGGAAGGGGGAATGAGCTTTCTGATTTGTCCCTCATACTGAGGTAAATGGTGACGAATGGCCAAGGTTTTCCAAGAGTTTGTATCCGGGCAGAGAAGATCGCTCACTCTCAGATTTACATTAGAAGCTGCTGGGGGGGCCTATGGGGGTTTCGGGGGATGAAACTGAGAGCCACGGTTCCCGCCAAACACTGATTAGTCGACCATCGCCAATGCTCCACCCTAACCCTTTCTTTAACACCTCTCTGCCTGCCAAAATGCTCCTCCAGCCATGCGATGAGGTCGAGAGGGGATGACAGTTCAGGAAGTCTGAGGTTTGGCAGTATTTCCCAAGTAAAACCCGAGAAAGGAGAGATTACGGGTGGTTCAGCAGGCGCCAACCAAGTTTGGCTAACAGGGCATCATTAAAATATTCAATCTCTCGAAATGCCAGTCCTCTTGCTTCTTTTGGAAGGGTCAACCTATCCCAAGACACCCACGCTATTTTCCGCACATCCGGTTTGATATCCCAGAAGAAACGAGTGAGGAGCGATTGAAGTTGCTTACAGATAGATGATGGCAGTTTGAAGCAGGACATTAAAAAAGATGGCATGGATGAAAGTACCAACTTCCGAAGCACTTGCTTTCCGGGTCCCGAGAGGAACCCCGATGTCCAGCTATGTAATCGCTGGCGGATTCTATCCACCAAGGAGGAGAAAATATCCTTTTTCCGCCTGTCAAAGTGCTCCGAGAGTCCTAAGTATTTGCCTAAGCCTCCATCCTTTTCAATCAACAGAGTTTGCTTCACTCGACGCTTAGTTTCTTGAGGAGTTTTAGCTGAAAACGTGACTGAAGATTTCTCAAGGTTGATTTGTTGCCCTGAGGCCTGCTCGTATCGTTTTAGAATAGAGAGGAGGGCTTCACAGCTGGAGGAACTCGTCTTACAGAAAAACATTGTGTCATCCGCGAAGAGCAGGTGATTCACCGGCGGGCTACCCCTTGCTACCTTGATGCCTGGGAGATGTCCTTGTAGCTGTGCCTTTGTGCAGAGACCCAAGAGCACCTCGGTACAGAGGATAAATAAATAGGGAGAGAGCAGATCCCCTTGTTGCAAACCCCTTGTGGGGATAACTTTTCCTTACGGGACACCATTGATGAGAATGGAATATGAGACTGATCACACACATTCCATGACCCAAGATATCCACATTGGGTGGAAACCAAGCCTCGATAGGACCCCGCGAAGAAAACTCCATTCAATTCGGTCATAAGCCTTGCTCATGTCCGTTTTGACCGCCATTGAGCAATGCACCTTTGCCTTGGAAGTGCGTAGGAAGTGGAGAATCTCGTGGGTTATCAGCACATTGTCGGATATAGCTCTCCCTAGTACAAAGGCCGAATGATTGCTGGAGACAAGGCTTGGGAGATGAGGCTGGAGACGGCTGGTGAGGAGCTTTGCAATAATCTTGTAGTGCACATTGCAAAATGCAATGGGTCTATAGTCTGAGACCTTTCTCGGGGCGTCAACTTTTGGGATCAGGCGAATATGCGTTTCATTCTGACGATGCAAGTCGGAGCCTGAGCCAAAAAAGGTTGAAACAGCTCGTGTTACTTCTTCCCCAACAATGTCCCAATATCCGTGATAGAATCTTGCTGAGAAAACGTCCGGTCCTGGCGCTTTGTCGGCGTGGATGGATAAGGTAGCTGCTCTAATTTCCTCGGGAGAAAGGGGGCTAATAAGTGCCTCATTCATTGCTCGAGTGACATAGGGAGAAAGAGCTTCCTCTATTATCTCCACTCCCGCGGAACCTTTCGAGGAGAAGATATCCTGGAAGTAATCGGCAATAGTTTTGGAGATTTGATTCTCCTCGTGCACATCACGTCCTGTCGAATGTTCAATAACAGATAGAGAATTCTGAAATCTTCTGCTACGGGTGATAGCATGGAAGTAACCTGTGTTACGATCCCCACTATGGAGCCAGAGAATACGACTTCGCTGCTTCCAGAACTGCTCTTCCGCAAGGTATGCCTTTTCGAGGGCAGATGTAGTGGAACTGATAACAGAGGGAGGAGCATCTGAACTGTTAACGCGGCTTCAAGCTCCTCCTGAGGCTTTTAATTGCTGCGGAGCTGTTAAGTCTCTGCTCCTTGGTCCAGAGAATGATTTGACGCCTTACTCTTTTGATTCTTTCTGAAACAGAGCATGAGGGAGAGAAATTCCAGGCTTCCTCCACCACCTGCCAGGCTTCCTCATTCTCGCAGAGTCTGCTATCAAAGCGGAAGATGCCTTTCCTTCTTCGGGTTGATCTGTCAAAAAGTGTAAGGAGAGGCCTGTGATCTGAGTCTTTAAAGCGGAGATATTCGCATCTTTCAGAACCACACTCTTCCGCCCAGGCACAGTTTGCCAAAACTCTATCCAGGCGGGCCCGAATGAAGTGGTTGTATCTCTGTCCTCTCAAAGAGAGAGGGTTCCCTGAATGTTTGACATCCCACAGCCAATTTTGAGACACAAAGTTCTGAAAATTCTGGAAGGACCCTTCCCACCGTGTAGGACCTCCAAATTTCTCCTCATTTGACAGAATATCATTAAAATCTTCCGTAAGCGTCCAAGGGGAATCCCTACCAATCCCCATTGTGGAGATACTTTCCCAAAAAGCACAGCGGTTGATCTGAATTGGGGGTCCATAAATGAAGGTAATGTAAGAAGAAGAAGATTTAAAGGAGACATTTGTGTCAATAAAATTTGCCGAAGAGGCTAGGATCTCAACAGAAACATTCTCGTTCCAAAAAGTGTCAATCCCCCTCCAACACCTTGAGGCGGGACTGTAAAATGATTCAAAAAGCCCTTACAACCAAAGGTATTAAGAACAACATCATCAGAATTTTTAGCCTCCATCAGGAACAAAATATCCAGGAAAATCTTGAGGCGAAATTCCCTAAGACGCTGGATTGTCAAGGTGCTCCCTATCCCCTAACTATTCCAGCTCAACGTGGCTAAGGAAGCGGACTGTGTGGGGACTGAAAATCCCCCTCTCTCGATCGGTGTCCTGAAGGGATGGCTGAGGAAGGACCTGCATCAAATTCTTCCACCGTGATCGAGATAAGATCAGAAGATTCCTTTGAGTTTCCTCCTTGTCTAACCAGACAGGCTCTCTTCCTAAGGGGGTTTTGGACTCTTGTTCCTAAGCGCTTCTTTAAGCCAAGTCCGTGAGAAGGGGAAGGAGCAACTCTCTTCGAGCCTGATGGCCTAGAGCTCTTGCGTTTTCCTCCAGTGACCTTAGGTACTTTTAGGATCCCTTTGCCTTTGACTTTTCTAGCCCTGGAAGCTACTCGAGGAGAGCCAAGTCGCAGAACAGCAGGGACACGATCCTCTGTCACAATTGCATTATCATCTCCCTGAGCAGCAGGTAAGTCTTCGGGTGGGTGTGACGTGGTCTTAGTTCCTCCTAGTCTGAGGAGGTCAGAGCCCGACGCTCTTTTTTCATTGCTCGAGATGAAGACATTTTGGTTGCTTCTTTCCGCATATTGTACTTCCACTTCCTGGAGTCTTGTAGAGCCTCCGCTCGGAGTTCTAGTATCCAAGAGGCGATCATGGACTCTAGGTTCAGAGAGTCTCTCTAGTGCTGACAATCTTTCCTGTCTCAGACTATTTACCTCTCCTGAAGCACGGCCAGAGGCTCCAGAGGTAGGTTCTCTTAGTGGACGTGGAGGGGGCGTGTGAGAGGACTGAGATTTTCTATAATTCCCAAGATCCGAAGACTCTCGTGTTGTAGTTATCCTTTTGTCTGATGAGTGGTACTTACGCTCCACTCCCTCCGACATCCTTTGGGTGGGGCGATCATCGGGTCTCTGCTGTTGATACTCGAGAGAGGGGGCCACATAAGCTCTATGTAGAGGAGCCTGAAAGGAGTTTCTCGAGAGGTTGTCAGAAGAGGGCTCTTGGCTGGAGGCCTTGAACTGTCTCCGGGGTGGAGAATTATAGCGATGGCTTTGGGGTCTGGCAGTCTCATACTCCCTTTCTCTTCTGGCTTTGTGGACAGGAGAGCGTCTTCTCTCTCTGCGATCTTCCTGTCTTCTTCTGTCAGCATCCAGTCTATCCAATGTACGCGATCTATTGAACCTCCCAGCAAGAGGATCTGGCTTCCCGCTTGGAGATTTGCGGGCACAGTCCTTTTCTTCGTGAAACAGCGAGAAACACGCAAAGCAATGCTTCTCTAACTTCTCGTACTCCAAGTCGACGTTAATAAGTTCACCCGACGGGATTTGGATAGGCAGCGTCATCTCGAGGGGATTTAACCCGTTTATGACTACCTGAACCCTTGCTTCTTCCACCACTTTTGCCTCGATAGGTCCTAGCTCTGCCCCAATCAATTCAATGGATGTCTCTGTCCAAAAGTGTAATGAAATCCCGTGGATCCTTACCCAAAAGGAGATAGAGGAGGGAAAGGAGTCAGCCACCACTGGTTCCCACCTTTGGATGATTAGCATCCACTTCTTGTAGTGGTAAAGGCCTTTTCGAAGGACCTGAAGAAGATCATCCTCCGAGTTGAAGCGATACTGAAACTTGTTAGGGCCCAGGTCCCTTCCTGACACCCTACCTTCCATGTTCCAATGGAGAGGGAGGAATCCTATCACCGCTCGCGGGGGCTGGACAATATGGTTCATGACTCTTCCTATTAGCGTGCATCTGTTGGCTGCAATAAGATCTGAATTATTGTTTTCCAGGATTCTAATCGGGGGGCGTTTCGCTGGCCATTTATCCTCTGCCGTCCATTTGCCTTTCTCCTGTCTAGAGTATCGATTTGCCATGTCCTTGAGGAGGGGGAAAGGAATCTCTGCAACGAGGCACTGCTCTAGGAAGGCTGGTCACTTGAAAAAACCCTCGATGAAACAGCCCTACTTGGTAGGGTCGTAGCCTCAAAACCCTCAGTGACGAGGTAGTCCCTCAAGGCGAGGAAAATTAATAAAGATGCGTCTGTTCAGCGCTTGGTGAAGCGACGGTGGTCTTCTCCATTGCACAGATCTGATCTAGAAACCCTCACAGGCGAGGTAGGCCCTCCAAGAGAGGTAAGCTTCAGTCAGTGGATCCCGAACCAGCAAAAACCTCATAGACGAGGTAAGTCCTCAGAGCGAGGTAGTTACACAAAGGGAAGTCGTTTAGCAGCAGGCAGCACCTTTAAAATCTTTACCATTTCGCAGATCTGGTCCAAATCCTCACAGCCGAGGTAAGCCCTCTAGAGGAGGTAAGCCCAAATGACAAGACGGAGGTCTCACACTGGCCGCATGGCTCCTTCGGAGGAGGGTAAAGGCAGGGGAGAAGTCAGCAAGCCAGATAGGACGGCGGAGAGGGAGGAGCACGGCGGAACCCTAAATCTGAATTATGAGAAGCTTTCCTCGGAAAACGAGTCAGAGAGAAAAAATTTGTATATTCCAATTAGAAAACATATATATAAGGTGAACATAAGACCAAAAAGGATTTTAAAAAACATGAATTTATTTTTTATATATTTTCACCATCATGTAACTTTAACTTTAACAATTAGTTGTGAAACTATTCAAATGAATTATTAATTTAATTTTATTGTCGAACTAATCAAAAACTTAGATTAATTAAAACTTAATAGTTAATAGTATATCTTAACTATTATATGACAAGGTGAAAAAAACTGATTTATCAAAATGATAAGAAAAGTTAGTGTATTCTATTGTTGACATGAAAAAGTGACATAACGAATTCTTAAAATAAATGTAATATTTTGATTAGTTGAATTAAAAATCAACAAATCACATTTTCATATATGAAAAAAGAGTATATCATATATGAATGCATCTTAGCTATTATTTGACAACACACTTAAGCGAAACAAATCTGATGCATCAAAAGAAGAAAGTTAGTGTAATGATATGAAAATATGACGTAACGAATTTTCTAAAATTAACGAAATGCTTTGATTGGTTGAATTAAAAATAAATAAATCTCATTTTCAAGTAAAAATAACAAGATTATATCATATGTAAATGCATATTAACTATTACATTTGACAAGCCATTTAATTGAATAAATCTGATGTGAAGAAAAATTAGTGTTTTCTATTGTTGACATGAAAATATGATATGACAAATTTTGCAAAATAAATAAAATATTTTGATTAGCTGATTTAAAAATAATTAAATCTTATTTTCAAATAAGAAAAAAATATTATATTATATAAAAATGCATTCTGATTATATAGTAAAAATTTGAAATTATAAACAAAATAAAAAAATAAATGATTAGTAAAATAAATCATAAGTATTCTTTTAAGCAAACTTTTTTTTGTAATACTATATATAAGACTGGAGATTCAAATTACAAAATATGGTTTCGTTTTAGATTTTTTAGGCAACATGTTGTAGTTAAAAATCAATTATGTTTGAAACTATTCAAACGGATTAAAAAATTAACTTCATTTTCGAATTAAACAAAAACTTGGATTAATCAAAAACTTAAGATCTAGTGGTACATCATAATCATATGTGAATGCATCTCAATTTCAAATAAGAAAAAAAGATTACATTATATATGAATGCATCTTAACTATTATTTGACAAGTCACTTAAGTGAAAAATTTTGATATGTCAAAAGGATAAGAAAAGTTAGCGTATTCCATTGTTGACATGAAAATGTTACATGAAAAAATTTCTAAAATAAGTGAACTGTTTTGATTGGTTGAGTTAAAAATAAATAAATCTCATTTTCAAAAAAAAAATATATGTGAATAGATCTTAACTATTATTTGACAAGCCATTTAAGTGAAAAAATCTGATATGTCAAAAGGAGAAGAAAAGTAAGTGTATTCTGTTGTTGACATGGAAATGTGATATGACAAATTTCCTAAACTAAACTAAATGTTTTAATTGATTGAGTCAAAAATAAATAAATCTCATTTTCAAGTAAGAAAAAAAAAGATAATATCATATGTGAATGCATCTTAACTATTATTTCACAAGTCACTTAAGTGAAAAAATCTGATGTGTCAAAAGTAGAAAAATGTTAGTGTATTCTATTGTTGACATAAAAATGTGATATGGCAAATTTTCTAACATAAACAAAATATTTTGATTGATTGAGTTAAAAATAATTAAATCTCATTTTCAAATAAGAAACAAAATATATTATATCATATGTGAATGCATTCTCATTATATAGCAAGAATTTAAAATTATAAATAAAACAAGAAAATAAACAGATAGAAAATTAAATCATATATATTCTCTTAGCAAACTTTTTATAATAATATTGTATATATGAATAAGAAATCGAAGTAAAAATAAAAATGAATCTCTAAAACTTTAGTTTTCTGTAAAAATCTCGTACAATATTTTTAGTTTTAAACATCTCAAACCCATTTTATTTTGTTCATATAGAGTGGGCAAGATGCAGCAAGTGCAAGATATCTCTCCACTAAGATCTCTCAAGCTACAAAAATCTTGTTTAACAAGGATGATGATGACAATCTTCCTTACGATGAGGGAAAGATAGAGCCCGATTAGTATATAGTTATTTAAAATATGCTATCATGCAAGTTTTTTTTGAAATACTATTCAATTAACTTACTATGTTAATGCACTGTAAGTACCTTCATATCATCCCAATTGTCCTTATCAATGAAATTCAAGGTTGGAGGGAACAATCGAGGCCGGACGGTTCTTACATTTGCAAGGGCATCTTTGAGATTGACGATGAAAAAATAACGATCCATATCACCGAGCTCCCTATAAACCATAACAAGAATTACAAGGAGTTCTTGCATAGTTTGAAGAAAATTTATTTTATCGAGGTACAATCAGAATAGTTTCACCCTATATGAACAAGATCTCATTTATCTTTTATATATTTTTACAGTCAAGTAACTTTAACTTTAACAATTAGTTGTGAAACTATTTAAATAAATTATAAATTTAATTTATATTGTTGAATTAATCAAAAACTTAGATTAATCAAAAAATCATAGTTAATGGTACAAGATACGTAAATATAAATTGAACAAAACACTAAAAACGATTAAAAAACTTGAATTTATCTTTTATGTATTTTCACAATCATGTAACTTTAACATTTAAGTTTTAATAATTGATTGGTCATCTAAATCTATTTCGAAATAATCAAAACCATAGAAACATTTTAAATGAAAACTCAAAAAAAAAAAGGTTGAATTAAGTTCCTTTTGTAAACAATTTGAAATCAACCTTAATAAAGCTAGTTAGTCTTATATTGGAAATTATAAAAAATTCTACTACTCTAAAAGCAAACTACAAAAAAAAACATTTCTATCCTAATCGGTTTAAGGAATGAGAAATTTTCATTGTCAAATTGATCAAAAAAACTTTAGAGCTAGTACATTATACTCTAAAAATAAGTTGAACATGATATCGATAACAATAAAAAAAAAACAAGATTACATGTTCTGTCTAATTTCAAAATATTGTAACATTAGCACTGAAGTTCTTATACTAGGTTCAACCATCTAAGATTAATATAATTCGACAACCTAAACCAAACCTAGCCTCTATATATGTCGTCTCATGTTTGCGTTCACGTTATTCAGCTTAGCAGTTAGCAGCACTCAAGTTTCTCTGAGGTACATACCTTAAATTTTCAAGTACGTGTTACGCAAATCTTCAAGTAGTTATTGGTAGAAGAAGTTTTGAATGTCGTTACGCAAACAGGTTACAATTACGGTGTAAGATTATGCTATTATTAGGCCTGTGATAGGCTTATGATCAGACCCAAAAGAAACATATTACTTGCTCAACTAATATGCTCTATATACAGAATTGGGCCCTTAATGGGCTTGTAAACCCTTGTATCTCTATCTTCTAAAGATAAACAAAATGAAATGATTAAAAAATAATCAAGCTTTCTGAAATGAAAACTTTGCGAAATGCATATAATAAGAGTCGAGAAAGAAGACGAGATTCTAATTTGACAAGACGAGATTATAGCAAAATCATTCGAGATTTGAGAACAAAAGGTCCAAAAGGAAACAGAGCAAACAAACTTCATGAACACGAAATGCATCTTTTATTAAAAACCTAGTCGGCCTTGGCGGCAGAAGCAGCAGCTTGACCTCTGAGACGACCAGTCCTCCTAGCAGCAATGAGACCAACCTTTTGTCCCGGTGGTGCGTCACGCCTGACCGTACTGGCGTGACCAATGTGCTGATGGTTACCTCCTCCGTGAGGATGCTCCACTGGGTTCATAGCCACACCACGAACCTTAGGCCACGAGTTTCTCTTCACACGGTACTTGTGGTACGCGTTTCCTGCCTTTAGCATCGGCTTCTCGGTTCTTCCACCACCAGCGACTTGACCAATCATAGCCCTGCATCCACTCGGGACAATCTTCTTCGAACCCGATGGCAACTTGATCCTGTCCAAACCAAACATAATCGATTATCATTGTGAAAAACATTGATGATGAGCTTCTGAAAATCACCTATACCAATATCAAACTGAAGAACAATTGTACCACAAAATAAATTGTATTTCACTAACAGATACTGTTTCCTCAAAGAGCATTTTGACTGTAGAGGCTGTTCAAAAGAAGAATTCTTTTTGGACTCAAGGATTCACCAGAAAATGTTCACCAAGAACAATTCAATTGAATAGAAGGTAAGCATTTCTAATTGACGAAATGATACATGAAACAAATCATAGTCCAACATTAAACAATCAACAGATCTAAAAATGATATCAAAGACACTCATGAGGAATGATTCATTTCTAATAAACGAAATGATCCATAAAGCACATCACAATCTATACTAAGCAATCGATAGATCTGAAAATCATATAAAATGGTAATGAACAGTTGAGATCTTCGTATATTGGTCACTGGATTGAAGAAACAAACCTAGTAGTGTCGTTGTCAGGGTTGTGAGCGATGACGATAGCGTAATCGCCGGAAGCTCTGGCGAGGACACCACGATCACCGACGTGGTGCTCGACGTTGCAGACGACGGCTCCTTCGGGGATAGCTCTGAGAGGGAGGACATTTCCGACGACGAGGGTGGCTTTCTTACCGCAGTAGAGAAACTGGCCGGTGTACATACCTTCGGCGGCGACGAAGAGCTCCTTCTGCTTCTTGTATCGGAAAGCGTGACGGAAAGCGACGCGAGCGAGCGGCGCTCCACGGCCGGGATCGTGGATGATCTCCGTCACGACTCCCTTGATGTATCCATTACGCTCGCCGAAATCGAGACTCCTGAACTTAGCCGGACCCTTACGGTGGTGAGTGTGGGACTTGAAGACGGAACCCGCTCCCTTACGTTGAGCTCTGATGACACGACCCATGGATGATGCTCGACGGCGAAGATAACAATTAGGGTTGGAGACCGAACTCGTAAGTGAGAAAAATCGCCCTTTTATTGTGCAACCTGACAGTGTTCAAACCCTAATGGGCTTAAATTAGATAATGGGCTATAAGAATTGACCGATAAAATCAATTTAAACCCAGAGTAAAGCCCAATCAATACATCTGTATCTTCATAGAATTCGTTAAGATATATGATTATTAATATCATTATTTTAAAATATGAAGCCCAATCAATACATCTGTATTTAACTATTTATTAAATATGTCACTACATTTGTTAGACTATTTTATTAATTCATTAAGGATAATACTAGATATATAATTCGTGCTACGCGCGAGTCTGTATTAATATTTTGTTTTAATTTTTTTTAGTTACTATCTTTAAAATTATTAAAAATATTATATATTTTTAGAAATTTTCATTTATATAATTTAATATATAATGTATAATTTATCCTATTTTTATTTATAAATTTTAAAAAACTATTAAGTAAAACAATAACAATGACACCTATCAAATTATCCAACTTCGACGTACATATACATTAGATTTAGAGAAATATAATCTTACTAAGATTTTGGTATTATTTTCTGTTTTCCATAGAATTTCTATAATTCTTTTTTTCTTGAATGTTTATGTGTTCAAATATTTAGTTTTTTATGAAAGTCTTATTGATGTTGTGTACCAGTGCATATATCATCCATGATTCATGTTGATTCACATTTAATTTTGTTAGGAAGCTGTAATGATCATGCAAAACCATTTTTCTTTCTCTATCATGTCTTCCAAGAGTTTTATGTGATATTTTTATTCAGTTTTCATTGTTTTAATTATTAAATTGAGTTGTTGTAAAAAAAAATTAAATTGATAATTGATAATGGTTACTTTTTTTATACATGTATTGTTAATTGTTAATTTTTTTATTAAACTTTTAAAATTTTAAACCATATTAATATTTTCTAATTTAATAAATATATTGATTTGGATCAATCAGATTGAATTTACTTTTTTGTTGGACATAATTTGTTAAATTAACTTTTAATGTTTTAATTATACTTAATAATTTTTGGTTTGATTACAAAACTGATGTGTATCAATTAAATCAAGTTTTTCTGTCCTAATCATACTTAACATCTTTTCATTTAATAAAAATGCTGATGTGGACTTATCAGATCTAGTTTAAAAAAAAACAAAATTAATATTTGAAAAAATTAGAAATTAATTTTATAATGTTTTAATCAAATTTAACATTTTTATGTTTAATGAAAGACGATGATGTGGACCAATTATATTGAGTTTCTTCATCTTAATCATACTAAACATTTTTGTGATTAATGAAAAATGATGTTGTGGACCAATTAGATTGAGTTTCTTCGTCCTATTAATATTTTAAAAAATAGAAATTAATTTTCTAATGTTTTAATCAAATTTAACATTTTTATGTTTAATGAAAGACAGTGATGTGGACCAATCATATTGAGTTTCTTCATCTTAATCATACTTAACATTTTTGTGATTAATGAAAAACGATGATGTGGACCAATCAGATTGAGTTTTTTAATCACATGTGGACGTCTTCAAAGCACTATGCCATCAACTTTTATATATTATATGATTGTCTAATTACAAATATACAAAATGATATGAGTTTATATTATATATCATTGTAATGGACTTAGTAATTTTTAATGGATTGTATTGATTTACTTATTTGAGTTTTAATTTTATGAAAAGAAGATTAAAAAAAAAATATCTATAAAAAAATACTCCCTCTATTCCGAAATATATGATGTTTTAGATTTTTTTTTTGTTCAACCAAGATTGATGTTTTAAGAGTATTAAAAAGTTTTTTTCCGTAGATTTCAAGAAAAGTAACTCAAACTATTTAAATTCTTAAATTACCATTAGTTAACAGTTATTAAATAGTAATGATTGTAAAAAAGTAATGCATTAATAATTAAAAGTAACTCTTTCTTAATTCATGTGAATAAACCAAAACATCATCCTCTTTGGAACAGAGATAGTAGGATTTTAGAAAATATGTTACAAAATTTCATAGATACAAAATATATCTGATATTTAGTACTAACAAAAATTTATGAAATCACATAATTTTTTTTAAAAAATATATAATATTTTGTTAGAACATGCGATCATAAATATTTTTTTTTCTTAAATCGATTTTCATTTTCTTTCTATTTCAATCAATAATATTTATTTTCACAATATATTATATTCATATAACAATTCTTGCTGATGTAAGACCCGGCAAAATCAATATCTCTCTTGAATTTTGTTTTCTTATCCTACATAAGTGTGAAAGCAACTGAATAATTTTTAGAGAAACAATAGAATTAAGAAATATTAATGTGTTTTAGAGAAACAATATAATTAAACAATGGGAACTAGTTATTACCTTTGAGCAGTTTCTTTTATCTTAGTAGGTAGACGCAATTTTTTTAATCTTGATGAATCTAGATTATTGCTAGAGAAAACATATTAAAAAATGTACTCATTTCCTTTCTAATATTTACTTAAAATTTTAAATCTGAAAATCAAAAGATGGAAAAAAACAGTTTGGAGTCAAGCAACTGATAAATGCATTTCGTCCAGTTTGAAGTCAAGCAACAATTTTTTTTATCATTCAAACTATTATTTATAAATAAATTTCTAAACATTTGTCTGTGCAGATGAGCAGGTTAAATTTTAGTACTACTATTAATCCAAATTTCCAAATTCAGAATTTGTCATTCATTGATTCTAGATAAGTTACAAAAGATGTTGAAGAAGTTACAAAAACGGTCTGATTAATCAACCAAAAATTAGATATTTAAACCGCTTGATTTTATAAAAAAGTGAGAATTTCTTATAGAACATTGGAAATTTTTTTGGCAAGTGGTTTAATCGAGGAGTTTTTCGTACAAGATGAATTTGGTTTAATCGAGGAGTTTTTTTTTTGCTCGGGTGATAAAAATACTTTCAGACCAAAAACACAAACAAAATCAACGGAAATAGAGAAAAGGATTCGCCATTTCTCCGACCATGGAGGGAGCTTCGATTTCGGAGGTGGGCAATGGATCGACTAGCGTTCTCACGAAAAAGAGGAAATCATCGCTGTTGCTGCTGGATCCTGACGTTAGTGACTGTCCCATCTGCTTCGATGCGTTTAGATCCCTATCTTCCAGGTAGCTTCTCCTTCCTTTTGATTCAATTCGGAGTATGAGTTGGAGTAGAGAGGAAGAACAAGGTTGAATTTTTCCACACTTAGTAGATGTTGAGAATATATGTAGCTGAGGATTCTTGTGATTAATATATGTGTTAATGTTTGTATTTTTTTTTCTAATTTGTGTCTCAAACTCTGCATTAGGAAGAGTAGGATTTGGAGTAGAAAGGAAGAAAAAAGTTTGAGTTCTTGAAAACTTGTGTATGATGATGGCTAGTTGATATTTACTGCATTTGAATTGGATTAAGTTTTGACCTCGACCAAGTGGAAAATCATATGCTATGTTTGTTTTATCGGTTTGATTGTTGATACAGCTTTTACTTCACAACTCATTTGGTTTTGTATTTCAGTGTGATAATGGGCACTTGGCGTGCGCTTCTTGCTGTCCCAAACTGAATGGTAAATGCCCAGCTTGTGCTTTGCCTATCGGCCACGTTCGCTGCAGAGCAATGGAGAGTGTTCTTATATCAGTCTTCGTCCCATGCCCAAACGCCATGTTTGGATGCGCCAAGAATGTAACTTATGGCACTGAATCAATCCATGAGAAGGAATGTGTCTTCTCTCGATGCTCCTGCCCTGCACTAGACTGCGATTACACTGGATCATACAAGGATCTCTGGGGTCACTATGATACCCACCAGAAAAAGGGCCTGAAAAATCTCGGCCAAAGGCTCGCTACTCGGTTAACTTGTGGCGATTCCTTTATTGCCCGGATGAACATCAGCGATAAGATTTTAATCAAGATTCAAGAGGGAGTGTTTGATGAAACTACTGTTCGTAGTGCAGTGTTTCAGGGAGCCGTGTGGTGTGTATGTAACTGTAAGCTGCATTGCACCACCTTCTCCGGAAGTAGAAAAGTTCTAGTATTATATCTTCTACATTGTGGACGGACACACCATGTCTTACAGATCTCCAGAAGTAAAGAGGATCTGCAAAGTGAGTTTTCAAACCCCTCAGGAGAATTTCATGTTGATCCCTCAAAGCTTCTTGCGTGGTGACTTGTTGGGGATGGTGGTTTGCATTAAGAAGTTGAACAAAGAGTAAAAAGGTTAGCGTGATGTAGGAGAAAGACATTTGTTGTTGTTAATTTGTAAGTTTTAACCTAACCCAGCTAAGATCAGATTTAGCTGCTATATATAAGTTTTTGACCTGGCAAACTAAGATCAGATTTACTTGTTATGTGTAAGTTTTTGTGCTGACGAGCTAAGATCAGATGTTTCAGTTTATACTGGATTTTGTAGCTCTCAAAGCAAAGCTATGCTTAATGAAGAAGTTATAATTAACATAAATACTCAAATGGTTATCTTTTTCAGTGGGATGCGTAAAAAATATTGATGCTCAAATGATAGTCCAACGAATTTTTTGTACAATGTCTGAATTGTCGAGAACATCTCTACAATATTATTTGATTATTTGAGAAGTACATTTCTATAAACACTCAAAAAACCCCGCTTAATTACAAACAATATCACTTAACTATAGCGGAAAAAGTGTATGGCAACAGCTATAACTAGGGCTAATACTTAATAGTGTACGAGAGAACTGAGTCAACTCACTGTCCGAGTTAATCCGACTCGAGATCTATTTTGAAAAAATGTGGATCTTGGAAAAACACTTCAATCAAACCGAAATCTATGAATTTGCTAATTATATTCGTTTACCTATTAGTATAAGAGGAAATGCTTCAAAATAACACAAAATAAAAAAACAATGTGGAACAAATACTTTATTGAAGGAAAATTGTGAAAATGACCTCTATTTTACATTGTTTTAAATATCAGCGCTACTGTTCTAACTACTTTTAGTTGTAGCTTAAAGGCAGACTGAATTCACATTACTGGCAGACTGATTGGTCTTATAATTGAATATAGATTATTGGCAGACTAACGATATGCTAAATACAAATTACTGGCAAATTAAAGACAGACTAAAAACACATTAATGGATCCCTCTTGTGGGTTATTTTAGGAAGGGTCATGTTTCGTAATAAAATTGTCAAGTGTATCATTAAAAAAATTATCCCTATAATTAATGGTATATTGTTCTAATAATAGAGATTTATCAAGTTATATTTGTCGACGATATTCTTTTCATTATAATTAAATTCAAATTAAAACCAATATCTTAATAATTATTCCAAGTTATAGGATATGCCGGCAATATGTAAACAGCTATTGCAAATCCCGGCTCCAGTTTTGTTATCTTAACAATTGTGCAAGGCGAAGCCTCTATTGTTTGCATCTCATTCCGTAGAAGAGATCCCAAATGAAGATATGAAACTGAGCTAATAGCCGAAAATAAGGAAAACGGACTTCTGATTAATCATACAAAGAAAATGGAGTAAATAGGCTTGAAATAGTCATCTAGGACTCATAATAGTACAAAAAGGAGCGTCTATTACTTGTATCTCATTTCTTAGAAGAGGTCCCCAATGAAGATCTGAAACTGGTATACGAGCCGAAAATAGGGAAAACGGACTTCTGATGAATCATACAAAGAAAATGAAATAAATATGCTTGAAATAGTCATCTGAGACTCATAATAGTACAAGGGGAAGCATATGTTACTTGTATCTCATTACATGGAAGAAATCCCAAATAAAAATCTGAAACTGGGCTAATAGCTGAAAATAAGGAAAACGTACTTCTGATTAATCATACAAAGAAAATGGAGTAAATAGGCTTGAAATAGTCATCTGTGACTCATAATTGGCAGACCAAAAACACATTAATGGACCTCTCTTATGAGTTATTTTAAGAAGAGTCATGTTTCGTAGTAAAATTGTCAAGTGTATGATTTAAAAAGTTATCCCTATAATTGATGGTATATTGTTCTAATTATAGAGATTTATCACGTTATAATTGTCGACGATATTCTTTTCATTATAATTAAATTCAAATTTAAGCCCATATCTTAATAATTATTCCAAGTTATAGAATATGGCAATATGTAAACAGCTATCGCAAATCTCGGCTCCAGTTTTGCTATCTTAACAATTTTGCTATCTAAAATTAAACTTACTGAAACCGCTCATAGAATATTTCACATATAAATCTATAACTAAATATGGTAATATAATTTTGAAAAAGAGAACCGTATAATGAACATTCATTAAAAAATATCTACAAAAATGAAACGAATATTTTACTTAAAATATCCTTCGCCAAATATTTGTCGTACCTAAACCTAAGTTGAATCCAAACTATTATTTGATAAGCATGTTTAATGAAAAAATCATATGTGTCATCATCTTAGGAAAAATTAGTGTAAAAAAATGACAGCCTAGAAATATAACATGGCAAATTTCTTAAAATAAGCGAAATGTTTTGATTGGTTAAGTTAAAACTAGATAAATCTTATTTTTAAATAAGAAAAAAAAGTTTATATCATATATGAATAAATTCTTATTATATAGCAAGAATTCGAAATTATAAGTGAAACAAAAAATAAATAGATAGAAAAATAAATTATAAATTATATCCTATTAGCTAATTTTTTTTATTATAATACTGTATAAATGAATAAAAAGTATAAGTAAAAGTAAAAATGAATCTTTGCAACTTTGGTTTTATGTAAAAATCTCAGACTATAGGTTTAAAGCATCTTCATCTCACCTTTAGTTTAAATCTTCTGCTTTAGAAGAAAAAGAAAGGTTGTTACTTTTCCTCTATTTATAGAGGAAAAAATAACAAACTTTCTTTTTCCTGTAAAATAGAAATAGGTTGAAGAAAAGTCTACTTAAATTTTAGCGAAAACAATTAAAAAATACATTGGAGATGATCTTAATGTTTAATATATTACTAAAGGCTAAGAAAAAAAGTATGAGTCAAATAAGACAAAAAAAAAATATTTTGATCGATTTTATGTTTTTATTTAAAATATTTCAAAATATTATCGAGGAAAAAATAATAATCTTTCTTTTTTCTGTAAAATAGAAATAAGATGGAGAGAATTCCACTTATATTTTAGAGGAAAAAATTGAAAAATACATTTGAGATGATTTTAATGTTTAATATATTATTAAAGGTTAAGAGAAATAAAAGATGAGTCAAAGAAGACAAAAAAATAAATAAGAATAATTTTATTATCTTACAAACATTAATTCTTTCAGGCATATAATTTTTTCAACATATTAAAACATTATTTCATGAATCAAGTTTTATATATATTGTGATCCATTATATATTATATCAACAAATATATTAAATTAGGAACAGATCAACTCTTACTTTTTAATATAATAATTAAATATTTAATATATTATTTTACACCTTAAATCATACATATATAAGTTTAGATCCGATTGGTTTAAACGATTCTGTTACAGAGAGTTTGTGGAAGCGAAAGATTGCAGATTATAAAAAATTTGACAAAGAGATGAGCGGAGAGCTACCGGATGATTTTATAAAATATGAAATCACAAATTTTATAATAAATGTTTATATTTCACAAATTTTATAATAAATGTTTATTACATTTTTATCGATAAACCATATATCATAAAACGCTAAAAAATAAGAAATTTTGATTAAATACAAAATGATAGAAACGGTTTTCGTGATTGTTGTTAAACACCAATAAATGCATCGCGTAAAAACATACCATTTACGGAAAATATCAGAAAAACTTACCAACACCTAAATATTATATTTCACATATTTCTAACTCATATCCACATGCATAAATATATTTATTATTTTTTAAAAAAAATCAACCATATATTATAAAAATATATATTACAAAACATATACATTGTTATTTTCTTTTAACATATAAAAGCAGTACTTCGATTTTCTTACAAATATGTGTGTAGATATAAATATTAATTGTGCAAAAGTCATACTTGTATGCAAACTTGTCGTGTATACAGTTTGTTAACCTCGATTACACTCTAATTTTAATTTTAGTTGTTTGACAATTTAGTTTTTTTTTTTAAATATTTATATGTCCTAAGAGCGGTGAGGTAGTTGGTACGCATGAATGTGCGGGTCAACCATCTATCCTCTCTTAGGATAAGTAGATATGGTAAAATTTATTTTGGTTTAATTAGCAATAGGTCACGGAAAAATGCATACGTAAAATATATATATATTAGCAAGATTGTATTGTGTAAGGAGAAAAAGAAAGTATAATATATATAATATTCAAAATATATTATAAGAATTTATTTATTATTTAATATAATTTTTACATTTATAATTATATGTACTGTAAACGCTAGGAAAAATATAAGTTTTCAAAAGACACAAAACGATATGAAACATTTCTGTGATTGTTGTTGAACACTAAAACTGTATATGTATAAAAACATAACGTTCACATAATATAAATGTTACAACTAATTATTTATATAAAAAAATTATACTTGCACATGTGTGTGGGCGAAAAATAAAAATTAAATAAATTATTATATATTTTAATATTTTCCAGTTTATTTTGTTATCATATTTACATTTTTTATCAAAGAAATATTATAAAATCATAGTTAATATTTTTTATCTTTATTTTCTATTGAAATCTATAATATTTTATATTTGATTTATTGGTATTTTTAATATTAAATGTCTATAATTTTATTATTAATTCATGATTAATCATATACAAATAAAGCATCTTCAATACTATATTAATCATAATTAAATATATAAAATATTTTATAGTCTGCACATGGCGCTGGCCGATCACCTACTTATATATAAATAGTACACAAATAGTTGAACAATTTACAAATCAGAAAACACAATATACTCTCTTATGAAAATGGCTTTTAAACTATGTGTCACTTTAGTGAAGAATCTAAAGCCTTTCAAATCAAAATGGAGAATTCAAGTCAAAATTCGGCATGCATTTAAGAATTATGGTTTTAAAAACGGAGAATCACTTGAAATGATTGTATCTGATATTGAGGTATGTAAGACTCTGAAATGATTCTTGTCTAATAAACATGTTTTTCAAAATATCTAACTATTTCCATATTCAATAGGGTTCTAAGATTCAT